ATGTTTATTTTTACTTACCGTTGAGTACTTTGCTCGGCTCTTTTTTTGAATTTTGTGTTAATTTAAGGTTATAACTTCAAGTTCATTTTTGTACTTGCCTACTCTTGGTAAAAATCGATATTAGTTCAAAACGCATATTTGGACATTAATACAAAAATGTATGTATATATTGCTTGCTTTTTATTGCACTAGTTTAGTTGGGATAATGCCACGAGCCACATACAACAAGAGTTATACATACTTATGTGGGCTCAGATTTTTTCGAAGAAAAAATTAAAACGCATTCTCTAATTTACACACTTATGCATAACAATCTCTCAATTAACAAATTCATAAATATAACTTTTGCACACATACATACATATGTACATCGAAAAATACGCAAATAAATTTTAAAATAAATATTTATTTCAATTGCATGCTCTGAGATTTTTTTTTTTCAGTTCACATAAAAATTTAAAATTTTTTTGTTTTTGTTTATATTTTTAAGCGTAGTAAATTCAACCGTTGTGTTACAACCGCGTTACAGAAACTTGCACTTGTCTTCAAGTAATACTTTTTTCACTCAAATATGAAAAAAAACGTGCTACCGGCTTGCTTCCACGCGACATACTGACGACAAATGTATAATATATATGTACACTAAAACATCATTTCAATTACCAAAAGAATTTGGGCATGAGTGTGAGGCTGAGCATATACTCGTACATACTTGTTGTGCTTTCCTTTTCTTAACAATTGCTTCCATTAAGCATATGCATACATACATATGTATAATAAATTTATATGCATGTGTACTTTTGTCACTATAAAACTCATGCCGACAACGAGATAAACTGACCAAAAAGAAATATACATACATTTACACATACATGCATGTGTATGTATGCTCAGAACCACTGAAACATTCATTGTCAGTGGCAACGGCGATGGAAAATATAAGAATTATACCAATCAAAGCTGTTTAAGTGTAATACCCGTATCCTGACTAAATACTTGTTTGGAACGAAATTGCTTTACGGCAAAATGTGATAGTATAGCGCTAGCTTATGCAGTATGTTTACCCAGGTGTAATACTCCATTTAAGAGAAGCGTCGTTTTCCGTAGTTTAATGCAGAGAATTCCCTATAAATTAACGCATCTCTCATAATATGAGTAGGTGTGTAAATACTACTTTGGTTTGTCGTGACTTCCTTGACTTTGTTTATATTTTCTACAATTATTATATCCGGAAATTGTTATTGTAAAGGAGATTATTTATATTGAATGATTGGAAGCTCCACGAAATATGAAATGTTAATTTTATTATTTATTTAGTATTAATTTAAGGAGTGATGCAGATGATTGATAAACTAGTTGTTGTTTAATAATGTTTACTTTATTTTTGCTTAATTTCATTTTTAATTTTGTAATACTTTATTGGCTTAGGTACCGACATAATAGTTGTAACAATTAAGTAATTAGACTGATTCCATAAAAACCGTATATTACAAAACTATGCTACAACTCTGCCATACCCTCCAAAGTAGTCCCCTTAAGCAGCTATACAACGATTCCAGACGCGTTTTCCATGCTTCGTAACATTTCTGGAACGTTTCGACAGGGATATCCCCGAGTACCCACGTCACGGTCGCCTTGATATCCTCAATCGACTCAAGATGTCACATGGTGACATATCGGGCGAAAAGGAGGTTGTTGCAACACGGCGATCCCTTTAGAGGAGCACGCTGAGAGCGGTGTGGCACGGCGCGTTGTCGTGATGATGAATCCAGTTACGGGCGATGTGTGGGCGCACCCCGTTGACTCGTTTTCGCAATCTTTTGAGTACTTGGTTATAGTAGACTAGATTCGTCTTCCACGCTTTCACGTTAGGCTTTTAACACAGCAGGCGAACTAAACAAGCTAGAGCGATGACAGATATATCAATGGAGAGGAAAAAGATGATGGGAGAAGGGAAAGGTCGCAGGATTACCACAATCGCGACAATATAATCAGTATCATTACTAAATTGTCACACCTCGTACGCGATTATAGCCGAGCCTTAAATGCCGCATTAATCGTTTCTACTTGGCGTTCGGTGCCAATTGGACAGCAAATGAAGTTGGGTAGCTCCCCACCTGATCCGTCCAACGGAGTGGATGTATTCCTCTTCCCTGCTGTATATATTCATTAAACTGTACCAATGTCAGCGTATATCTTGAACCGCTCCTCGTTCAATCGTCTGCGGCATTCGTCATTGTCAACACGCAAAAATCCATGAACGGATGCCGACATCGAAACAGGACATTTGCTTTATCCAAAGTACCACAAAAATCGTCAGAATATAAAGATTTGATGGTTTTATTACACGTGAAAAAGATTCGGTAGACCATGGAGATAAAACGGATTCTTCAAGTCCAAGTAATTGTCCCCCCTTGCGATTTATATATTTATTTTGAATGGTCAGAAAGACTATATTGTGAAATAGGTATTCGAGATAATAGGTAGCCGAGTGGCATTGCGTACTGCTAGGCGGAGGGCTAGGGTTTAAGTCCTGGCAAGACCAACATCCATGTTATAGTAAATTAATTTAAATAAGAAATTAGGTCAAATTTTCTAACTGCGTTCGACCCTCGGCAAGAAAGTCAACCCCTCTGAGAGTACTTCTGCATTGCGTAATGGAAAATATCAAGACGCAAACCATCTATTGGAGGAGGAGCTCGGTCGAAAACACGTCGGCGGTTCAAAAGAGCCAAATTTATATGCATATACAAGTATATAACCAACAACAATGGATCATCACCTTACAGAAGAATTGCTTGAAATCTTCGCATAAGGATTGATGTTCAAGCCAACCTTGTTCCGGAGTATGATTTTTGCCACGTCTGCCAAAGACGACCACTCTTAGATGCAACTAGTGAAATGTTTAGAGTCAATTTAAGACCTATTCAGACCTTAAGACACACAGGGAGTGAACAACGCGTTTTGTGGCCTGATGATGTCAATGCTCAACTGCGCCTCAAGCCTTCACAGCTGTACCTTCCGCACTCTACCCATATACATTTCTCTGTATGTGCCATATGTCAGAACGTGACATCTGTCAAGTGAAATTCCTGCTCTGTCTGGTAATATTTTCGGATGTACTTTGCTTGCAGTAGGAGTGTGCGCCGCTTACATGTACTACAAGTTCTAAGCCACCACCAACTACCACTAACGGGTTATACAGCAGAAAGAAAGGAAGCCTTTCCAAAACAGACCAGACTTTTATAGACTCCACGGGAAACTTGTCTTCATAAGTCGGGAGCACCTGCTATAACTTGCATTGCAAAGAAAAACTGAACAGGTCCCTCAGATCTACTGTGTTGGGCCGTATAGAACAGTTTGCGTAACAACCGCGAAGGAGATAATGTTGCAGGCTTGGCAACGTACAACAACGTGCTGCATCGTCTTATCGATAATCGACATCCGGTCAGGAGATGTCGTATTCGAAATGTTCAATATATACATTTCTCCTGTTACTTTTTGCGCAGCGGGATACCGTCTGATATAGGTGCACTCCTCAAAGGCAAAAACCATTGGGTTTTGGGCAATTTTAACGCGCACTGCCATCTTTGGCGTTTTGCCTGCAAATGAGAAACAGAAAAAATTACATTTTGGAAAAACCTCGATTATTTATTTTGTTCCGGATCGGAGCTATAGGCTGAAAACCGATGTTGTATGAAATGAAAGTAATGATATGCATACCGTCGGTTAGGTAGAGGGTACAGCTACACTGTGCAGCAAGCGCCTTTTTCTATTAAGCCCAGAAACGGAGCTATGAGTGAGAAAACGGTTATGTACTTTTTAAAACTTTTTTCAACATGAGAAAAACCTATACAGTGAAAAATAATGGTGCAAAATAGACCGTCGGACAGGTAAGGAGTTCACCTACACTGTGCAATAAACCCCGTTTTCCTATCACGGCCGGGCACGGAGCAGACCATACACACATTATGCATACCGCCGGATAAGTAAAGTCCATCTACACTATGCAACAAACCACACTCTTCCAAAACACCTGGTTACCGAACAATTCGACATTCGACCATGCCGATGATTGATTTCTCTAAAGAAGATGTTCCAGGGGTTATCGGGAAAGAGCAAGCCTCCAAATTCATTGGCTTCGACGAGGTAAGCATCATGATGTTAAGATATCCTCATCTGGTGTGAGCAGAATATCTTGCCAAGATTATAAATTTATCTTTCATCAGTCTTACAATACCCGATATGTAGAAACTGGTGAGAGTCGTCCCGCTGCATAAACCAGAGAGACTAACGAACAAAGGAGAAGCTTATTGACCTCTTCTTTTTCAGTAGCGAAGATCCGAATAGTCGACAGACATTGGTAAAGTTTCGAAGTCAAACTTATTCGCTCTTTATCTGCTTGTATTTAATTTCTTTCTTTGCCTATGTCCAGGAAAATTATATTCGCAAGTAAACTGTCGGGATTCTAATAACGAAATGACTCGAATTTTTTCCATTCAAAAACTGTCACTACCGCAACATTATCCAAAAACCACTTTGAAAAATACTTCTACGAGTAACAACGGGATTTCATGCTCTACATTTGGTGATTCGCCCTATCATATGTAATCGTCATATGAAAAATTAATATTTCAATACGAATCGCTTTTGACTCGAAAGATCGTCGTCGGCTAAGGAATCATTTGCTCCAGAAAGAGAATAATTTGGAAACAGGAAGTTAAATGAGATTTCAATGAGCTAAAACCAAATGTCTCAGAAAGTAGATTGCTACTTGTTTCTTTATTACTGAAAACTCAGCAGAAAAGACACGAATGTGTCGCATAAACGTGATAATTCGCTATTAGCATTTTTCTCTTTATAGTGGAGACGCCATCTTACGGAAAGGAAAACTCATTCTGTATACAACATATCGATAACTTGCCATTTCGATACCTAATGTATGTTCGCTGACGTTCCTTTCTTTTCCAACCACGCTTCCGGTGAGTTAAATATGTGGTTATGAGTTAATATTTAATTTCTAATTTTTTATAGTTATAATGCTGAAAAAATTGTGTGTGCAAAACATTAAATAGGATATAACATATATATTTAGGTATTCAGTACTTTAAAGTGGTCATAAGCTTCTGTGAGTTGAATAAAAATCGCTTGTAATAACAAATTCTGATTTTGGACTCGTCGGTAGATTAATGTTAATTTAATCGTAATTGTGTATGACTTTCATATCACTTGTGCTTAAGTACTGTACATTACCGAGCTGAGGCATACCCATTAAGAAATAAATAACGATAAATGAGTATATCTTGATCTAAAGCGGATGATATCAGCACGCTTGTTAAAACACATGGTGCAATTCCTTAGCTGTGGAATTATAGTGCGAATGATACCCCTTCTTTTATGTACTGTCATCAGTGTTCAGTGTGCCGTACAAATTAAGTTCATGTACACAAATAATTTTCCAACACAATAAAAGATACAAAACATTTTTGTGCAAAAAGTATTAATATTTAAAATTTCTTTCAGGTAATCTTGCAAAATGAGGACCATCAACTCAAGCCAGTGTGTTAAAATACCAAAAGGAATTAAAGCTTCCGTCAAGGCCCGTGTGGTGAAGATAACTGGAGTACGTGGGAGTTTGACACGAAGCTTCAAGCATTTGGCTTTGGATATGTACATGGTCGATAAACGTACTCTGAAAGTAGAAAAATGGTTCGGAGCTAAAAAGGAACTTGCGTCAGTCCGAACTGTTTGCAGTCATATCGAAAACATGATTAAAGGTAAGGCAATAAATTGAATTTGGTTAAAAAGAAAATGTGTTTTAATATATAATCTTTTCTCAAGGTGTGACGTTTGGTTTCCAATACAAAATGAGAGCAGTATACGCTCATTTTCCAATTAATTGTGTTACATCTGAAAACAATACTGTCATCGAAATTAGAAATTTCCTTGGCGAGAAATACATCCGTCGTGTACAAATGGCACCTGGTGTGACTGTTGTTAATTCAACTGCTCAGAAAGATGAACTAATTGTTGAAGGTAATGACATCGAAGCTGTTTCTGGATCAGCGGCTTTAATTCAACAATCAACTACAGTCAAGGACAAGGACATACGTAAATTTTTGGATGGTCTTTATGTGTCCGAGAAAACAACTGTTGTCAAAAAAGAAGATTAAGTTTGTGTAAAATAAACGAATTAGAACTTTTGAATTCAGTTTTTTAAAACGATTCTTTGAATTGAGATCTTTTACAGACCGTTATTAAATATGGTTAGAGTATCAGTAACTTTGCCGTAATTTGCTTAGGCAATTGGAGTTGTAATGAATATGAATTGTTGCATTTCAAACTACATTTTCATGTTACCCGTTCACCTGGAAGGGTGAAAACCCTCGGCCGGATAAACAGTGCGCAGAGAGTTGAAAACACACTGTGACTTAAGATTGATTGATCTGTTCTGTTCTGTTAAGCTGTTCTCGAGGAGATAACAAGTTTTGAAAAAATTTTACATAGCGTCAGTTGGAATTCGCACAGCAATTTTGTTGTTCAAACACGAAACTTGCAGAATAGTGTCCGGTGCTTGGTATTAAAGTTGTACAGTAATTTAGAAAAGTTGTTTTTCGAATTTTTAGGTATAAAGTATTAAATAAAATAAACTTGTTAAAGTTATATAAAAAGATATGTGAGGAGATTGACCGAAACAAGTTTTTCAGTGAAGGCTAACCCTAAGCGATTTGTAGGCGTTAACAAGCAGCAAAAGTTGTGGCTTGTAGCCCCGCTCTTATCGGCTTAGATACCGAAAATTATTTCATGAAATTTTATCGATTATGAATAAACGTTTTTCATCTCTACGATGAGCTTATCGTTTGTATTGATTAAGTATTGATGATTAAACAAGTTAAAATTTGTGCTGATGTTTCGAAAACACAAAACATTGTAAGCTTATAGACATGGAAAATGTTAACTATTAAATGGAGAGAATTGCTTTACTAAATTTTGTAGTTACTAAACCCAACAAAAGTGTATAGTCTCCGTGGAATAATGAGCTAACAAGTTACTTATACCTTCAATGCAAACCTTAAATGAGTGTTGTTTAATTCGTATATTCTGATTGGATTCGTTTTTTATCCAAAATAAATCATACCGGGACTCTAATAATTAGCGTCATTTCCCGTTATACGTATTGTTTACCTCGCAAAGTTGCGCTGTTTTTTTTACGAATATATTGGAGCTAATGGAGTCAATATGTATGTGGGTTATACCTAGATGTATAGCTAGGATTACGCCCGTCTTTGCTTCTTGACGTAAAAATTTCTGGCAGAAGTACAATAATAATAAAAATACCCCACAATACCATGTACGAAAAAGTAGGATTATTTTAAGAAGCAAAAGTTACAATCTTTTTTTCAAAAAGTGGGCGGGGTCAGAAATTTTTCAGAAAAATTCGTAGGGGGTGTAGAAAAGGTCATACAAAACTGTTACCCTTTCTAGTAATGCATAGTTTATTAATAACTCATAGTTGGAAATCGGCAAAAGGAAATCTTTTTACAATAATCTGATATTACAAACATAAGTACAATACATAAGACACACTAATATCATTAGTATTAAGGTAATTTGTCAAATGGCATTAATTATTTTAGAAATATTTATCTTTATTTAATGAAGAATAAAAGAACATATGATTCGCCTAAATGAAAATGATTAAGATGTAATATAATGGAGTAAACAAGATATATTCAAAAAGGTGAGGTTGACCGATCATCTGATTGCTTATTCTGCTTTCCATTTGTGCCGATATAGACGAACAAAATGCATTAATCTAACGTCAAAATTGAGTTCTCTCGGTACAAATTGGTAAAAATTCTTACTGCACATCTGTCACCGACAAGGACTAAAATATGTGAGCTTTTTGTTCTTTTATTTCTGCAACTAAAACGAACTCTGGAAAGTCTTTTCTTTGCGTTATGTTTTATCAACATAAAAGCGATTTTACAGGTTTGTAAAAATGAATTAACTACATGTTTTACTCTTTTATCGCACCAAGAAGCCAATTAAAACAAAGTATGAAACAATGAATGATGACAAAAATAAGCAAGCAAACAATTAAGATTCAATTCTAAAAATTCACTTTGCCAAGCGCCCATCTTGACGTTTACTCAGAATTACTTTCCTGTAATAACTTATTTATTTTGCTTGCAAATCCCATGGCATGTGGAAGCACTCAATCAAGCGCGGGATACCACGTGATAAGACGCAGAACAGATCGATACCGTTGCATGCACAGTTAACTGCGCGATATGAACAAACGTTTTGTGAGCAGGGTTGCAAATATCAGTTATTGTTTCGTCAAACTAAAAATTCTTATTTGTTATTAATAATATATTAAATTTTTATAGGATAATGAGTAGCAAAAGAGGGAGAGGGTTTAACCCAAAACACTTAATTTAGACAGATCAAAAAAGCATTCGCTTATATTAATTTTGTCGCCGGTGTGTATGTTTATATATTTTTAATTTTATCATTTTAGGTTTTGAGGAATAAGAAGGATTAAAAAACCTAGTAAATATGCCCATTCCGAAGCGTTCCATTGAGCCAGTTCATGTCTCTCGGTCTTTTTACCAACATAATGATCTGCAGCTCATTGAACTAGAGACCGTTACAAATACAGCACTAACAAATATAATTCGCCAGTTATCTTCCTTATCTAAACATGCCGAAGATATATTTGGTGAGCTGGCTCATGATGTGGGAAATATAAGCAATCGAGCAAATTCGTTGCAAGCGCGAATAGATCATTTGTCCATAAAAGTAACTCAATTGGATAGCACAATGGAAGATGTCCCTTTGACTGATATAACAAGAAAAAAGGGTTTCCGATCTACCAAAATTTTTGATCAAAAAATATTTTCCCATTCGACAATGCCAACTCCAATGCTTGAAACCTACACGATGTGTGATAAGCCGCCACCGTTGAACAAATTGAATAGCTATCGTGACGATGGAAAAGATGGCCTCAAATTTTATACCGATCCAAATTACTTCTTTGAACTGTGGCGACAAGAGATGCTAAAGGATACGGAAAGAGTTATGCACGATAAAGGAAAGAAATTGAATCGACCTCGTCAACAAGATGATAAACGAGTCAGAAAGCCTCATAATACAAGAGAGAAACAACGACTTATTGCTATTGGGCATGGAGAAACAATAATGCCAAACAATATTACTTACCAAACCCCAAATTCAATTATTAACATGGAAGCGTCTTATGGTAGTAAGTATTATGTATAATTATCTTATATTATTTGAGAAGGTTTGAAGGTGGGTTAAGCATCTCCAGAAGAAAACGTAATATTAGTTTCTCAACCATTTTTTAACACCTACGAATTAATTTTATTTCTGATGCATAACTATGAGAATATTTTACTTTTATTTGTTTTTTAGATGATGGAATTTATGAGTCACGACAACATCGCCCTAACTCTATAGATCTGCGCAATATATGCAATACTGACCAAGCAGGTGGTGGTTTTTATAGTACCGTATCTCAGGCTGCTCCGGCTATTTCCTCAGCAGTTGTGTCTGACGCTATTGGTATTAACTCATCCGTGCTTGGAAAGCACGAAAACGGAACTTTGCCAATACATTCCATGGACAATACTGACCAAGCTATGCAAATGCAACATTTTTTTGACGAAGAAATGTTGAACGAAAGTCAGCCATATTGTGATCCTGGATCCCTATCTTCAGAGGGAATGTGTGCCCCTGGAGCAAACTCAAGAATGAAAATCCGACCTTCTCAACCACCCCCTGCTCCTCCATCGAACGGAAGCAAAAATTGTACTCCTGTATCTTCCAATGCAAATACTCCAACACGTAACCGAAATTTGTTAAACAATCGCGATATATTGCCTCCACCTCCTCCCATTCCGGAAGGAGTTATGAACACAACATCCACACCCAGAGCACTCAGTGTTATAAACGGAAACTCTACCATTGGTGGTCCTATTCAATTGCCTAACAACTCTACAATTCGCGATAAATCCAATATTATGTTACACTTAGATAACAAATTTGCCAATATGAATATGATTATGACATCCCAACAACTTAATTACAATGATTCAGCATCTGCAGGAAAATTAGAGCATCAGGTTTGTAAACTAATCAATGCACTCGGTATTAAATTGCATTACGCCTATTTAATACTACATTTCCTTGGTAATATTTTTTTTAGCACACTAAGAAAACCTCGACTATTGCGGCACCACCACCACCTCCACCGCCCCCACCACTTTTGCAAACTGAATTTACACAACAATGTTCTGTTGGAGGTCTTAATGCGGTCATTAACGGTGATGTTCATAAAAGGATTATTGATGAAACAATTGGTGCAAAGAAGCACTTACCTCCATTCTACGATTCTCGCACTGATCTTATGAAGGCAATACGTGATGGTAATAACTATTTAGAACTGTTACTTTTAGGCAATTTTTTCTATTTATTTATTTTATTTTAATTTTTTATTTAGGCATAACTCTTAGGAAAGTGGAGAAATCCGAGCAAAAAGAAATAGAAAGAAGTTCGGCATTACATGATGTGGCTTCAATATTAGCCAGACGCGTTGCTATTGAACTTTCAGAATCAGATGAGTCGGATACTGATGACAGTGAGGGATGGATGGAGTCGGTTGAAAACTCGGCTTGATAGATTTTACCGCTTCAACTGTTTCAAAAATGAATTCGATAAAAATGTTAAACATTATGAAGTTTGATTAGCGATGAAGACAACTGTACACCTTCGACAAATTATATTATTAATAAATTACCCACATCCTCCCAAAACCTTTAGCTGCTCTTTCATTATTATTCATCATTATTTAGAAAATCTATTTAAATAATAAAAATTCCAAGGTTATTTCCTCTAAAAAATAAATTTGAATCCAGAGGGAACTTCGAGGAATAGTTTAAGAATTATGAAGAAATTACTGTTAGTTTTGTTAATAATTCTTGTTAAACTTAACTACTATTAAGGTTGCATTCCACCTATTGTACAACCTCCAAAGTGGCAACGTTGCAATCTGCTTTAAATACTGAATGGGAAAGGTATTTAGAACTGAAGAGAGAAGCAGGTCGTATTTGCAGAGGGAAGAATAGAGAGACTAAAATTTGAGTAGCAGTAAAGTTTTCCTATTGAAACGAGAAAAGTGATTTGGTATCATACGATATAGAAATTAAAATTATGCATATAACAAATACAACAATTACAATTCGCTAATCTTGTAGAAAGGGCCATCGAATTTTTTATCGAGTTTCCTTATTGGATAAACTTTGTGTAGTATTGAAAGCATCAGTTTTGCTGCTACGACCTCGACTGACGAACTGCAAGAATAATGTGAATCGCACTTAACTTCCCAACCCACTTGAAAAAATATTATCGGCCGTGTTATCGCTAAATGTTTTCTCTATCTAAAACGTCATTTGTTTTTAATATTTCGTCTGGGTAATTGATTAGTTTTCTACGTTTACAAAAATGTTGTTAAGCCGTTGTACGTCCAAGAATTTAATATCACCGAAAATTGGTATTAAGTAAGTAGAAACGGTTAATTTTTAATTTTTTTGCTATGGTGACAAATTTTAAATGATCTGAGAAATGAGTTCTTCAAAGCAACATATTTAAATCAAGATAAAATTGAACGAAACTTTGAGATCCTTCTGAAAATTTACATTTACATTTACACAGAGTTCCATTACGGTGGATGAGATCTTTTTTAAGATAATTTGAGTGATTTCAAGGTTTTTTTTGTATCACAAACAACATATATACTATATGTATAAGTAGTGATGTTGGTGCTTGTTTACCGTCATCTGTTCAAAGTTCATTTGGCTTTGTTACCTCCAAAAGAAAATAATATAAAAACACATTAATCATTAAATTGAGAAAGTTTGTAAATTATTATGTTGAGTGATTCTTAAAATATTTAATTACGAAAATAAAAATTATATATCATGGCCTAATGATTTTTGAAAACTAGCTTAAGTAGTTCTCGATATGTGCATTTTTCAATAACAAATTCTTTTGTTACAGCACATACATATGTATATGTTATATACTATATGCATTTATGTCATATTAGGGTGAAAGTTAATCAGCCTCTTGCACGTTAAAAAAGGGCCCCTGTTGTGGTATTATACATTATCCAAAGGAATAATACATTACTTCCATTTAAACAAAGAAAAACGTTATACACAAAGTTTTGATTAATGCAGATAAACTTACCATTCCGAAGTATCATAGTATGTATTTAGTCTTAGTTTTTCATCGGAACTTAGTCTGTTTACTACGATTCAGCACGTAAGCGCAAAAATTTTTAGTTGCGTATAAATCTCGAACATTAACGCCAAAAGGGCGTAAGGACATATTTATCGATTTTCTTCTTTAGATGTAAATCGATAACCTACCATAAAATGTACGAAATACCGTTACAAAGTTATGAGGAAAGTGATTTTAGATGTGATATATTTTAATTATACATTTCTCATTAAAATAATTACTAAAAATTGTATTGGGTTACTAGAATTGAAAACTTAATTCGATATGAAATGTTAACCTTCTCTAAACCATTGCAATAATATGAAAAAAAGTTAACTCAAGTATCCAAAATTTATTAATTTCATAAATTAAACATCTTACAATAACTATGTATTTTTTAGATTTTTTTCAGCTAAGCCAAAAAGGGATTTTAAAGATGCCAGAACCCAACCAAAACACTCACAAGCAAAATCGAGCTCATCATTTATGATGAATGTCTTTCGTGGAAAATTAGAAACCAAAGAAGTTTTCCCTTACCCTGATGTGCTCCACGCTGATCAGAAAGAACTAATTACAAGTTTTGTTGGCCCGTTTGAAAAATTTTTTCTCGTAAGTACAATAAAAACTAGGCATGAGCAAATGAGTCTATCGACATAGCTAAAAGTCATCACATCACTATAACGACATCACATCACACGAAGACGTCATCGCATGACATTCGTACGTACTTACATGCATACATAGATAAATATTCGCAAGTTATATTTTAATTATTACATAAAATGGCGGGTGAAATCTAAGAATGCAAGGAGTCGATTAGGCCGTTCCGGTACAAAGTCCCGATGTCGCGGGAGCTAGTCGATTCTAGTCGACTATTACGATAAAAAAAAATCGTATCGCGGGTAAATTCTTGAACCTCTTATATACAGCTATGGTCTCGCAAATAGCACAACTTTCCTTCCGATACATAATAATGAAACAAAGGGATATTTGTGCTTAAAAATATTGTAACGATGTGTTCACTCAGTTATTATTTAACACAACCTTTATAAAAAAACTTAATAATAATTCAATGAAAGTTTAAAATAATTGAAAGTTTGAGGTTCCTAATGAAATTATGTGGTCACGCAAATAGCACATTTTGCAAAACTTGTAATTTTAAGTTCAAATATGCCAGATCATATACCATTATTAGTCTTAAGTAGGTCTTATCTATTAGTATTTGGTAGTATATCAACGATTTTTAATAACAGCTTCACATTTGCGTCCCAGGCTCTCAGCAAGTTTCTCATATTTTTCTTTTGGTATGGAGTACCACTATCCCTTGACGTCCTCCCACAAATCAACGAATTTTTTGCAGATATTTTTGTTTTAACATCGTTCCATAAATTTTCTATTGGGTTTAGGTCTGGGCTTTGCACAGGCCAATCCAAAATACGAATATTTTCCTTCTTAAGCCAATCTTGTGTGACCTTCGCGGTATGCTTAGGATCACTATCCTGCATAAAAGTCCAAATAAGTAGCATGGAGTCAAATACAAATCGTTCCATTTCATTCTTTAAGATGTCCAGATATTGATATTTGTCTATTTTTCCATTTATCCGCACAATTGGTCCAACGCCATGCCCGGAAACTGCCCCTTAAATCATGATATTACCGCCTAAATGTTTTACGGTCTTTTTATTGTACCTAGGATTCAAATCTTGACCTCTTTGGCGATGAAATGTGGTTTTCCCATCCGGTTCCATTCTATTTATTTTATCGCCCGGTTCTCAGGCGTCTTAGCAAACTTTAACCGTTTTTCTATATGCCGTTTTGACAGGAGTGGTTTTTTGTGGGTATTGCTTCCAAAGAGCTGGGTCTTATTTAAACGCCTTCCGACATGGCTTCTTCATATAGTCAAATCGAATTCTTCGTTTATTTTCAGCATTTTTTGCCTAGAAAATTTAAAAGGATCTAGCCTCTTTTTTCGTATTTTGGCTCTGTCTTCAAAAATCGTTGCCTTGCGCGGAGCAGGTGCCTAGGATTTGTTTTGAGATAGATAATCTTCACTCTCTTGAACCAGTTTAAAGATATTATGTACTATTTTACGGGAATAATTCCAGAAAACTGCAATTTCTGAAACACTTTTTTTCTGTCTTAGCCACGTTATGAATAATGATTCTTTTTTAAGGAGAACAGTGTTTACCGCAACCCATTTTAATTCAATCTGCGTAAATTTTGATAGAACTGAACTTTAAATGTATTTAAATTTCACTAAAAATAAATAAAAAGATACTTTCAAGATCCAACCGATGACTGTGCTATTTGCGTGACCACCACTAACTAATAGCACGATCAGATAAATCGACGAAAAAAATATGATTGATAGGATAACGGGACTGTACGAAACGCACTGTAAACTAGATAACGTAAGTAAGTAATTGGCACTTTGTAACCGCTGAAGCGATTTTCGTCCGAGCTCTTCCTCCAATTTGTGGTTTTGCGTCTTGATGTTTTTTCAACAAATGTAGGCCCTACAGTTTATACTAAGCCGCCTCCGAACGGCTGATGTTTTTTTATGAGGAGCTTTATTTTATATCGAAAATACACTCGTAGGGTTTGACATTCCTTGCCAATTTGCTACCGCACTTAGAAAACTTAGCTTAATTTTTTTATTCAAATAAATTTTCTACAACTTTTTGAATATTAGTTTCCATTTATGTAGTCGATTGTTTTTGAATAATTAGTATAATATATTTGTTATTGCATGCGTGCTCGTATCAGAACTTTTACTCGTATTCCTGAAAATACATCCACCTATGTTAATAAAATATATAATTTGCTTTAAGGAAAGTAATAATCCTACGAAAAATGATGAAAACTCAAAGATAGATGATGAAGTGCTTGATCAATTGTGGCAGCTGGGAGCATTTGGTATTCAAGTCCCAGAGAAATATGGAGGACTGGGACTTTCTAATACACAATATGGTCGTTTATGTGAGATTATTGGACAGAATGACTTAAGTGTAGGTATTACCCTGGGAGCGCACCAAAGCATTGGTTTCAAGGGTATATTATTGTTCGGAAATGAAAAACAAAAAGAAAAATACTTACCAGGATTGGCATCAGAGAAAGTATATGCTGCCTTTGCTCTAACTGAGCCTAGTTCTGGGTCTGATGCTGCTTCAATTCGGACACGGGCTGTGAAAAGTGATGATGGGAAATATTATATTATCAATGGTTCGAAAATTTGGATATCCAATGGAGGCATTGCTGATATTATGACAGTATTTGCACAAACCGAACAAATAGATCCAGAAACTGGTGAAAAGAAAGACAAGGTAATACTTAGGGTTTGATAATTGCCATCGCATCGACATTTAATAGTTTCTTAAATATTCTAATATGAAGTGGAAATTGTTTTGCAGGTGACAGCTTTCATCGTAGAGAGATCATTTGAAGGTGTAACCAATGGACCTCCAGAAAAGAAAATGGGTATCAAAGCATCGAACACGACATCCGTGTATTTTGAAAATGTCAAAGTACCAATTGAGAATGTTTTAGGAGAAGAAGGTGAAGGGTTTAAAGTGGCTATGAGTATATTGAATAATGGCAGATTCGGAATGGGAGCCACTTTAGCTGGTACAATGAGAGTTTGTATAGAAAAAGCCGTCGAACATGCAACTAACCGAGTGCAGTTTGGAAAGAAAATCAAAGAATATGGTGGAATACAAGAAAAGATATCTCAAATGAATATACTTCAATATGCAACTGAGTCCATGGCTTATACTATATCGCAAAATATGGATCAAGGTAGTAAGGAATACCATTTAGAGGCAGCGATATCAAAGGTATTTGCATCTGAATCCGCTTGGTATGTTTGTGATGAAGCAATTCAAATACTTGGTGGTATGGGTTTTATGAAAGAGGCTGAATTAGAACGCGTACTCCGAGATCTAAGAATTTTCAGGATCTTCGAAGGTACAAACGACATCTTGAGACTATTTGTAGTACTAACGGGTATTCAATATGCTGGATCACACCTAAAAGTTCTACAAAACGCATTAAAAAATCCCGCGGCTAACTTTGGTATTGTCTCAAGTGAGATTTCCAAAAGAGTCTCAAAGTCAATTGGTTTGGGTGCCATTGACTTTAAACCTTTCGTGGCACCAGAGCTATTACCATACTCACAAAAAACCGCAGCTTGTATAGAATCTTTTGGAAAAACTATTGAAGATCTCCTGGTAAAATATGGCAAAAATATAGTTAATGAACAATATATATTGAACCGACTATCGAATGCTGCAATCGACATATACGCAATGGTGGTGACACTATCCCGGTCATCCCGTGCATATGAATTAAATTTACCCACTGCACAACACGAATTGAATCTAACCAAAGCGCTGTGTATTCAGGTAATTATGTAGAAAATTAATACCTATGCTATGTTTTCTTACCCATTGGTTCAATGCATCCGCATACTGCCTTCTGTGTATTATTAAATAACTTGGTACAAATAAACTCCAATTTCAGGCCTCAAACAGGGTTATGGATAATATACAAAGTACAAAAGCGAAATCTCAGATGGAACTACTTAATATAATGGGTGAAATAGCTGGAGAAGTATACACTAAAGGAGGTGTGAACACAACTCACGTCATCACTAATTGTTAACAAATAGTTATTGTTTAAAATATGCCTTTTATAAAATTTACTTTACGGAAATATAAAGTCTGGAAATTTTTTAGAACATTTTTACATAACTTCATCGTGTGATTTGTATGTTTACTAAAATTCATCCTTACCAAATCGGACTACTACATCATATGACTTATCCTGTAATAATACTCCTTTTTGGCCATCTAGCTCCTCGTATCCACAAATAGTTTTTCTGTTGGTATTTTAAAATTTTAAGGCAAATTGTTAAGAAAAATAGTTCAATGAACAACACATGCTGTGAAATGACAGTATTAAAAAACTGTGTTTTACTCATATAATGTAAGGAGCTGGCGCAGGTTTAGTACTTCTGCGCACTACGATAATACATTTTAATTTTTTCATTTTGTAAATATATTTCTTACGTGCCCTTATGCCGAAAGATCGAAACTCCAACTGATCGGCTAAGCTAACCTCAATACATGACCATGAATCGCAAACCTATACCGGACTAATTAGAAAGAATACTTGATATCCTTCAACCTCTCTGGAGCTATCATCAAACATGACGAGACACGAAGAAGTCACGATACCACTGCGGCGTTTGATTTCGCCAGAGAATTTTAGAGAAGGTGAAAGGCTTCAAGTCCATCGGTCTCGACGAAATAAGCATGCTGATGTTAAAACATCGATGCAGCCGGAGCAAAATCCTCCCAAGGTCCTAAATTTGTGTCTGACACTTTAAGAAACGCGACATGCGGAAGTAATCCGAATATGGGAGTCTTTGTTTATTTTTTATATTTCGAAGCTCCCTCTACCACCAGAGGGAGTTTTCCTGATCGCATGTGCCTATGACTACTCAATATTGGCGACTACTCAGGATATTAATAACGTCAACTACAGCTACCAAATCCTCGGCCACTCTCCTCACTAGCTAGATGAAGGAGTACCGGCTCAATCTTGAGACATATAGTAATTTTGTTTCCTACTGAGCAAGGTTGAGTAAACTTCTATAGGAATAACAACAAGTTCTCCGTGCAGTAAACTCTATGAGCTGTGGATATAAGTGCATTGCTAAGAAATCGACCTGACTTTATTTTTAATAAACGTTAATAATTAGTAATTAAATATTGGTGAGATCCAAAACGTCAGTTGGAAAGCAGCCATACATTGTTACGCATTCCTAAATGCAACTGCGGAAACTTTGACGATGTATCATGTTCCAAAATGTATCGGTAAATCGATTATTGATGCGAAAACAAAAGCAAAATTCGTATCGCTAAGGTTTGTGAAGCTTTATTTTATTATAAATTCTTAACAACAACGGCCGACATGTTCGGTTTTATATATTAGTAATTTCACCGAAAAGAAACTTATTTCCACGAAAAGCGGTACAAAATATTGATGAGTGCATAAGTTCGTGCCCGATTCCGCTGGATGCCGTTCGAATCGTTTGAGAGTGGCGCTCGTGAAATAAATATATACATATTATATATCGTTGGAAAGGTGACAGTCCGAACTGTAAATCAAGCATAAAATAACTTCATTTTGATTTGAGTTGCTTAGTGAAAAGACGCATGGAAGATGGACAACGAAAAAGATCATATGCGTCATATTATGTTATACGAATTCCGCAAAGGAAAAACAGTAGGCGCTGCAACTAAAGATATTCGCGAAGTTTATTTGGACCGTGCTCCAGCACTCCGCACAGTAAAGAAATGGTTCGCGAAATTTCGTTCTGGAGATTTTAACCTCGAAGATCAACCTCGCAGTGGACGGCCTTCTGAGCTTGATGACGATGTTCTAAGGACTTTAGTTGCGAATAACTCACGTATTTCGACGGAAGAGGTTGCCAGTGAATTGAACGTCAACAAATCAACTGCGTTTCGTCGTTTAAAAAAGGTTGGGTACACTTTGAAGCTCGATACATGGGTGCCACATCAGTTGAGTGAAAAAAACAAAGTGGACCGTATGTCAACAGCAATTTCTTTGCTTCGACGGATCAAAAACGAACCTTTTTTGGATCGGCTCGTGACTGGTGAAGAAAAATGGATCCTGTACAACAATGTTCAACGCAAAAGAACATGGAAACAGGCACACGAAGGGGCGGAACCGCTGTCGAAAGATGGATTGCATCCGATCAATTGGTCGAATTGAAGAAAGCAATTGATGAAAAACGTCCGATTTTGGCCAATCGCAAAGGAGTTATTTTCCATCATGACAACACCAGGCCACTTGTTGTAAAACCGGCCCTGGCCAAACTGAAGGAGATGAATTGGGAAATCATGCCGCATCCCCCATATTCACCCGACATTGCACCTTCTGATTATCATTTGTTTTGATCGCTGCAGAACAATTTGAATGGAAAAAAATTTAAAAATGTGGAAGACGTCAAAAACCACCTTGACACCTATGAATCAGGCATCCGTAAATTGGTTGAACGTTGGGAGTGGATTGCCGAACATGATGGCAAATACATAATTGATTAATAAAAGCGCTTTCTTCAAAAAATTTCAATTTTAGTTTGCACTTGAAATCGGGCACGAACTTATGCACTCATCAGAGTTTGCAAAGCATTGTTGCAAGGCAAATTTGTGGAATGCATTGTTGTATTGTTATGGTACGGTTGCGAAAAGGCAAAAGGAAAGACAAAGTATTTTGAAGTTTTGTAACTCACCCTGTATTTGAATGGTGGAGTATACAAAATTACGAATTGTCATGTCGTTGATACCGTACTTTCAACTATTTTGCCGTTCTAGACGTTTTATAAGTTTGCCTATAATAAGTAGCGAAATACAACTCTTACTAGCGATGGCATAATGCAAGCTATCGATTTAGATTCGATATTTTCTACTTGTATTTGTAATAATAGAGTGTGATTGTTAGCTATATGGGCAGTTGAAGTTTACTCAAAATTCTATAATCCTATACAGGTGTCGAAAATATAAATAATGGGGAACTCAAGGTCATCAAGAAGTCCCTCAAAGCGTCACCATAGCAAAAGTAAACACAAAAAAAGAACAAAAGATCGGGATCGGCGAAGAAATGATACTTCCGAAATCGATCGAAGTGAAGAACAATCACGGAATAATAGTTCCCATAAGAAAAGTAAATGCACTGAGTCTATAAGTCAATATGAGTACGAAAGAAGTAGCCGTGGATCTTGTCACTCAAAATATAGGTGAATAAATAGTAAAGCATAAATAGTTACCTGTCTTAAGTGCAAACTTAATAATTTCAGAAAGCAATCAAATGTTACAAATAGCTCCAGCGAGAGCTTGCATTCAGAAGATTATTATGAGGTGCGCCCAAAAAAACGAAAGCGGTATAAAGAGGTTGATGTTGACCGGGAAAAAGGAAGTGGCAGTTCCCGACGTCAAGAGGAAGAGGGGCAGGTAGGATTTGCTTAGTTTCGAAATTAAAGAACATCTTACAAACATTTAGTTGAGAAGTTGACATTTTACTGAAATGCCGTTGATATTTACAATTGGATTGTAACATATTGATGTAATTATTTTTATTTCGTACTATTGACACATTTTCTGTTTCGTTCTAAGATAATTAAAGAGGAAACCAGTAAGCGCATTGAGCTATTGGTTAAGAAAAGAGTTGAAGAGGAATTAATAAGACGTAAAGATGAAATTGAGAAGGAAGTACTCCGTAGAGTAGAAGAAGCAAAATCCCAAATGGAGTTAGAGTTAATGTTGGAACTTGAAAAGCAACGGGAACAAATTCGTGAGGAAGCTCGGCATCGTGAGGTATGTATTTAGTTTAGCATTTTATAATAAGCAAAATAGGGTACGCATATTAGCTTATTTTCAGTGAAGGTTCCAATTTCTTTATTACCGGTATTATAAATTGTAAATTGTTTGTATACCATAAACCTTATATGTACTTGTAGGAGTTCGAGAAAAAGAAGAGAGAAGAACTCGAGGGCATTTTTGCAGAGAACAATCGAAGAATAGAAGAAGCTCAGCGAAAATTGGTATGTAATTTTTAAATTTTTAAGAAATTCGAAAAAGATTGAATGACTAAACATTACAGTTCCCATAAAGTTGCTTTATTGTTGGTATGTTTATTTGATTTATAGGCTGAAGAACGATTAGCTATGATAGAGGAACAGCGGTTGATGGAAGAAAGACGCCAACGAATACGTAAAGAAGAAGAGAAACGAGTCAAAGAGGAACAAAAAATTATACTAGGAAAAAATAATTCTAGACCGAAACTATCGTTTTGTTTGAAACCTGGTGCCTCGTGACTTTTTTATGTGTTGATGTACATTTTAAATCTTAATAACCTTAATTATTTTATAGTGTAATTAAAGTAAAATACTCCACAAGATGTATAGAGAAAGTTTATTATTGCCACTTTGGCTGACTGTGAATGTTTGCTTCACTCATTGGTCCCGCAGAAATCTTTATTTCTTCAAATAGTATTTCCTTTCTCTTTTGGCGGTAAGTAAATTTGGACATGGACTCTACTTTAGTAATGCCTCTACATTTATTCACCTGGAGAGATACCCCACGCCATGTGGTTTCGAGAAAAATTGTAAAATAATATATTCCATAAAAAATTTGTTCCTCATATACATTTTTATTGTACACAAATATTTTTTTTCTTTTTATTAAATTACATCTTATTAATTTCCGCTGTAGACAATAATGTTGATGTCAGGGATGGTCCATTTAAAGAATTTACATTAGAATTTTCGCTTATGTTCACTTCACTAATACTGGTTTTGTTTTCCGTTATAAACCAATGTTTTTTATTGAACAAAAATAACAGCATCAGGCAAGGTAAATGTAAAAGCGAAAATCTAAATAGCGTCCGAGATGTGTTGCTATCCGATTTTTTGTAAAATTTATATGCTGAAAATATTAGTGTGAATAACTAGGTGATATTGAAATATATATTGGAAAAAGCAACCGAAACAAATTTGTAATATGTATATATGTTTTTTTTTTTAAATATTGTTAATAATTCTTGAATCAAGCACAGTAATTAAATCCAAACTTACCCAAATAACAGAAATAGGCATTCAGAGGAAATGACTCCAAAGCAAACCAATTATTGGTGACATTAAGAAGTGGTGCCGCCGCAGAAAGTATTGTTAACGCAGCCGTGTATGACAAAGTGGTTCGACGACACAGAGCAGGATTGGTAACCGACATCATACGATATCCGGCACGGGAGTAGTCAGGCCGAAGATTCCATGATAAAGCATTAAAGTGCGGGAATTGCCAAGCAAAAAGGACACCAGCTAATAAAAATGATGATGCATCTAGATGTCCAGCACAGCTCGCCCAACCCATTAATGGAGGGATAGCTCCTACTAGAGATCCAACCCATGTATTTAATATACTTATTCTTTTTAACGGTGTGTACACAGATGTATACAAAATAAGATTTGTGGCTCCTAGTGTTGCAGTGAGTCCATTCACACCGAAATAAAGTAAACTAATTCCAGCTGTTGCAGATACAAATGCAAAGGCTATAGAATCCAGGGGAGTTAATTGTCCTGTAACTAATACTCGGTTTTTAGTTCTTGACATTTGAGAATCAAAGGGAACTTCGTGATACTGATTGATTGCATTAGCGGCTGCGGAAACCAGAAAAGTACCCAAAGAACATGATAAAAATGTATTCAATTCGAATGGCGCTGGAGCCATTGCATAGCCACTCATTGCTGTTATCACCACAAGAGCTAAATAGAAGGAATATACTCATCAGTTTACAATAATAAATTGGATAAACTGCCCGACTTACACGTCAACCGGAATTTAGAGAGTTTCTTAAAGTAGCCTCCCATATTATGTAACGCCATATTTGGACTTGGTTTCCAGACGTTTTCCTTCACACACTTCGCAAGCACATCCGATTGGTGATCTTGAGACAAATCTCCATCATGTTTTTGGTTTATTGGAGGAACTCTGTTCACAGGTACTGTAATCACCTCTGCGCATTTTCTTTCCAAATTACTGCAATTCGCCACATTACACATAGAAATATATCTAGTAATCTTAATAAAGGGTTATTTTCATTCTTTTATATTATATATACATCCTACCTTTTGAGGCTTTGCTGCACCCCTTCGGTAAAATCTACAAAGGAGTAACATTATTTAACTATATTAACTTATAAGCTTGTCCACATATCATTTTAAAATTTCACACCAAACACATTTCTCGAATTCTTATTAAATGTTGATTTTATGAAAGTTCTCTCAGAGAACTTATAATTAAATTAAATTATTATAAGTTCTCTGGTTCTCTTCCACAACTGTCACAGCTGTCAATACTTACAGTGCATACAGTTTAGAACATAAACGTTAGCATCGAATCAGCTGATCCAATCAAACTTCTGTTATACGAGTATACTTGAGTTCAACTAAATACATTTTTGTTGCCGCAACTTCTAGCTTGTAGTAAAGAATGCGACGATTAAATTCTATCAAACTGAGTTATTTGTCCTCGAAGAATATAAAACGTGTTTTCAGTGTAAAATTTAATGTTGGGGTACCAAACCATAGAAAATTAAATTTAAAAAACATGTTTTTTTCTAATTGCTTTCGCTTCTTTGAAGGTCTTATTTCGGTCTTATTTCTCTTCTTTACACTATGTGCTCGGAGACAAAAAGTACAAGTCGACCGACGAATCGACTAGACTCTTCACATTTAAGGAGACTGAATTCTCCGACTGTATGAGATAATATTGGTGTCATAGGAACCTGTTAAAGCTAGAAGCGTTATCCTTACACTAGACATATCCAAGCCCCTAAAATTGCGGCGCTAGGTTGCCCCAGAAAGTGACTATTAAATCTTTTTCTACAAAATTAGGTGAATGTTTTGTACACTTGACAATAACTCATCTGTGACTGTATCGCAAATTGAGTATTTTTTCCACTATACGGCAATGTTGCTTAGCTGTGTGGTTTATCAAACTCTTGTACTATTGACAGCTCTTTATAGCCGTTTCCCAAATACAATGGATTGAGCAAAATTGGCTTTTTGCTCCTAAAGACGAAATATTTGAGTTCTTCTAAATGGGTGGATGTCCCTCCAAAACTTTTTTACAAAAGATATCGCATGAACCAAGAGGCGACTACTCTTGTTGGTTTTCCTTCAATCCGCAGACATGACATGCAGTTGGAAGTTGCCCCAAAACTTATTGCAACAACAAAGACTTGGGGTGAATTTAATATGAGGCGCGTCGTAAATTCAGGTAATGGCGGAACGACATTCGCTACTGGCTTCTGTATGCAATTGACATTAAACCGAAACAGCCAGGCGACAAATCGCAGATAACGGATTAAGGAGCTCAGTAACATGACAGCCACGAGTATCGAGGAATAATAAAGTAAATTAGAATACAATTTCTTTCGGAGAATGTTCATACCGAATTTCTAACATGGAATAACAACTTTCGTCGTTCGGAGACGGTTCAAAAAACTGCATATTCCGCCGTTTCTATGAAAAACCCGAAGACCACACCATAAATCTGTGTATGTATGTATAACATTCAATAATCAGAAACACCAATGTTGAAACTAAAAATATATTTTATTACATCTTTATTTAACAGAATTTAAATAATTTAATATAAAAAAAACATTATGAAGGAAAAACTTGAATATACATACATATAATGGTTCTGTTAGAAATGTGAAAATACAAGTATGTACAAACATAACATTATATATTAAACTAATAAGCTAAAAGGTAATAGCGAATTGGGATTATCGGATTTCCCCTAATACCAATCATTCTTATGTCGATTGAACCCGTATATCAATTTTCCTCAAGATACCTTAAATATTACTAGAGTTATCCGCCGAGATGAGTATGTCTACTCTTCTAGTTCTTCGATTTTTTATATTCTTACAAACATGCAACCGTTATCTGTGTATTTATAGCCGGTGTACTTCTGGATGGTGGATTTTTTTATCAAGAAAACTACGGATCTCTGTTCGGAGAGCAAAATCGGTAAGGACTAGCCTATGACGAAATGTCAAAATTGTGCTCTCTCAGCGCAAATTTTACTGGCTTTTTGCCTCGCCGAACGTGGTTCAATAAAAATGTTATCCTTGCAAAATAAAATCGACGTCAGTGTATAAATATGCCTAAATATTCAGATATAACTATTCAAGTAAAGAATCTTCAGCTAGTTCTTTCTTGTTTCACAATTTTTTATTAGATCATATTTAAATACAAACATTCCAAGAGCCATTATCATTACCGGAATTACAATAGTAAAACTCGGAATTGGCATTGCTGTCGGCTGCGTACTGGTACTGTATTTGGTAATTATCGGCCTCTTTTCCTGAAGAGTTTGGGTTTTGGTATTCCTCAATACAAGCTGTATGTAGATCTCTCGAGACATGAGAAAAGGGAATTTGTTGCATGGGTGTGGGCTCAAATACTGTATTAAATATTTCAGTGGTCTGCGCAGCGAAGTAGGCAACCGATCTGGCCAATTCTTGTCGTTGGTTGTTTGAAATAGAAAATGCGTTGGAAGACGAAGAACATGGTACAAAGCAGGAATAGTAATAATCGTCTGAGTTATACCCAGAACTGGAAGTCACACTAGATGTGTCATCGTAGTTTTCATTAATACCACGATGTGAATCATGATATACCGGGGTATGAAATTGGGCATCATTTGTCGCATTTGAATCGATTGTTTTCATTTTGCCGGAAAAATGTTTCTGTTGTCGTTGCATGGGTGAATAATAGAGGGAAACTGAAGATGATACAGCTGCTGGGGATGGACTATTTTCGAGCATTGCATAGGAAGTATTGTCTTGCCTATGATAATTAGATGAAGAGGTTAATTGGCTAAAGTTCGAGTTGCTCGTAAATGTTGCAGAATTAAAGCATAAATTTGAGGACATAAAAGATGTAGCATTAGCTGGCAAAATCATAGGCTGTTCTGGGTTATTTTCGTTTTGAGCTAATGGAAAGACGTTGTGACAGGTATCAGGAATACCACAATAATTTGAAGTATGCTGTGCTTTTTCTTCAGTTTTCAAGCTAATAGGTGTATTTATCAAGCATCCCGTAATACTTTGGTGTTTACTGTCTAAATTGCGTGCTATTTTTCCATGAGTAAGCATTATAGATGAATTTCGAGCTCGTCGACTGCTGCCAAAGAGGCGCCTTGTTTCAGTTGAACCCTTTGCTTCTGGTTTTGGATGGTCGTGGGTTCCTTTTGCTTGAAACAAAATGGCATTATTAGTCCGACGCCAAAAATGAGTGACTGGATATCCACAGTGCCCTTTGCAAGGTTGTATTTCCAGTCGACCTGAACAATTTCTGGAAAAGAAGAATAGAGTTCAATTGAAAGAGTTAGAATTATAGAAATAAATAATAGTAAAAAGCCAAAACTTCAACTATAGCCACTATGAGATCAACTCAGACAAAACTCTTCAATTTCCAAACATACAAAAATTGCAGCACAAATGTATGTACGTACTCGTATGGTTTTTGTTGAACTTTTTCATGTATTAAATTCATTTTCTTAGACAAACTCTTCCAATTTCAGCATAAGCATCTGCAGTATACATACACACATTTACTAAAGAAATTAATAAAAATAAAAGCTGCTTAGAAAAATCCACCGGCCCTTCTGAGGCGGCTTTGAGGCGGCCCCACCATGTGTTCAAAGAAAAAATGAAGACGCACACCGCACATTGGCGCTACAATGAAAATCGCTTCAGCGCAAAGAATCTAATTTACAAAATAATTTTACTTGTTTCATGACAAATTAAGTTGAATTCTATACCATTTTTCTTTGAAATCTTAGAAAACCCGCTCAACATCTATATGTGCCAAGAATTTACATGCGAAGAGTCTCTCGAGGAAACAAAACTAAAAAAGCAGCAATCGGGAAAAGATGCGGTCAGAAACATAATATTGTCCACTGGACATAGAGTTATTTCGGTCGAAAGTCGGCAGGGAATGTCAACCCCTTCGAATGTGTTTTTAACATGAAATAAAAGCTCCTCTAGGTTACTTCAATTCTTGGAAGAACATCAAGATACATAGTACGAAATGGTGGCAAAGCGTCTGGATGTTTCTCCAACAAATGGAGAGACAGTTTATACTAATCCGCCTCCGAACGGTTGATGGTGTTTAAGAGGGGCCTTTTTCATGTCAGAAATACACTCAGATGTATTGACATTCCCTGCCGAGTGGCGACTGTTAGACGACTTAGAAAATTTAACTTAATTTTTTATTTAAATTAATTTTTTATAACTTTCGGATGCTGGGCGTATCGGGACTTCAAACCTGTCCATCTGGATGCCAGTACGAAATGCTAACTACTCGAGTGCCGCGGCCGCCAAATATATGTTTAGACCCTTACTATTTTACGGCGCCCGCGTATGCTGATCGGTACTCGAAAAAATTACTTACAGAAGCAACAGAGAGAGGGTTCAGTGGGGGAACTCCGCCAAATTTTTCTCTTTGTCTCCCTATACAGCAAATTTCAAGAGAGCTGCCGCGCAATTAGACGGAACGCTATTCAGCTTAGAAGGAATCGCTTCGTAGTATATGCCCAAATATTATCTTTTGCGTGGTCTCCGCAACAGTTTACACCACCTTCAATAGTGATTTAACAAAGCAAAAAATCGATGACAGGATAAGCTGAAGAATCCATTCACAATGTTTTCTCGAACAAAGGCAATGCACACCAGCAAAACAATTGCAAAAATTGCCCTTCGTCTAAAAGTAAACACCAGATGGCTGAATGTGATCACGCATTACGTGACAAGGTACATATCGCCTGCGTTGGACCGGTTCTCTACCAATATAATGATGTCCAGATAATGAGTCGATACTCTAATAATTTGCGTCGCAGCTGTAAAAACAGGAAAACGTCTGTTGAACACTATCAGTACCTCTGTTACTGAACCAGCTCCAGTTAACATTGACGCACAAAATATTTCTTAAAGGTGATTGAAACCTCAACCCGGTATCACAAAGGACATATATCCATACATATAAGTCTAGATACATTGGCCTCTGACCAACAGCATCATCAATTCAACTTATGGTAAATTCATATTTATGACAAAAATTATTATTTTTTTATTCTTTTTTTTTACAAACTACAAAAGTCTACTTTATACTTATGTAATTCAAGAATACTCAAGATCAAACATTTGAAACGTCTTACTCATATTACCGTTAATTCTTGGTAGTGTTATAGTAAAATTTCTACGCTCGTATTCGAATTCACATAGGATATGGTAGCTTTCCCTCGTCCTATAGTTCGGTAGGAATTCATTAGTTTTTGACATAAGCCATATCGATAAATAAAAAAAGGACGCAATTGAACACCCAAAGCAATAAGTTGTTCCTACAATTTATACTAAGCCGCCTCCGAACGGCGGATGGTGTTTTATGAGGAGCCTTTCTCATATCAGAAATACACTCGAAGGTGTTGACATTCTCTGCCGAGCGGCGACCGTAGTTAGAAAATCAACCTTAATTTTTTATTTAAATTAATTTTCTATAACTTGTGGATGTCGGTCGTACCTAGATTTTAATCCTGTCCTTCCGTATGCCGGTACGTAATGCTAACCAGAGCCAGAGTAGCCTGCAAAAATCAAGTTGGTAATGTGCATGTGCAAAAAGGGAAGGACCTCTCCGAAAAATTCGATACTAAGCGCTGTTTTCGACAAGATGACACCTTATCGTGTGATTTTCTAATTTGTTGCTTGAGGAAATTATACGAGCTGCAAAGCTGCTCTACTACGTAGTTGGTATTGGTATCAAGGACCTCAACAACAGCGAGTTATGTTTTTTCCAGACTGTATAAGGAGGAAGATGTACATAATTTCGTCTATCTTGAAACGAATATTAACACTAACAACAGTGTCAGCCTGAAAATGTAACGCAGACAAACGTGAACAACGGCAACATCTAATGAGTGAGTCGGCGTTAGGAGTTTTCTGGAGAGGTTTTGCGTAAGATTTATGATTCTTTGCGGATAGACAACGACGAAATCCGTAGCCGATGGAACCATGAGCTCTACGGGATATACGTCGACATTGACATATGGCAGCGAATTTAGAGCCAGCGGTTACGAGGAACCTTTATTTCATGTCAGAAATACACTCGGAAGGCTTGACATTTCCTGGCTGCACTTGGTGTTTCCAATTGGCGTCAAACAGCGAAAAGAAGGAAAGAATGGCGCACTTTTGTTAACTCGACTATAATCACGTAAGACGAAATTATAAAACACCCAGATGTATTAAACCATCTATTATACAACTAACCAAAGATACCTCAACTTGGCAATACATGTACGTACACGTACATATGTATGTATGTAGTAGATGCAATAAAATACAATCTAAAAACCTGATTACAGAAAAAACAACACTTATGAGACTGTAATTCAAATAAAGGAAATAAAGCAAATACAATAATAGTATTAATGTCGCGAGCTATGCATGCATACATAGTTATTGCTTCTTCGAAAGACAAAGCCTGACTAAAAAAAACCACCCTTACGCGCGTGCGCCAATATGACTATCTACCGTTTTTGCGTTTTCTGATGGCTGTCTGGTATAATACAACACAAATTACACACGAATAGTGCTTTATTTATTTATTTCTTTACTTTTTTCCTTGAATTAGTTTGCATCTGCTTGTGTTTTTTGAAAATCGATCTGGTATTATATCTACACTTTCTGAATTTCAGTTTTCCAAAATTTGCTCGGAGCTGTCTAACACAAGTATTTCTGAAGTGTTTACCTGCGACCAAACGGTAGTTATACGTTTTTCTGGTCTAAATTGAACTCACGGTCTACGGACCTACATACATATGTTGTTTTATTCAAAAGATGGCTTTGTACCAGAATAAACTGTATAACCTACGATATTATCAAAACAAAAAAATGCATGATCGGATGCTGGTATAAAAATTATAATAAAACTTGAAAAATTGTGAACTTTTATATAAAATATAATTTCTCTTATTTTAGACTTTAGAACACTTTCCCTGTTTCTGTTCGGCCTTAGCAAGAACTCGTCTTAAATATCTCGAAGCATCGCAGTTCGAAGTACACCTAGATAGTAAGGCTCTCATGAACATCGCGAAAGCCGTTGACGTCCTTTATGACAACTACTTTAAATCGTAATAAAACCTACCACCACTTCGCACTAAAATGGACCAAAGGGCCTATGTAAGGCGCATCAGCTGGTCAGTGCAACCTGAGCTAACCTAACATATTTTTCAGATGAAAATCACTTCAGCGGTTACAAAACGCCAATTTTAATTTAAGTGAAAGAGCTTCGGAAGCATATATAAAAAATTAGATTCCGCTGATGAAAGATTTCCTTAAGGTTTATAAAACTAAGGTATTCTATTCTATTTAAGGAACATACACAATTTTATAGCCTCTGTGTTTTTTACGTCCTGATACTTTTTCTACAAATAAAAAGATCTCCAGGTTTAAACAACCTCCCAACGATTATTAACATTCCTATGTTGCAGATCGTGTTGAGTTTCTCCTTTGAAATATTTGCTGGAGATGATTCCAACTTATAGACATCTGGCTTGTGGCACACTCTGCTACTGTTACCTGCTGCTGCGGACAAGATAATTTACTTTTACTCTTCATGTGAGGAAAGGAGTAATTCCGAGCAAGAGAGCATTTTTTGTCCACTGTGAATTTAAACGATGATGCTGATATTTTTTAGAAAGGGCCGTAGGTAAACCAACTGTGGATATTAAAATGCTTCACGTAAAATAAATATTCTTAGCATATTTTAAATTCTTCGTTCCTATTGTTTTATTAGCTTGAAAGAAGTAAAGCGTGAATGGTTTTAAAAGCAAAGGTCGTAATTATAATCTATGTATGTATGTATGTATGTATGTATATATATAAAATCGGCGCTTTGTGTTAAAGTTTTTTTAGGTGACTCGTAATCAGTAAACTGTTTCTATAGCACGTGCTTAAAGTTTCTGAGACTTTCGCTGAGTTATTAAAAATAAAAGTCTTGAAGCAGTCAACTGTTAAAAAACGGTACTAATTGTGTGGTTTATTGTAAAAATTGGAAATTATTATTTAACAATTATAAGATATGTTTAATATATGTGGTAAATATGTATATAGTTTTATAATATTGTCATTGTTATAATTTAAATAAATGATAAGTTTTGTGCATCTTGGTCAAAACAATCAAAAAGTCTAGAGTTACGAGATCATTTATTTTTAACTGCCGAAAATGCTTTAGGGAACAAACTTTTGTCCTCGAGCGCCAATATCTCGTACATATGTTCTCGGATTAGGGAATTGTTTTTTTTTTTTTTAATATATAAAGCGCTCGAAATTAAAAAGAAAACATCTTGTGACATAGAAAGCCTCTTCGCTGTTTCCGTACTACCGTAAATTGATAGCAGATTCTTTTAGAACTCGATGAAGTAAAACTGTTGGACGCCTTCATTAGTTTTTGAGAAATCGAATGGAAAACCATATAATTATTTTAGACAATATATTAATTTTTGTTTCTGTATGGCTTCTGATGGAACACAGCAGGGAAGCTAATATTTACAAAAAAATATTATCGGTATTCCCCTCAATTTTCGAAATATTGGTCCCAGAACTCAATTTACAAAAAATATTTTTTTTCGGAGTTTTTATGTAAAAAAATAATAGAAGAATCCATTTTTTGAGTGACTTTTGACAGGTCCTCTCCTACGATTTTTAGTGCGCGTCGTGATATTTTTCCAACAAAAGGATGGTTTCAATGGTTAAATAAATATACTCCAATGAGGTGGCATTGCCAATCCAGGAGAGGCAATATTTCGAAAAAAATAGAGTTCTTGGCACCTAAAATCTAGGAGGGAAAAGAAAATTCTACATTTGATACATTGGTCTGTCGATTTCCAAACCCATTAACTCTCCTGGGCTGTATTTATAAAAACAGAGGAAAATCTTTTAATAACCTCTTTTAAAACTTTAAATTTCATTACTTTTTGATTAAATATTGTACAATAATACCGTGCAACCCTGCTGTGCTGTACTATACTAAAACTTTTCAAGATTAAAACTTCGTAAATTTTTTTTGCCTGATATCTCGAAGTGCTATTTCATTTAACCATCTCATCTTATTTCATCAAGTTCTATATACTCCATTTTCCACTGATGGGCCCACATTTTTACGTTTAAAATTTTTAATATTTTTCTTGTGCGAGGAATATTGATAGATTTTTCATTTATTTTAGAATACATATGTATGTATGTGCATATATTATAAATATTTTTTACCGATTAGGGCACTGTCTACCCTGTTGTTTACGCCGAGCTTTATCACAAATTGCAGGTCGCAAATTTATGCTGTTACCATTTGATAATTTGCATTTGGCTGTGCAATAAAGTACGCCTAAACAGCTTTTCTTTAAAATATTAATATTGTGATTGTTTGTGTTACGCATGGCCCAGCCAGACAAATGCTTCTTAGCGTCTTCATTAGATGCCGAATACACCAGACGTCGATGCCCGTCGACCCACTCATCAAACTCATCGAATTTATCAACAATTGGTATAATCACATCATTTATGTCCCAGGAAATGTCTGTCCGCAATTGCAATGGTGCCGGACTCGGTAGTAGACAATGTGTAGCCCGCTTGTTGTTTTTTATCATTGAATTATTTAATAAAATTTATTTTGTGAACTTTTTCTAATTTTTTTTTAATTTTTTTTGCAAATTATTTCAATATGCGCTATTTTCTTATATTAGTTAAATTTAATTACTTTTTTTATTCACTTCACAATTCATTTTTTGAATTAGCTATATGATTAGCGCGCGCTTACGTAAAATTCTTCCGATTATTTGTATGTCTCATAATAACAACTAACTTTCATCTGGTCTTTTATTCGGTTGTTTTCGTTAGTCAAGCGAACTCCTTTTACGAACCCCTCCAATAAACTGTATGCTTTCTGTGCAAATCATTTGTTGCTGTATTCACACAAACCGACAGCACGACATGTTGATTGGTGGAGCATTTATCAGCTATCAGTAGCTTTTAACAGACATTCGCCCCATCTATTGCATGCATTTGTGTCCGCCTATAGAACACATGAGGGTAGGTTTTATTTGTAGTGAAATTATACGTATACCAGAATTCCGTATAACTTCGGTGAGTTGGAAATTTACTAAGTTTATTTAGTAACTAGCAAGGTTGCGGAACAAATGCATTAAAATGGTCAAATAATACTGCAAAATACGAACTGTTTGTATGAAGAAACTTAAAAAATGAAGCTCAATTCAACAAGTATATTAGTATTAGTTTAAAATATAAATACATATATTAATACTTGTGATATTTTAATTATCCTGAGGAATAATGAGCTGGAGACCTATCTCTAACCATTTTAATTTGTATTCAATACTTTCAATTTAAAAATTTCCAAACTATGCATGCATTGAAATTGATGTGAAAGGTGGAGGTGGTGTCTATATGAACAAACGAGGCCGCTATTATATTTTATATGTACATATATGTGTGTTAACTAGCACTTTTTAACCGCCGAAGCGATTTTCGGCCGAGCCTCTCATCCAATATGAGTGCGTCTTGATGTTTTTTCAAGAAGTGGGCGGCTACAATTAGAAAAGTTAGCTGGTCTGACCAGGGTCGAACGCAAGGCACTCCGCATAATATCATGCACTGCTAGCTACTCGACTATTGGAGCTGCCAATATAACATTTAAATTTAAGGTTGCGTAAATTGCAAGTAGTTTCCGTAGATTTACAAAACAATTTTCCTTCTCCATACAATTTTGTACCGCCTTAATGTACATTAATACTTTTTTTCCTATTTCATTAAGAGTTTTGCTAGATACCTTTTTCAAACTTAACGTCATATGAGAGCTATGCGTAGTTTTCGACCAAATGCCTGTAAATTTGACCAATCCGCAATGAAGTCGCTAGTTATTGAAATAAAGGATTTATGTTAGATTCAATTCCAAGGCTCAAGGAGTACTAGGTTCCATGAAGGTCTCTTACTTATATTATCTCTTGGTTACGCTGGTCTCATTTATTTAGTCTTTGCAGTTGTAGTAACTTTTCTTAAATTTAGACAGCCAAAATACATACATACGTGTACATATATATATTTTTAGCAATATATTTGTTATATAAAATATTGATTTTCTAATTAGATGGAGTTGTCTAAAATAAACATACATGTACATACATATACATATTATTCACAAACATATTTGTAAATACAAATGTATACGTATGTATGTACATATTTACGAGTGTGTATATACCCGAATGTATGTAAAGTGTATAGTGAGCGATTTTTTCATTGGATAAGAAGCCTGGACCGTTACCTTATACCTTTGCATGTATACACACAAATGTATGTACATACCTACACGCCTGTAGCAGGTTACAGTAACAAGTATCACAGCAGAATTTATCTGCGACCAATAGCGTTCTTATACGTTTTTCTGGTCTAAATTTAACTTGTTTAAGGTATGTTACATAAACTCATCAGCGGAATTCATAATATTTTAAGCTTTAAAGAATAGTATATCTTTCATTCATTATTCAAAGATTGGCTTTAGCTCGCTTCATAGGTATGCATTTCAACTTTGGAATATTTCGTTCCTGAAAAAATTGTATAATCCTAAAATAATATCCTAAAATTTCGAAATCGAATAGCGGAGAGATGTAAATAGCACAGTTTATAGTATATAGTTATTATAGTTTTCCTCTATCTCTATTAAAGACGTTCCGAGTATCGAATTTGTCCACGCAAGGTGGACTCCACGCCGACCTAAATAAGGTCGAACCAGTTACATTTGCTGGGAAATACAGAATCTACTTATACGCCCACCAACTTAGAGTGGTCTTCTTTTAGCCCCTCAAAATGTTGAAAACAGCTTCACAACGAAGCTGCAGTATGAAAATATATATTAGCGAATCGAAACTTAAGCCGATGTTCTTTTCGTGATGGAAATACACTCTGAGGGTTTGACATTCCCTTTGAGGGATCTTGGTCGATTAATTCGTGGTGCAGCGTGCAAACTGTTGGTCAAGGAATTTATCTATAAACAGGTCTCGTCTCGTTAATTTAGAAACAAACAACGATTTGATGGGAATCTAGGGTAATTTAAGGTCTAATAGGCCACTATAAGATGGGACGACATGTTCAAAACTCCTTATAAAAGATGCTTCAGAAGATGCAAAATTACGAAGACCTCGTAATAATACAGATAAGGCCGAGACAGCTACTAATAACATATACGTTCCATAGAGATATATATTCTCTTTTGACTGACGACGATATGAGCCGGGTAACAAGTGCCATGTCAGAATATTTATAACTACTGTATGACAATTATGCCAAAAATCGTCAACAAGCAAGCGTACAGTACGTGCTACACGACAATTATACCAGAATTAACACGTCACCAGTGTGAGCAGCGATTCGACCAATTACTATGCTGGCCGCCGGACTAAATGCAAACATACGAGTACAACAAACCACATTCTGCTCTTTCCAAAGATTACTGAACATACTTTTTGAGCCATGTTTTAATCAGACAAGGCCAGATGGACCCTCATTTATTGCACCATATCCCATTCTCCTGAATTGTAGCATTATCTGATGAGTTGAGGGTCTTCGAGAGAAAGGTTATGAGGAAGATCTAAAGTGCTTTTCGTATTGGCATATGGCGAGTTTAATTTACTATAGTGAATTAATAAATTGCGGAGAAAATAATAAGAGCTGCAGAGTTAAATAGACCAGGTGCAATCTTTTACGAGTTAGTACAACTACTGGCGTATGCCGCGAGGACAAAATGAAATCTCTCCATCATCCAATAAACAGTCATCGCATTCACGACTTGGCTCCCACGTCCCTGTTAACAGTCAGAACTTCCATAACTTCTAGATAATTTCATCTATCTAGGAACCAGCATCACCACCAATAATAACGCCAGTCATGCAATCCTACGCAGAATCACTCTTGCCAACAGGTGCTACTTAGGACTGAGTAGGCAATTGAAAAGTGAAGTCCTCTCTCGGCGAACCAAAACCAAACCCCAAAAGTCGTTCATCATATCCGTTATCCTGAATGGCGCAGAAACGATGTCAACATCTAATGAGTATGTTTGGTCGTCTTCTAAAGAAAAGTTTTGCGCACGATTTATGGTCGATTGCGCATTGGCTGTACGAGTAATACGATGATATTGACATAGTTCAGCTCGCTAGGTTATGTCAGCCGAATGCTTGAAAGCACTCCAGCTTTGAAAGTATTCGATGCAGTAACCGCTGGTGGAAGCAGAGAGAGAAGAAGACCTCCACTCCCTTGGAACGATCAACTGGAGAGCGACCTGGTTTCACTTGGTATTTCCAACTGGCGCCAAAGAGCCATATATCTATAATTTTATTAGTCTTGGCAGGGATCAAACCCTAAAGAAATGAATGACCTGTTATATCTGACCGGTTTAAACCTGCACACGTTCGGGTTGGGATAGATACCGAGAGATGAAGAAGGAATAAAGACGCACCAGCAGACAAAAAGAGAACGAGGCGGAGATGCGTTAGTACGAGGAGCTTGAGAGGCTGGCCGACAAGTGTAATGTTCGAAAATTCTATGAGAAGATACGACGACTTACGGAAGGTTTCGAAACCGAAGCAGACTCTTGTAAGACACGAAGAGGTGATCTAGCCACAGATGCCCAGAGTATACTGAATTTATGGAGGGAATACTTGTCCAACCTGCTGAATAGCAAAGCGAATGGATAATCCGGAGATGGTGAACCCGAAACCCCAATCGATGTCGATGGAAAAGATGTTCTTGTATGTACCTGACAATGGAGAAGTTCGAATAACAACCACCCGCTTAGAAAACAACAAAGCGGCGGGAGCTGACGGCCTACCGGCAGAACTATTTAAACATGGCGATGAAGAGCTGACAAGGTACATGCACCAGCTACTTTGCAGAATATAGTCAGACGAAAGCATGCCCAACGATTGGAATTTAAGTGTCCTCTACCCTATCCATAAAAAAGGGACCCCACAGTCTGCGCCAATTACCGAGGAATAAGCCTCCTTAATATCGCTTATAAGGTCCAGTCGAGCGTATTGCGTGAAAGACTAAAGCCCACCTTCAACAAACTGATTGGACCTTATCGGTGTGGCTTCAGACCTGCTAAGTCAACCATGTTCCAAATCTTGGAAAAGACCCGTGAGAAGGGGATCGACACCCACCACCTCTTCGTCGATTTTAAAGCCGTCTTCGATAGCACGAATAGGAGCTGCCTTTACGCCGCTATGTCTGAATTTGGTATCCCCGCAAAACTTATACGGCTGTATAAGCTGACGCTAGACAACACCAAAAGTGCAGTACGAATTGGGAAGGACCTCTCCCAGCCGTTTGGTACAAAACCAGGTTTCAGACAGGGTGACTCTTTGTCGTGTGATTTCTTCAATTGGATGCTGGAGAGAATGATGAGCTGGAGAGCTGAATAGAACAACGTCAGCCTTGAAATCCAGCGCAGAATCACTTTTGCTAACAGGTGCCACTTTGGACTGAGTAGGCAATTGAAAAGTAAAGTCCTCTCCCTACGAGCGAAAACCAAACTCTACGAGTCGGTTACCGTTCCTGTCCTGCTATATATTGCGGAGGCATGGACGATGACAACAACATCTGATGAGTCGGCCTTGGGAGTTTTCAAGAGAAACTTTATACGTAAGATTTACGGTCCTCTACGATTTGGGAACGGCGAATACAGTAGCCTATGGAACGTTGGGATGAACGAGATGTACGGCTCCATTGACATAGTTCAGAGGATCAAGAAACTGCGGCTATGCTGGCTAGGTCATGTGGTCGGAAGATAATAATAATACTCCAGCTTTGAAAGTTTTCAATGCACTACAGATTCTAAAATATACAGCTCAAATTTATTTGAATATTAGAGTTGTAAGCGCCCTAAAATTCAATAAGTTTTATGCAAAATTTATCGTTAGTATTGCACAGGCACATCTTATTCTTCGCGGCCCTCATTGTCATCTTCATTGTCATCCCGACCATCTTCCTCTACCGAATTTGTTTCATTACTAGACTGCAACGTTATCTCGATTTCAATGATGGAATTATTGTGGGGACCATCACCGCCTGCTTCTTCGTCATTTAAGACTTGTCTGCTAACAGTTCGTTCTACAATTGACGTCGTAGTTTCTTGTTGTAGAGGCGACTCCTCACTCGAAGAATGAATGCCACCAGTTTCGTTGGCATTAGAAAAATCTAATGCATCTGCTGAATATTGAGACGGGACTTCTATATTACTCTCCACCGGAGGTATTAATTCATTCAACTTCCCTACGTAATCGGGATCAGATGATTGGTTAAGTTGGTTTTCATCTTCATTTAGAATAAAGTTATTAATTAGTTCATATGACAACAGAGTGAATTGTGAATTATTGTTTGGTCCACCAATCTCTGGATTGGAAGATGTTCTCTTTAGGCTATGGTCCTCAGAGTTACTGTAACCGCTATTATTCCTTGACTCGGAATTAGATGCATTAAAAAATGATGATCTATGGACATTCTGAAAAATTTGTGTATGTGCCGACTGCTGGAGTCTCTTTGGTAAAAAACACTGATATTTGTGGCGGCGACCTGAATCGTGGAGACTTGTACAGGCAAAGTTCCCTACAGAAAAATTTCTGTTCAAGTTTCGTCTCGAGCAGCTGGCATTTTGAAGACTGTATGGCGTATTTCTCGGTCTGTTCTTTATTAGTTGCACAAGATCGACGCACTGTTTTTTCTGAAACCTTTTACGCTTCATTTCTTAACAAAATCGATGTTTATTTAAATTCCTGCTGTTAATGTGGAAAAATTGTTATCGCGTTTAAAACAAAAATTTTGTATTGTTGTGATCAAACTCAAAACTCAAAAATTAGTCAAATGCCAAAAAGAATTAAATTTGAGGGTTTTTTTTTTTGATTAGAATTACGTTTTGTAAATACGGATCGGTTTCTACATCGAATTAGGGTACAGTTGTAAATACTTCAAAGTGTTCTATGCAACAAAAACTGCCAGTTAACGATGAGGCTTGGGTCTCTCCCACACTGTTGTAGACAAGAGGCGGACACCGAGCGAGGCTACCATTGCCGATAGCTTCACTTCCAAAGTAGAACGTACCACTAAAGAACTGTGTGGTGGATCGCAGATAAACCCATCTGAAACTAGCACTAAAAAGGAAACGTTTTGTCCTTGTAGATGTATTGATGAGGCATCTATCACTGAGATATTATCTACAAAAACGAGGTAAAATTGAATCTGCTGAGTGCAGAGCAGACACAGACGAGGAGGAAACGTTGGAGCACTCCCTTTGCGAGTGGTCGCCCTTTATCGATTGAGGCGTCACGTCTTCAACGAAATCCCAAGCACCAGATTACGGTAATGGAAAAGCATGGGAGAAATGAAATAAAAAAATTTACCAAATTGCCTGCAACGAGTCATAACATACGAAAATAATAATATTCGCCAGGTACATAACAACCCATAACCACCTTTTCGTAGCAAGAGGCGCCAATATTTAACAAAAAATATAGCCTTCGACATTTTGGATACCGGTTTAGCCATGACCCTTTGAACGGACAAACGGAAAAACATATTTTTCGGTTTACAAAATACGTGAATAACCCTTCATAGAGAAACATAGTATGGTTACATACGTGAACGAGTTACAGCGAGTTGTCGTAAGATCTTGTAAATTTAGGTAGCATTACATTAATTGAGTTAAAAAATACGAATCAAAGAGGGGTATGGGACTAATGCGACTGACGTACTATATTTTAATTTTCGAACCCAGTTGGTAGAGGCTAGGCTCAAATCTTTCACACAATACATTGGATATGGTAGCTCAACCTAAAAGAACTGTCGCGAACTATGGAGTGCCCCTTATTATGAATTGCGTAGAGCAAACTTTCAATCGACGATATTATGCAAAGAAGCTGTAGCTTCTTACCGCTTTGTTATTCTTCAAATAAGCTACCGTCTATATAATTATTATTAATTTTGAAGGTATTTGCCGCATTAACCGCTGATGGAAGCAAAGGCAAACCTCCACACCTAAGGAAAAACCGAAGGACCTGGTTTCACTTGGTTTCTCCAATGGCGTTAAACTGTGAAAACAGTGAAAAATAGTGCCTAACGCTAGTTCATCCGTAATTTCATAAGACATGTGAACTGCAATTAAGAAAAAGAACAAATACAATTATTTTCTGGTTTCCGTTTTTTATAATTTATTAAACTCTTTCACGAAAATATCAATATGATTCCTCAAAATAAATCAAACGCACCGATCGGATCTGTGGTTATTCACTAGACAATAATACAAAATGTTAAGCGAACATACCTACACGCCATCTATGATTCTATTTCTGTAAAGAAAGTATTATTTATATTTCGACCAAATCGAAACTGTTTCCCGGCCTCAGGTCCATTTCCAAAAAACAAAATTAATCCAATTAGGCATATCATCCAAAAAATTAACTGCAACGCACAAGGAATATGTTTATTTTTTCAAACATGTTGATCCGCTTCCCGTAAATAAAAAACAATTTCTAGTAAAAAGCACAATAATTACGATTTTTTCGAATACGTCAGTCCCTTGTCCACTTCCCGAAGAGAAGAGCAAGGGTATTTCTGTTAATCTAAGAAAAAGCCATCTATGTACCGAATTTCAAGTTAATAGAAAGTTAAATAAGTTTTTCCGAATAGGTCAGTCCCTTGTCCACTTCCCAGTGTGAATAATAGACAATAACCGATTATCATACCTCACACGATATGAATACAAATTTCTTGATAATCGGTTACGCCGTTTTGGAGGAATTTGGATAGGAGCACTGTGACACGAGAATTTTATATATTATCATATATTAATTAGATTTTAAGAAGCATCAGCCGTTCAGTGGTGGCTAAGAAATAATTGCAAAATGGAGGAAGAGATCGTTCGAAGAAAAAATGTTTGTCGCAAAAAAGAAAACAGTTTTATGGATATTGCTGTAAGTATAAAAATATTCTGCCTCGTGTAAATTGATGTTTCTAATTTCCGGGTAAATTTGAGAAAAAAAATTTAATGAAAGGAAATTGAATAATTCACTGAGAAATTGGGCAACATTATCGATTGTTTATATGAGTGAAATCGATGCAATGCCTACAATCCTCAAAAAATGTATAAATATTTCACTGCACAAACAAATACATACCACTAACTACATACGTAATACAAGAGCAAGCACTTTATTGTTTCTATTTTAGAGAACCCTCTGTACCATACGCGAGCTGGTCATCTGTGTGTTCTAGCTCTGTGGATCGTAGTGAATATATATTATAACCAACCTAGAAGTTTTTAACTACTGAAAACACTAGACATGGTTAAGTTTAACTCGCGAATGAGTTTGCTATCGTTATAAGTAGATGTATTTGATTTTTTCTTACGAAATATTGCTTCAAACATAGAAAAAAGTAAATTTTCCATTTTTTTTTTATATCAATAATCATGACTGACCGAGATATTAGAGTGCAATGTGTGTTGTATAAATATGTGATGACGAGATAAAATACTTCGTTCATAAAAATTTCGTTCTCGATTGACGATTTGATATTTTTAAGTTTGTTTTAATTCTTTGATTGTTATAAGAGTATACGAAAATTGTGTTCACAGTTATTTTGTAGGAATTATTCCTTACAAAATGTGTATATTATGTTCTATAGCTAAAAATATCCGCATAGATTGATTGAAATGTGGCACGCAAGGTAAACACTATAGCAATATATAAAGAAGTGGTGCCTGTGTTTCTTAATGCATACATATTTACATGAATACATACATACATCTATCCAAATCGAAGCACTTACAATAAGACTTGCACAACGGTTTTTTTTTTAAATGCTCCAGAGTTGGTGTACGATCGTTGCAGAATATGATACTCGAACCAGAGCAACTGTAAAAAGTGAGTAACTTTTTATTCATGCCAAACACCCACTAAATACATACGTGTACGTATTGTACACACTTATATCCCTTGAAGACCGTACAAATACATGAGCAAGTGGCTGTACATAAGTAAAATCGTGAATGTGAATGTGAGCTACGAAATATTACTAGTACCAGTATTTAAGGTAATTTTATTTTTACATAAATATTACAAAAAAATCGAGATTTTGTGGGGCTCGGCCGTACTAACGTATCGCAGATAAGGATAGGATCAATTTCGGTTATATGGCTTTGCGGCAAAAAAAAAATGTTTTAAAGTGTTTGAATTTGAAAAATTTAATTTTTGGTGCCAACGTTCTCAGAGCATTAATTCCTTCCAAGGTTTGCTTTGTAAAAATAATAAATACCAAAAATATTGGCTGTAACGGTTGATGTATAAAAATATAACGAATAGGTAATTTGCAAAGGAAACATAAACAAATGTTTTCAAAACAAGTGTGTGGTCTGGTGTTATCATGATAGAGCAACACACCTTAGCGATTGGTCAGTTCAAGGCATTTTTGATTGATTTCTTCGTTGAATTTCAATAGATGACTGCAGCAGACATTCGGATCTTCTTTGTCTGTAAATATTTTCTCTGAATGTTGACTATGGAAGCTAATGCTGCTAATTCTCAGTGATCACTTTCCAACTACGCTATCATAAATAATCCATTTTTAACACCTGTTATGATTCTATTTACACATCGCTCGTTTTGGTTACAATTCAGCCAAAGAGCTTCTTGGTTAGTGCGTTTGGTGAGATTTATTTGCTTTAAGTTCGGATTGTAATCGATTCGAGTACAGGCCAGCTCAATATCAAAATTATGGAAAAAAAATTTACATCCGCAGTCTTCTCTCGGCAGGTAATGTAGGCGGCCGCAATAGCCAAACGGTTAGCATTGCGAACTTCCATTCGGAAGTTCAAGGTTCGAGTCCTGGCTTGACCAACATCGTCCCTAGGTGTATTTCTAACATGAAATAAAAAGCACCTCATAAAAATCCAGCGGTCGTTCAAAGCGAGCTTAGAAAAAATTGAAATCGCTTTAGCAGCTACAAAGTGCCAATTTCCTATAACTTACCAAAGTGTGAAATTGCTATGCATTGCTGGATGGTTGAGACCGGAAGTTGAGGACCTAACATTCCTGAGTTGTGTGACCATAGCTCCAGCGGTTTTCCACGGCAGGACATAAAAACATTCAGTGCCCTTACATATGATTTCTTCGTTAAATCCTTTAACAGCTATACCAACCTGTAGCTAAGGCTTTGTAATTGAGGCGATTTTCGGTCCAACTCCTCTTCCTATTTTTGCCTGTTAAGGTTCGAACTCATGACCATCAGCATCGTGGTGTCTGATGATGTCTGTATTTCTATCATAATACGGGCAGCTGGGACAAAGCTATGCACAAGCAAATTCTAGTAGTCATTCTTCTTCTTCTTCATGGGAGTAGGCACCGCTTACGCCATTATAGCCGAATCAACAGTCTTTCTTTGTTTCAACTTAAGGGTACAGCATCCAATACTTTCAAAGTTGGAATGTTCTTTTCCATTCGGACGACATAACCTAACCTGCCTCTTCATTAGCTGAATGCCAATATCATTGCGTCAAGGACCACAAATCGTTTGCCAAACTTTTCTCTCGAAGACAGTTGACATCATCCACGCCATGTAACAAGACATTATGCTATGACGACGATTATTTGTTTCAGGACAGACGATATTTCGTTTTGTCCTCGTTTTTTACCAGACCTACTCGCTTCGCTTCTTTATCAAGTGTGGAGAAAGCAGAACTAACGGCGAGGTTGTTAAGGCTTATGATATCAACGTCATCGGCATACGCCAGAAGTTACCCGCTTTCATAAAAAATGTTATTCTCTTTGTTCAGATCTGCTGCTCTTATGGTTTTTCCAACATTAAGTTATAGAAGCCGCACATTAAAGAATCATTCTGTCTGAAATCTTGTCTGGTACCGAACCGGTCGGAATGGTGCTTCTCAATTCTGACTGCGGTTTTTGTGTTGTTCAGTTTCCATAGCCCTCTAAGTTTTAAGGAATATCAAATTCCGTAATAGCGGCGTATAGGCAGCTCCTTAGTGAACTGTCGAAGGCAGCTTTAAAATCGATAGTAAGATGTATAGGTTCTTTTCTCATGGGTATTTTCTAAGGCTTGGGGGCATGGTGGTTTACTAAGCCCAAATCCCCACTGATATAGTCCTATCAGTTTGTTGACAGTGGGTTCAAGTCATTCAAATAATATGCTCCATAGGACCTTATATGCGATATAAAGCAGACTTAGGTTCTAATGAAGCTAATACATGTACCTCATCAGCTCTTCACCGCCATAGTTGAACAGCTCTACCGGTAAGCTATCAGATCCAACCCCTTTGCTGATCTTTAAGCAGGCAATCGCTATTCGAACGTGTTTTAAATCATCATCGATTAGGATTTCGGGCTCACCATCTCCGGGTATTGCACTTTCACTGCCATTTAGTAGGCTAGAGAAGTGTTCCTTTCATATAGTAAGTATGGTGTGGACATCGGTGACCAGATTACTAACTTCGTTTCTTCATAAGTATGCTACGGTAATGGAACCTTCTGTGAGTCGCCGCATCTTTTCATAGAATTCTCGAGCATTTGCGCAACTATCCCAAGTATTGTGGTCGATGGCAAGGTTCCAAGTCGATGTTATGCCCTCGTCTTCCCCAGATTAATTCATTGATTTAAGATATCTGTGAGCACTCTATTCTAGCAACAGCGAGTCAGTATAACCTAAACTAACCCAAATGTTGTTCTACTTTCCTCAATTTAACTTTAAAAGTATTTTGAAAAGCGTGTCTGTGACTTTCATGTGGTAGCCAACTAAAAGTCTTTTAAAATAGTGTCGGTAGTGGATTTTCCTAGTGAATCACGAGCCTAAACCCAACAAACCACCTGTGAAACCGAGAATTCCTAGCACATCTAAGGTCTAACTATAACGCAATGGATTAACTCTTATCCAGCCAGACAAGACTCAGATAACCTCGACTTATATCCAGCGTGCACGGAGTCCCCACGCGACACTAACCACCTCCCTGCATTTGGTCCGAATTAGTAGCAGTAGCTCGTCTTCTTGGTTGCCCATTCGAAGTGACCTTAAATTGTACAAATCAATCCGTTACTTCTTCCTCGCCATCAGACCTCTTGTTTATAATAGCCCAGACCCCTTCCCAGTGCTGCAAATGTCTCTAACAATCTGCTAATGGTTATAATATTAATTTAGTTGATTTTACTCCTAAGTACAGCATCTTTTAATAGAATTAAATATTTTTACAATTTATTATTTTCAGAAAGCAATGAACTAGAAAACTTTAGAATATTTAATGACCGCTGAATCGAAAAGAAGAAATCTCTCTCGAAATTTTGAATACGACTTGAGTGTATTACAAAAGTAATATATAAAAGAGCAGAAGAGAAGAATGAAAATACTATTAATGAGAACTACGAATTAAAAGTGAAGTAAAAGTGATGATTACCACAATTAATTAATTAAGATAATTTAAGATAATGAATTCATTTGGTACGCAAAAAACTTCAACTACTGAAAATGCACACACATCAGCTATGAACGACAGCACACAACGACCGCAGATTAGCGGCGGACGCTTTGATTTCGAAGACGGAGGGACATTTTGCGGTGGATGGGATGACGGCAAGGCTCATGGGCATGGCGTGTGTACTGGTCCCAAGCATCAGGGAGCGTATGCTGGCGCTTGGAATTATGGTTTTGAAGTGTCTGGAGCGTATATCTGGCCAAGGTAATTTACGCAAAAACCCATTAGGGCATTTTTGTAGAACATACACGCACATACACACATAATAGGAATATTTAAGCGTACGAGCCCCGCTGTTGTTAGTATTTCGAGTTATTGCCCAAGTAAAATATATCCTTCTTTAGCTATACCTTTTTTTGCATATCTTCATTAAAATGGTGTCCTCCATCTCGCACAAATTATCATTCCAACAAGTACCCTATATCTTTTGCAAGACCTTTCTCTCTAAAACCCCTATCGCCGATTCATCGATGCGAGCACGTCGACTGTCTGCTTGAGATATTTCATCTTGCACTCGTATCTAGATCTGATAGGCAGATCTCTTCGCTACGCTTCTTGCCGCGCCGTGCTGAGGACAAGAATATCGAAACGATCACCTTTAAAGAAGATTTTACCTTCACTAATTAGCTCTTCTCTCATTTTATTTTCTTCAGCTTACGTTGAAACAGTCACAAATAGAGAGTCAATTGGTCTAAGACTGTACGGCTCGGAGGGCTCTTTCCCAAAGCTGTTGGCGCATTTGGTGATATTCACTGTTAGTTTACATGGTATTATAAATTTTTCAGATTTACCAATATCGGAGATTACGGCATAGAGGCAGCTCTATATCGTAGCGTAAGTGTGTGGCAATCCTGTGAATATCTGCCCAATTGTGGATCTATCACTGCACTTCTTCACTTTTTCAGTACGTCGCTGCGCTATTTAGAAGGCTGATCTGGTAAACCACCGGGTGCAATTGCCTCAAAGTTCTCAATGCTTACGATTGTTATTCGTACTACATTAATGTCGGGTGATCGAATATCTTACCGATGGCCTACGATTGTAAATTCAGCTTCGCCCTACTTTCAAACTTGTCCCACACATTAATTACACCGACTTGGTGATAAGTGCTCAGCTGAAATCCAAGACGAGCTATTGCGGCCGACAATAGGATGCGCCTTTATTTAGATCCTGCTTTTTTACACCGGGAAGGAACTCTATACAAATAGTCTATTTTTCCAATATATACTTAACAAAAAAAATAATGTTTTATTTTTCATATCAGTGGGTCACATTATGAAGGACAATGGCAAAATGGTCGACGTCATGGTTTGGGAGTGGAGCAAATTGGTCGACAGATATACCGCGGAGAATGGTCGAAAGATGGACATAAAGGTAGATACGGAGTACGCCAAAGCACTGTATCAACTGCTAAATATGAGGGAACGTGGAATATGGGCTATCAGGATGGATACGGCTGTGAAACTTATGCTGATGGAGGTATAACCTTAAAATATAAGATATTATGCTTAAACAGTAGGTGTAAAAATTTTGGTCTCAGAAAGGGGGGGGGGGGGGGGGGGGCTTGCGATTTAAATTTTTTTTTTCTACCTTTTTTTGAGATACTCTCCACATGATCGTAACGGATCATATTAAAATACCCAGCTCGCCTTTTCCAGGTGTCTCATTGCACTACAATTAAGCAGGCTGAAGATTTGCTCCGCGGGTTAACTCAATTTGCCTTATAATATTTCGGGAACATACAAGAAATAGCTCCGGTCTTAAATTCTTCTCGCATAATTTTAAGCATTTTCTTATGTAACGTTAGCGTTAGCGTTCTGTTACCCAATCAAATTCGCAAAATAGTCGCTTTTCATATTATAGATCGTTATTTACAAATGTCTGAAAAAAATCTATGTACATATATCTGAAATCTAAAGACACCGGGTACCCTTCTCTACAGGCCAGCAGGGAACATCTTGAAGAACAAAGCCCATTTCGCATTAACTTCTTTCCAGAACTCTTGTAAATACTATGCCTTTTTACATACGACTTTTGTAGGTAAATATCAAGGACAGTGGCAAGAAGGAAAGCGTCACGGATACGGTATTCGTACATCAGCCCCCTTTGGTTTGGCATCTCATTATCGCCGAAAAGATGTTCACGCATCTCTAAATTCGTTGCGTAGTTCAGACATTGGCGAAGCTGACAAGGGACGTTCTGAGGAGATAAGAGGAGGATTTGTATTAACAGCAAAATCTGATAAGTTACCCACACGCCGCAATAGCTTGAGCGAAAAGACGAAAAAAGGATTTTTATCAGTAAAAATAGTAATATTAAAGGCTATGTAATTATTAAAAGAATTTCTACTTTTGTTAGGGTTTTAAAATGCGCAAACAAAAAAGTACCGGAGATTTGGAGAAGCGTGGCACTGTGGCCTCAAGCAGTGTCAGATCAACAGCTTCTACATCCTCATGGGCAAGCACAGGGTCGGAACAATCAAATTTAACTACAAGGTAAGAAAAATATGAAGAATAAAATATATTTTTTTTTGACTATAAAAATAATTAAAATTTTGCTTTAGGTCGACACATACCGATTCAAACGCTAGTTTTACAATGGAAGATGAACAACTGGATGCAGCAGTGACAGAAACATACATGGGAGAGTGGAAAAAAGACAGGCGTTGTGGACATGGTGTGGCTGAGCGCAGCGATGGCCTGAAGTGAGTGTAAAATAAATTTTGCCGCTATGAAAACTATTTTACATACGTACAAAGTTAAATGAGTATGTACGTGAATGGTTAGCAGTCTGTGCTACCGTGCTTGCTCTATTTTACTCACGTCTCTTAAGGAATGCTAACTGGTCTAAATATAATATATGATCCTTTTGGGATAAAAACCGGTTTTTACGACTTGAGAGCCTCAAGTAGAAACCGCTTACTTCTGAACTGCGACTATTGTAAGTGTATGCATTTGTCGGCTTTATACATACTTCTTTGTATGTCAGATTTCGGAGTCTTGTTCTTCTTTTATACGAGAGCGTCACGTATGTTCGGCCAAAAAATATCTGTGTGAGTAGTGTCCACTAGTCAGGAAAGTCTCTTCCTTGAGGAGTGTTAGTTGCCTTTGAAAAGCATATGTTATAATAAATAAATAAATTTCGTAAGATACTTGAATGAAATAATCATCTGATTATTTCTAATAATTTTAGAAAGAGTATCAGCGACAACGGTCTGATGTGCGGATTTGGTGACTTGTTTTCTGCCGCATTCAAAAAAAAAAACTAGTCATCTTTTCATTTTTGTTGTAGAACGCACACAATCGAGAGCAGCTTTAACGTTAGAAATTATTCACTTTATGTCTTGGCTCCTACTCGAAGCGGCCTATACCCTATCCCAGAGTGGTCGCAGATGTATGTCAATGCAATCGTATTCCCTACCACAGCTCATCGTTACATCGCCGGAGGTATTATTAAGTAGTCAATAAAAAAGTAAAGTACTCTTTCACCAAACAAAGATCAAACTCTACAAATCGCTAATTCCTGTAATTATATCAGTTACCATTCTAATTGGGAATCCATTTAGACTGGAAGAAGCAGCTGTGACCAGACAGTCGGATCCTCCCTATTTAAGGATATCCTATACTGCTGAGTGGGTTATTTATTCTTATACCGCTCCCATGTAAGTCCAACGGTCGAACAGTAAATGGTCTAAAATGGTTCCAAGTGACTGACGATGAGGTTCTAAGTCATACAAAATTGTTCTTTTCCGGCAAAAGTATGTAGTGTCAGTTGAAATGATAGGGAATTAGTTTCCTATACCCATGGGTAGCAAGGACCGTATTTCGTTATTGAATTTGTTGTTGTTGTTGTTGATGATGATGATGATGTTGTTATTGTTGTTGTTGTTGTTGTTGTAACTGCAAAAATATTCCCCAAAGTAATTTTTGGGGAATGTTGCGGAAGTGACAGTCCTTGGCCGGATAAAATATCCGGTTCGTACCAGTATAAAGACTCGACTGTCGCGGGAACTATTGGATTTTAGTCGCCTTGCCGTGAACCTTGTCATTGTATTAAGAATTGGCAGCCGCAATAGCTAAGTCACTAACATTCGGTGCATTAACATTCGAAAGACCAAGCTTTGTAGATCTGTAGGTCCCTCCTCTTCAGCACTTACAAAGCGCCAAATATATACATATGTATATATTTGTTTACATACATATATAAAAAGCTTTGTCCTGAAGACTGACCAGTACATTCACATCCATATTCGTAGAGTCATGAAACTTGGATGAAGGGTTTTACGTATGATAAGTAAGGATATTTCGGGACATTCGGTGTACCTAAGAACGATCTAAGCGATCTATTCTAATATTGAATTTATTTTTAAACTATTGGATTTACTTGAAAGATGGCAGCTCTTTGCTTAAATTGACATTGAGAATACTTTCTCTTCCGGAAAGTGGGCCACGAATCGATTTGTTCGTAAAAAAAACGTACTTGTGTTTTTTCTAAATATATGGAACACACATACATATGTAGATGGCTCTCTATCAAGAGCTTTTCTTTCTGGAAGTGGAATCAGTATCTACTACACATATGGAAAACTTTTCTCGCGGTCAAACTTTATATATATATAATATATATCATATATAGTATATATACAATATATATATATATTAGGAACATCGCTTTTGCTTTCGCCGATTTCTAGAACCTTTGTGGGGTGTAGGTAGATTACAAAGTCTCCCGAGTACACGGAAACTCAACATTTCTCTTTGAAATAAACATTACCGCTTAAAATGCTCTTTCATAGCATAAAATTACAAAGATTCTCAATTTCATTGATATGTTTTTATGTATGTACGTAAATAGTCAACAGTTGATAAATGTACATTTTATACTTTTTCACATTGCGATAGGTACGAAGGAGAGTGGTATAATAACAAGAAACATGGATACGGTGTAACTACATTCCGAGACGGTACATTTGAAGAAGGAAAATATAAGAACAATATTTTAATTACCAGCCAAAAGAAGAAACACTTGTTCCTAGCACGTTCGCGTAAATTTCGTGATCGCATTGCTATAGCAGTTAATTCAGCACAAAGGGCGCTGAAAATGGCAATGCAGAGATCCGATATAGCCATTTCGCGTACATCGACAGCATCTGACAGAGCCCAAAGCGCCGATATCGCAGCGGATCAAGCTCGTTTAGACTGTGAAATTGCAGTACGAATGGCGCGTGAATTTGCTCCAGATTTTAAACCCTCAGTTCTAGAGCGATTCGAGAAGCTGCGGTTTCGTAACCAAATAAAATTAACCACTTTAGTAGATAACAGCCTTTTGTCGCCATATAGCGGAAATGAAATGGCGCTTATGAAAAATGGGTCCGTAATGAAAGATTTAAAGGAAAAGACAGTCACGCAAACTCCGAACTCTATTCATGCCCAAAACATGCAAGTGACACCCCAAACTGACTTTGCTGGTTTAATTAGCCAACCGAATCAACCCGGTAACACTGCTTTTAATCAGTCGTATGCCTCACGAGCTAAAAATTATGGGCAACAAGGGCAGCAGTATGAGGATCAACAACAGAGTTACGGGCAAGATTTCAATACTACAACGAACAATAGTAATATACCTTATGGTCGGGGAATACAAGAAAATGAAATAACGGCAAACTACAATAGTTACAACCAAACGAACACTGGGAATTATCCTATGCGGAATACTGCTGATCAACTAGATGGCTACAGGTATAACACTGCAGAACGTGAGTCGAACGCTATTCCACGCAATCCTCAAAGTGGTTATAATGAGCAACAAGTTCAGTCTCAGTCCATGCAAGCTTTGTCTCAACAAAATTCGCAGTATGGTCGTCCACAGCCTCAGCCCATGCAGCCTCCAATGCAAACTTTACCACAACAAAATTCGCAATATGGACGGCCACAGCCTCCAATGCAAACTTTACCCCAACAAAATTCGCAATATGGACGTCCACAGCCTCAGCCCATGCAGCCTCAAATGCAAACTTTACCGCAACAAAATTCGCAATATGGACGTCCACAGCCTCAGCCCATGCAGCCTCCAATGCAAACTTCACCCCAACAAAATTCGCAATTTGGACGCCCACAGCCACAACAGAATGAAATGGGAGGCGAAAGAAAACAAAGTATCACGCACAAAAGACCACCTCCACTCGGTGAAACAAAACAGCAATTATCTATAGATTACTTTGATCATTACAAGAGACCACCAAGTCGAGACTCATCTACAGATCGATATGCGAGAGCGGGTAGTGTCCTTAATTCTCGGCAGCCTTCGGCAGATCGATCCATGCAGTTACAGGGAAGGGATGAATCTACTACCAATAGAGAAGTAAGGCAACGTGAGGGCTCAAGGAATTTGGAAGATAATACATCGCGATCTATTTTTAACAACAATACGGAAAAAAGATCATCACTTACTAAGCCATTTGAAGATGTCCTTTTACATCAGCGCAACCTGGGTCAGGATATTATTCCATCCCCAATTACTCCAAAAAGGACGGAAAGCTTATATATTCCGGCAAACGTGGTTCTTCCGAAAAGCGCAGGAAGCAAACCGGTTAAGGTATGTACATACGTATATAATTTTAATACCTTTAGCAGTTATGTTAAAAATTTTATTTTGTAATTATCTTAAGATCTAATTAGTTATAGAAAGAAATGTATGATCTAAGATAAGCTATTAATTACTCGGATGAAGGAACTCTAAATGTCAAATTAAACACATTTTGGAGTATCTCAACATTTGTTGCATATAATCTGATTAAAATATTACATTTCATTAAAAATATTCCACTCTATGCCCCGTATGGCGGCTGTGCGTTCGATTTAGACTGTGATCGATCGAACCATATCTGTGTGGCTACAGACATGGCAAACTCATTCTTGTGGATTTCAAAGATGCCTTTGGCATCGCTAAACTTAACTGCTGCAATTACAACTTAAAACTTGCATTAATAACGGTACCACGAGATTTCAAATAATATAAAATTTCAAACTGCTCACGACTACATTGCCGACTACTAGACAGTAACAGTTAGAAATATCGATTTACGAAAAAGGATAACAGATCGATTTGAAAACAAACTTTGGAAAAAAAAAACAGAACGATGTAAAGAACAATTCAAATGACTTGAAAACGGAAAAGATTTGAAGGACATTTCTGATAGTCTGCCTGATGCTCTGTGGCTATGAAAAGTCAAAAATCAAAAGAAAGCATCAAGAGGCGAGTACACTTTTTTTCACACTTTGCCAATTCCAAGTGTGGCAACATCGTTCAATTTCTAACATTACCGTTGAGGTTTTTGACATATTTCGAATTATTTATAGAATTGGTAAAAGGAAAAAGAACAAAGAGCGAAGCAGCACAAGATATTATACGAAGTACTTTGTTACATGTCTACGCTCAAGTGGTCAGTGTTTCATTTAAAATCAGAAAAGGTTTTGGAAAAACAAAAAAATTCCGACACATAACAGTTAATTTCATGCAAATGCAATTATTGGAAAATATGCTTGCTAGAACTTGTAAATCAGCAAATTTTGATTAATTTTTCTATATTGCAAATATATACATACATATAGCATGTGGACAAAATAGTGTTTTAAATGCTATTTATAAATAAGCAAATCATTTGTACTTATATTATTGAAATGAGCTGGCTAAATGCCCAACTAGCGAATGAACAAGCAAATAAACAATGTGTACATATACAAAAAATATTGAAAGTGTGTCAATAATGTGTTGTTGTCGAGAAGAACATAATATTTTGAGAAAATTTTTGATAAGCTACAAGTTACAACCATATAATCATCTCGAAATCGACCGTTTTAATTTCAATCAGTAATACATACTTCATAGTTACAGTGTTATGAGAATATTATAAAAAATGGAATGGTATCCAGAAGATGATGAAGAGGAGTTGATGTATTCGCCAGCTTTATTGGCTAGAAGGGCATCAGAGAGCTGGATAGTTGAGCCACCGATAGAGGTTACTTAATATATTTTAAAAATGTGTCTTTTTTTTTAATTTGTTGTAAGAAGATTTTATTGAAAACTAATGGAGTATATGGTATCTCTCCTTTCAGAGCACTCCTATAAATGTTTCTCTTCAGCGCAAAAAGTCGTTACCTGATTTTCAGGAACTGCCACGATCTACGGAGGCTATGAGTCGAGAGGAGGTATCTGCTTTGGGTTCAGCAAGGCGTGAAGCTGTAAGGCGCCAAATAGAAATCAACGAGAGGCTAAAAGCAAATCCTCTTTTGTATATTTTTAGTCCCCAAGTTAAGGTAATATTTGTTTAATAATTGCAAATAAAATAATACCAATAATAACCGTTTATTTTACAGGATTGGTTATCTAGCCAGCAATTGGTACTGTTTGTTCTTTTTCTGAATATACTTTTAGGTTATCTTTTTTTGAAAATGTTAACATAACATAATTTATTGTAGTATACATATATGTATGTATGTGTTTTTGATTTTAATTAATGATTTTAACTTATTTATTAACTATAATTATATATTCGAAGGAAATCATTTATTTAAAAACCATAATGTTATGATAAAATTATTGGAATAAGCGAAGAGCTCAAAAAAGTATACATACATAAATATGTATATACTTAAAATTTTGTCGTTCCCTTTATGCATTTGGACGGTTCGCTTGGATGGTCTTTGCATGCAGTGCTGTTATTGTAAACATACATAAATTAAAAAGGAAAGAAAAGTCCACATAACCCGTTTAATGTTATAATTTTTCTTTGAGTATTCAGTATTCATACACATTTTCCTATGTACATATAAATTCAACGCTGATCAACAGTAGAAATTCCCTAACCCATTTTTTACAATATGGTTGTAAAGACATAGGATTGGAAAATGTGTGCCGTTATATACATAATTATTAATTTCATAAGAAATAGATGCTAACGGTTGCCATGAATACAGCGATTCTTCAAAATCCGTAAAATCGTGATTAAGAAATTATTGATTTCAAATATAAAAAAATCTACTTTATATAATATAGCATCTATTCAAATTATTTATGGCAATTGCTTTGAGCGTGCCTTTAATACTTACGTAAGTGGAGACAAAGAGAACTAACATATGTATGTATATACTAATTGGTGACCAATTTCAATATTTTATAATGGATAAATTTTTAACTCGAAGAGCAAAAGGAAATAGGTTTACCTTCTATCACTAGAACTACTTTATCAACAGAAAGAACTATCTCATATATCGATAGTTTGCCAACACTTATTGATATGACCAACTTTTTCGGTAAAATCCTAGTTATTTTTTGTGTGAAAATTACATAAAAAAAGTTGAAAATCAAAATTTAAAATGTACCACTATAATAAAGAAGAATCATGGGCTTGAAGTAAGAAAAAATTTCCTATCTTTCGTATTATAATAAATATAATATTCAATTATTATTTGCTGTTTCATTTGACTTTCTTTTCTTTGCATAAAAAAAAATTTTTACCGACTTTATGTTACGAAATACTCATGTAATACAATATAAATGAGAACATAACCTTGAATTGGTTCTTAACTTAAAGTCTTGCCAGTTTTGCGCTAACATCATCATTAATTCACAGATGGAACTCTGTTATATAAATCAAGTAGGAAAAAAAATGGATGTAAAAATATGCAAATGACCAACGCTCGCAAAAGGATTATATAATATATGACTGACTTTTTGCGCTGTCGCCAGCGTTACTTTTAACAGACATCTCATAGAGTTGTATGTATTCATCTCAGACGTCAATTTGTCGCGCAACATGATGCAAAAGTCCTGTCTCCCAGATCCTGCGTAAGTTCTACCAGCCTTCAAAACGTAAATGCGGTCAACTCGGCAGAAAATGTCATGACTTTCGGGTGCATTTTTAACATAAATTTAATTCCATCGATTCATTCGAAAATCATACAAGCGGATCGGAAACAGAAGTATACTAAGAATTTACTTTCCGGGAAGGCCATCCCTGGCTGATCGATGAAAATTTCTTCCCTTAGCTTTAGATAGCATAAATAGCGCGTAGATATGTTCGTTTCGTCAAATTAGTATATTTCAGCTGATAGTTGTTTTGAGTTTGCATCTATAGCGGTTGATATACCCATAATTTTATCGAAAATTTAATGAGAAACTAAAAAAACAATAGAGTCATAACTATGCCATAATCGTAATATAATTAAGAACTTAAACTAAGAAAATGTTGAACATATCCTCCTATTTTTGAAGGATGTAATAAACGAATAGATTGAAAGAGATATTTAGCGCTTGAGTGTCACTTCTTAAGTGAAAGGAATTTTCTATGTAAGCGTAACTGAAGGTTTTTAGAATTTCGATGGTCAATTTATCGATAGTTTTAAGTGTTGATTGTGATCCCCATATCTAATTGAAAAGAAAAGAGCTATAATGTCAATAAAGAAATTGTTTATTTTTTGTTTTCTTGGATTATTTTACGAAACGGTATCTTTTAAGCCAGTGATTTTGATGCATGGAATTTTATCAGGATCAGAAAAAATGAACATAATGGTTCAAGAAATTGAAAAGGTATTCTTACAATAAGAACAAGCGAGCGATGGTACTCGGACTTTGATATGCAGCCTTGCGAGTAGTAAACCAAACTAAGTATTAATAAATAATATAATACGAACCAATTAAACTGTGATGTGTGAACATAATATTAAGTAACATGTTCCTAGATTCTTAATAACGAGAATTATTTTGTTGGGGCTATATGGTACATTTATTCCTCCCATCTGTCTGGCTCCGACAAGTGATTTAAATAGAGTTGGAAATATACTTACGACGGGCGGACACGGCTAAATCAATTCCGCCCTTTTACAATGCCATGCATTGTAGCCCTTTAAAAAAATAATAAAACGAGAAGGAAGTGACAATAAACAAATACATTTTGTCTATAGGTTGCTGCCAGTACAATTGCTTAACTGCTAGTTTTTGTGCTCAAAATGAACAATTCATCAAATAGACGTCCATTAAGTTTTTTCCAATACTGATAGGCACACCCTGGGACGAAAATATACAACTTTGACAAATTTGATGGTTGGTATAGTCTAGAAAATATTTGGCGACAAGTTGTGGAGTTTCGAAACTTTTTGGATGAAATTGGAAGTAAACATCCAGAGGGTATTAATGTAGTAGGCATGATCCCAGTATATTTAACTTTTGATTTCTATACTTAGTAAACTATTTATTTCGAATGCAGGATACTCGCAAGGAGGACTTATTGCACGTGCTGCTATTCAGACACTTCCTCTGCACAAAGTTAGTACTTTTGTTTCGTTATCTTCGCCACAGGCTGGCCAATTTGGTGGTAAAACTGTTATTAAATTATTAATACTATTAAGTACGCATGTTATTTTTCATAGCCAACTTTTTGCATCTGATATTTCCGGACTTAGCTGCGAATACCGCTTACGAACTTTTCTATTCTAATGTTGGTCAGCACATATCAATAGCTAATTATTGGAATGATCCTGTGCAACAGGAATATTATTATAAATATAGCAAGTTTTTGCCTTTTATAAATAATGAAATCCAAACGTTCAATTCCAGTCAGTACAAAAATTCTATACTACGATTGAATAGAATGATTTTAATTGGAGGTCCAAATGATGGGGTAATTACACCATGGGAATCCAGGTTAGTATATATATCAGCCACTACATAAAAAATACTATATAAACTTTTTTTCAGCCACTTCGGTTTTTTTAATAAAACTTTGAATGTAATACCTCTACACAAGCGAAAAATCTACACATCCGACACGATTGGATTAAAGAGTCTTTTGCAAAATGGTAAACTTGTAATAATAATAAAACCATTTGTACATCATCTTACGTGGCATACTAATAGGCGCGTTATTCAGGATGTAATTCTTCCATATTTGGACTAAAAGATGGAAGCAACATCGGCTTTATTGTAATTAAATATGTAAAATTATTTAAATAAACAGTTGACTTTAAAAACTTACATTAGTTGCTCAACTGAACTCGATATAGGTTATGTAGTTTCCGTCGGCTTGATAATATTTAAAAAATCATCTGAATAAAAGTTTACTTTAAAAATTTAAATAAGGTACTCCACTCAATTGGGAATGTGTTATATATTTATAAGTTTAACTTAAGCATTAAGTAGCCGTTTTTCTGGAACCACATCTGCTAATGTTAACGACTATTTAAAATACTTCCTATTCAGCAATTCCACTTGCTTATAATTGTGTTGTTATCGATTTTTTCTGTTATGAATGAACGTAAGCTTGCACGGCATCGTGAAATACTTTGTTCGTCCTTTCAATTTCGAATGCGAATCGCCCTCATTAACACAGCACGCAATTTGACAGTTTTCGGTCCTGCTCGTTTGTTCCATTTGAAAACGCATGAAAAATAGAACATTTTAGTAGAAGTTAATAACATCTTGAACTAAATTGGTAATATAAATGCCAGTTTCTTTAATAATTTCTAATCTCTTTCTTCTTTAATATACAAATAATGTTGTTATAGGCAGCGATTTGGTCTTAATTCTCATGGCAATTAAGAACGAATTCCCCCTTTAACGGTAATTCGCTTACGGTAACTTGTATGGCGAATTAAATAATTCAGCATGTATTTGAAGTGCTTAATTGAGCTGTGTTATAAATGCCGTATGAACCCTTACTGAACCATACGTATACTTTATATTATATAAAAAACAATATTTAATTATATAGAAAAGATTGACTCAAAGAACTCAAAACTGTTTCATTTGTTAAGGAATCATCTAAAATTTGATTTTACTTGGAAGCACTTATTAAGAGCACTGTCTACGAAATGGCACCGCATCATGGACCATTTCCCAGTTGCATATTTATAATAACAACATTTTTCTCGATTGCATAAGGTCACCTTAATCGGTTGAAACACCTCGAAATGTTATCGTCAACAAAGCTATCAAAATAAATTATACTTCGTTTTACCTGAAACGAAAAACTGTCGTTAACGGTAAATCGTTAACAGAAAATGTTAAGGGTTGAAACTAAATTGTGCCGTTATATCAAAGCAGGTAGCCATTTGAAATTATCGTTAATGATGAATTTGTGCAGCTTCAACATTAACAATTGCATTCTGTTTCGATATAATGGCGCCTAAACTTCATTTTTCATTGAAACAAAACGAAATAGCTTCGTTTCGTAAGGTAAAAATATATGGTTCAATTATATGAGTGTACACATTATAAATCACACGAGAAGATCACTTTTGGTTGCCACGGATAAGAGGAGGGCAAATTATGGGAGATAGGGTGATAAAAACTCTGAAATTTAATTAAATTTCAAAAGCTGTTCCAGAAACTGCCGCGTGTGTACTCAGCCTAAGGAGACATGACAATTACATTATTACATCCCGAAGAAATTATAATATTACACACTTTCATGAACGTAGCGCGGCTGCGTTTATGAGAATTGTGTAACAAAAAGATATGTTTCCTGTTTCTAAGACGTATGCTTCCTTTTCGCATTGTGGTCTTTGCGCGTGTGGGTGAGTTTCTCCTAATGTGTTTTAGATTTTAATATCTCACAAGTAAAAGGCATTGAATTTGGTCCAGTAAAAAATTGTGTGCATTTCATCGTTTGTTCCTAAGAATTTGGTAAGTGGTTTTGTTTCAGAAATGACTATCTGACATCAGAAATGAAAACAAGTAACTTGGCACGTTTAATGGATGTTGTGACATTGTTCTTACTTTTAGGTGGCAAAATAAATCACCATGCCGCAAAATGAATATATGGAACGCCATGCAAAGCTTTATGGCCGGCGATTAGATTATGAGGAACGTAAACGTAAGAAGGAAGCTCGTCTTCCAAAGGAAAGAGCGAGAAAGGCTCGTAAATTGCGTGGTATTAAAGCAAAACTTTTTAACAAAGAGCGAAGAAACGAGAAAATTTTAATATCAAAGAAAATTAAAGCTCATCAAGAAAAGAAATGCAAGAAATTAGACGAAAAAGTAGAAGAAGGTGCCGTCCCACATTATCTCTTAGATAGAGGCTTGCAAGCAAATGCCAAAGTCTTATCTAATATGATCAAGCAGAAAAGAAAGGAGAAGGCTGGTAAATGGGACGTACCCTTGCCAAAAGTTCGAGCACAATCCGATGCCGAAGTATTCAGGGAACTAAAAAGTGGAAAAACTAAAAGAAAATCATGGAAACGTATGGTGACCAAAGTTACATTCGTAGGAGAAAATTTCACCAGAAAACCTCCTAAATTTGAAAGATTTATAAGACCTATGGGATTAAGAATGAACAAAGCTCATGTAACGCATCCAGAACTTAAGACCACATTTTATCTTCCCATTATTGGAGTTAAGAAAAATCCCAGTTCACCAATGCTTACTTCATTAGGCGTAATGACAAAAGGAACTGTTATCGAAGTTAATATATCAGATTTAGGTCTTGTCACACAAACTGGAAAAGTTGTTTGGGGCAAATATGCACAAGTAACAAACAACCCAGAGAATGATGGTGTTGTCAATGCTGTTTTGCTAGTTTAATGAAATAATCATAGTTATTCTTTATACATAGATTGTAATAAACAAAGGGATACACTCTTCAATTAATACATGAATTTGTTTTGAATGAAAGATTTTTTTTTCTTTTCCGTAGATTTTTAGTCCTCAGCAATGCAAATTTTCGTGAAAACCCTCACGGGTAAGACCATCACTCTTGAGGTCGAACCCTCGGATACTATCGAGCATGTTAAGGCAAAAATTCAAGATAAAGAAGGTATTCCCCCCGATCAACAACGTTTAATTTTCGCGGGAAAACAACTGGAAGATGGTCGTACTTTAGCTGACTATAATATCCAAAAGGAGTCTACCTTACACTTAGTGCTGCGTCTTAGAGGTGGAGCAAAGAAGCGTAAGAAGAAGAATTACTCCACTCCCAAGAAAATTAAACACAAGAGAAAGAAGGTTAAGCTAGCCGTATTGAGATACTATAAGGTATGAGTGGATGAATTGCTATATGAAATAGAGTTAAAATGTCGTATCTTGCTCATTTAGGTTGATGAAAACGGAAAAATTCACCGCCTTCGCCGTGAATGTCCAGGTGAAAACTGTGGGGCTGGTGTTTTCATGGCCGCTCATGAAGATCGTCATTATTGTGGCAAATGCCAGTTGACTTTCGTGTTTTCTAAACCAGAAGAGAAATAAACAGACAACAAATTTGTTAAAATAATATAAAACAATAGTGGTGTTTTTATATCAGCCAGTCATTTTTTTAGGGTAAAAGTAGGCTTCACACTGCTACTTCTTAGATATGTGGAAATAAAAGTAGTCAGTTATTTAACAAACTCTTATCTTGGTTAAAAATATATTTCTAAATACTCTTTCTTTGCTCTTTACAAAATTTGTAAAATATGACAGCCACAAAACTTATGTTTATTTGAGCACTTGTAAACTCCTTTCTTTGAATCTTAAATATGAACATCCTCCTCAATGAAAAAAAAAAACAAAAATAATTTTGTTGCATATGTGGATTTAATTTATTTCCTTGTGTTCTTTCATAAACAAATATAAAGTATATTGTTAAAGATTTACATCATCGACCGTTAAAGTTCTACGCATAAAAGCCAATATATCAGCAGCTTCTTCTATTTTCTTCGAAGTCGGCTTACCAGCGCCGTGACCAGCCTTACTATATACACGTAACAATATAGGATTTTCTTGAACCGAGTCTCGTACTGCATCCTGAAGAGCCGCGGCAAATTTTAGTGAATGCAAAGGACTCACACGATCATCATGATCAGCTGTTAAAATCAAAGTTGACGGGTATTCCTCAGATTTCGTTTTTGGGACATGTACGTTATGCAGAGGAGAATATTTATACAAATTTTCGAAGTGTTCTTTTTCATTGGGGTTGCCGTAATCAGAGCACCAAGCGTGTCCAATTGTAAATTGGTGGAAACGCAGCATATCCATTACACTGTTAAATAATAAAAAAAAAAACATTTTAACGCATGTACCGAAGAAGTTCTTATAATTCTTACCCAACTTGGGCGACTGCTGCACCGAAAAGATCAGGTCGTTGGTTAATGCAAGCACCAACTAACAACCCTCCATTAGAACCTCCTTGTATTACAAGACGATCTTTAGTTGTATATTTGCTACTAACCAAATATTCAGCGGCCTTTTGAAAGTCATCAAAAACATTTTGCTTATTTAAGAGGCGTCCAGCGTTGTGCCATTTCTCACCATATTCACCACCGCCACGTAGATTAGGATATGCTAATATACCGTCGAATGTATCAATAAACATTAAACCTGTAGCTGAAAAAGATGGTTGCAGACTTATATTAAAGCCGCCATATCCATATAGAAGGCACGGTCGAGGAGCTATTATTTCTTTCTTTTTACATACAATAAACATTGGGATTTTTGTTCCGTCTTTACTTTCATAAAATACTTGCTTTACTTCATAGTTGTTTTGATTAAAGCCATCTAGTTGTAGTTTAATATCACGAAATATTTGTGGTGTCATATTTGGTATTTTAAAGTCGTACTGATAAATTGTTCCAGGATTTAAGAACGATGAGAAATTATAGAAAATTTCGGAATATTTTTTCTTGCCGGACACCGCTAAAACGGTACCAATATCCAAAGGAAAATTTTTAACTAAAGTTCCGCTTTTAAGGCAATTTGCTTGAAGGGCACTCTGTAAATTTAAAATGAAAAACGTAAATATTCAGATAATAATATTTATTTCATAAATAAATTTTGATTTCACTTACTTTAACATCTTGCATGTAACAAAGTAACAATTTATCATTATCAACACATTTTGCCCAATCCAAAACGTTGTTTTCATGTTCCTAAAAAATTTCAATTTAAAAATTAGTATATACAAATATACTACAAATGTGTACATGTATATAAACGAAACACCTGCTATTTACCTATACTAAAGAATATAAAAATGGTTAATCCCACGGAGTGTTAAAATGGATTCAAATAATATAATATATACATACTTAATTAATTTCCAAAATTTTTTTAAAGAAAAATAAATAACAAGAACATTTGATATATCCCATTATTATCAAATTAACTTACTGGAATGATGGTTTCCCAATGTTCTTCATGTGGGTTCTCCAAATCAATGATAATAATTCTATAGTTAGGAGCATTTTTGTTTGTTCTAAAATACATTTTTGGTCCGATGTTGGTAATATACTGAAAATATTCTTATAAATTATATTCAATCGTTTTTAAGCTGTGTTTTTGCTTTACTGACCTCATAATCATTCTCAAATTTATCTATCACCTTTATAACATTCAAACCCGATTTTATTTTTTCACATTCATTTAGATCAATGTAATAAAGTAAGTTATCGCGGCAGCCTTTAACTATTGGCAGGATCAAATACCTTCCGCAATCAGACACGACGGCTTGACTTAAAAGAGAAACATTCATCAATTATTAAATTAAATGATTAATATCATAAATTTTAAATATTGGGCGTTTGGGATTTCGAGAATTTTACATTTATGAACCATAACAAACTCAAACCAAAAATTACGCTAAAAATATTAAACAAATAATGAAAAATATAAAGGAAAACAATTGTTAAAATCAAAGAATAAATTCCCCTGGAATATTTTTGGGTAGAACTAGATCCTTGAGCACATATGATCAGATTTGAAATTTAAGTAAATAACTTAAAAGGAAACTTTTTGTTACTTACATGCGCCACGATGGTTCATCAGGAAAATTAACCACCATAATATCTTCATCTTGGTTTGTTCCCACGTAGTGGTAATATAGCTTTTGGTTCTCATTTTGTTTGACTTCAGCGCCGTCGGTGCATTCTGCCTGATCATATCGCTGCAAATTCAAAAATTATTTATTGCATCAAAATTAAAATACATTCCACATATATTGCATACTGAATAGAAGAAACCCTTATTATCGAGAGTCCACGAAATTTCACTGAATTTTACTTTTTCCAGTGTCTCTTCTAGGTCCTTTCCCAAATTTACATCACGTATTTTTATTTTTAACCAATCGGATCCATTTTCGCTTATACCGTATGCCATGTATGATCCATCTTCAGAAAATTCCTTCTGAGACAATGCAACAGTTCCATCAGAAGACCACGAGTTGGGATCCAAAAATACTTTCGGTTCATCAACGAGTTCTTTTTGTTGGAAAAGCACACTTAAAAATATTAAAACAGTTAGATAAGAAATTTCTGGAATTATAAAATTGGTACTTTTGGTTTTGCAGTCCTGTGTTAACATAAAAATAGTAAAAACTTCCATGCTTAGCTGGACAACTATATTTAGGGTAATTCCACAACTTTGTAAGCTTGTTTTCAATTGACGTTTTCTGCCCTTGCTCAATAAATTTCGTGCTTATCTCATTCTGCTTTTCAATAAAGGCTTTGGTTCCTTCAGAATTCGGATCCTCCAGCCAACGATATGCATCGACCACAGTAACACCGTGGAAATTATCCACGTACGATGGATCTTTTCGTGCAATTGGGTACTTCATATTAGAAAGTAGATTAGAAATCATCCTCCTTCCAGCTAATCTTTGAAGCATTTTACAGCTAGAGTAGAAAACATTCGCTGGAACAATCGATAATATTTATGAACTTAAGCCATATTTACACGGTTAATGTAATCGACTTCCAATTCGTAACTCGCCGAAATGACTGTCAAAACAATATACGAAATTAATAATGTATAGAAAATTGAACCAGTAACATTGCTAATTAGTTTATTTGTTACTAAAATATCATTTAATATATATTTTCTGGAAGCTTAGAATAGAATTAAAGCATATAGGCATGTGCTATACTTTTATCCTGAGTGCGACCATGTTTTTATTTTTTCATCATTGTCGTTTTGGATTAATAGTGCAATATCGGCATTGTACCGTAGCACCAAACTAATTTTTTATCCCCTGCGGGTTAGGGGCTCAAGAATTTACCCGCGGTAAGGCATGCCTGTCGTAAGAGGCGACTAAAATCCAATAGTTCCCGACAGTCGGGTTTTTATACCGGAACGACCCGGATCTTTATCCGGCCAGGGACTGTCACTCCCGCAATATTCCCCAAAAATTACTTTAGGGAATAATTTTGCGGTTACAACAACAACAACATCCCTTAGCCGTGTGGAGATTTATTTGGCCAGCTCAATAGCTATTTCGCCAACATAAATTCTGTTATTTTACTATAATTTTTTAAGTTCATGTCAATCTCTTTTAGGATATTGGAGAATTGGAAATTGGAGCACCAACCTTATTTAGCAATGCCTTACGACTGATTGAGTCGACACCACTTTCTGATAAAATGTAATATTTAATGTTCATTTTGTTGATAAAAAATACAGCTATGTAGATCTATGTTTTTCTTGTATAGTAGAATCTTCCTAGCAGAAATTCACTTCCCAAAAGACTTAATGTCAAAATTTTGGCCTCTCTTAGTGAGATTGAGACATATTACTCACTGAATTTTGTATCTGGCTAGAAACAGATACTTTAATCTAGAGATGAACGAAGTTATAGACCAGTGGGAGGAGAACTACCTCGAGTTTATTTCTCGTTTGGACGTTTCTCTTGCAGTTACAACAGATCAAGGCATACAATTTACTTACCATATTTTACAGAACTAAACTTATTGGAAGTCATAAAATTAATACAACGGCCTCAAGTCAATTCATTTTTTGACAACTTCCATTTAAACCTTGAAGAATTCCTTCGCAAACAGTGTGTAGTTAGTTCTGAGATAACTTTTTTTCTAAAAAAATTTACAAGAAAATATCTAAAGCTAATTTCATTTTCTTTAAAGTAAATATAAGATTCATAAAATGTATCCTATCATTTGTTGTATTCAGCTCGTTCTTTTTAATAAACATGAAAATGATAAAGTACTAAGGAAAAATGTTCATGTATTTTGTTTCTTCATTCAGCTATGGTTCTAACGCTATAACCTGGTAATTATTCAATCATGAACTGTGTAAAAGACCACCATTTGTAAACCGATTATATAAAAAATAAAAATAGACTCGTACCTATTTTATAACCTTTCGCACCCGTACATTATTCATTTTTTTCAGCATACCCAATACACGTAGTAAAATCAATAAAGTAAACTTGACATCATCACACATTTTATTAAATAAAACGGAAATTATTTTTTATCATGTAAAAATTATTATTATATGTATGTATGCTAAACTTCTAGAAGTTGTAGGTACAATTCTGAAATGCACTCTTAAATAAGTGAAAGTTATTACATATGAAATTGTTTTATAAAAATTTTAAATTATTTCTCACTGCACCATGAGACATTTTCGTTTTCTAAGCCGGTAGTTGTAGTTTCTTCCCCTTTAGAACTTTGGTTATGTATAGATAGAAGAAATCGCAGTATAAAATTGTTTGAACTATGCCTGCAAATATCGCTATCAAATCATAATGTGATTCTGCAATATAACGATGAATCCAATTCAATAAATACAATGCACGATATGAACCAAGTGCGAAGAGATAGTGACTAGTAATTGATTCTGCTTCTCCAGTTTTGCTAACCATAAACAGTTGTGGTAGAATTGCTACAGACTCCAAATATATAGAAAAGGTCCATAGGATTTCCATTACAGTGAATTCGTGATTTATGACCAAAGACAATAATCCACAGGGAATCAGTAAGAATTCGATACGAAAGGTGTCGTGATTATGATCGTATGTTCCTCTAAATTTGCCATACATAAAGTATAATGTTGCTCCAGATGCCGACAAAAATAAAATCTTCATGATAGAATTATAGAGGCTAACATACGTTGTAAACAAATCCAAATATCGCGTTAAATATACTATTGCAAATAGCAATTGAGATTTTCCCGATATTCCTGCGCAGGAACGAGTTTTCCATATTTTTAGCAATAGGATTATAACAGCAACTACGTGCGATAAATCACCGGCTAGACGAAAAATATTCATATTTTGTAAGTGTTAAAGAGACACTTGATTTTATTTAATAAATAAATCTCTTTTATTCCATAAACAAACTTTTATCTTCCCGGTAACAAGGATTTTTTCACTCTTAAATTCTCACAAAATATTTTAAAGACAACATAGAAGAGGGGCAAGAACATAAATGACGTGGCTGACAACCATGTGGATTCTAAAATGATTTGTCCACAATTCACAATTTACCATACTAGCGCGTTTAGAGTGTCAAACTGAAATAGGCTAACCACTAATTAAGCGGAATTTTTGTCTGCAGTCGTAGGCTGAATTTGATAATTCATGCACCACACAACACTCTATTTAAGCACGTTATGTTAATAACATAAACTTGTTTAAACAAAAAAAGAGTCTGGTGTCTAGTCTAATCCAAATCTTGTATTGAACCATCCTTCGGTACTTCTCTTAATTTCGCACAAACACATCTGTTTATGGGCTAAAAGTTGGGGTACCATATTACCCAATACCCAATACTTTACTCATTTTAAAACAAACAAACAGTAGGCTTTCCCAAATCTTGTATTGACACCTCTTTCGGTCTTGCTTATCAGATCTCTAATTACAGGTTTCTGTCATTTCTGCGCGATATTGATGTGTTCCTTACTTAGAAACTTTGGGTTTACAATTTAAGGGTGTGCAAACTTTGGGTCACCGGCTATAACTTGTGGACAAAGATATATTATACAAATCATGGTTAAATTTCTTTCCCCTCTCCACTTAATTTATTTTTACGTTATTTTATGCCGGGATTACGAAATCACATAATCGTTCCTAGTCTCAACTACAAATAAATGAAGAAGCGAAAAATATTATTTCCATTACCTGTTTGTTTATTCTTTATTTGGTTGTAGGAAGTAAAAAGATTTAATAATTATAAAAAGCCTCCCAAAACTTAAGAATTAGAATACTACGATAATTTTTTTTATCTTTTGCGAAATTTGCATCAGTAGATCGTGCACTGGTGACCAGCAACATCGATTCTTCTGTGTGTGGAAACATCGATATAGAACTCACATAATTAGTTTCCAATTGTTTAAAGAAGTGTAAGGTACAAAGTGTGCTTTCCGAGTAGAAAAATTTAGTTTTTGGAACAACTAGTATCAATAAAGATATTACAATGCCACATTTAGTAAAGGATTTGGTAAGTAATTTTACTTTCAAAATATCAATGTTTGGCCACTGTGTGTAGAATAATGTTCGAACTGATTGTACCATACAATATTGGATATGACATCATATTTAAAATTTTTCGATTACTGAGGTTTCAAATCCAATTCAAAGAAAATAATTTTCAGAATACTTTATTTAGTAATTGATTTTATCTGTGTCTTTAGCTATAAAGTTGTATTATAATTGTCGGCGAAACAAATTATTTTCAAATATCTGTTAAAGTTGAGATGTGAAAATGCATTTGTACAACTTAATTTTTGCAAAAACATATTTGCATTAAAATTTTAAATAATAAAGCAAGTCATTCGGAGCGAGCTCATATAAAACAAGAATCGTGGATTTTTACTATAACTGTCAAAGAAGATTGGTTTGATGGAAATCAAGAGGATCAATGAATCATTTTATATTTGTTAAAACACGATCACTTTGTAATATTTAATAACCAGAGAGGTACAATTTCAAGCGTTTATTGTTTTGCACTCATGATCTAGATAAGTAGTATAATAAATAATTTTTTTTAAGAAGTAGCATTGGTTCTCTTATTTCATTTTGATATCTATTTTACAGTCTGATTTGAACAATCAACTTAAAGAAGCTGGGGAGAAACTAGTTGTAATTGACTTTTTTGCAACTTGGTGTGGACCATGCAAAATAATTGCTCCAACCCTTGATGAGTTAGCGAAAGAATACGAAGGAAGAATTGTAGTGCTCAAGGTATGTAATACTGTAGATTATTCATACTTAATAAGAGCCATTTTTGGTAGATATAATATCGTATGTATTTTTATAGTTGATGTATTTAATTACTGTACTATTAGAATCGTATAATTATTGAGTTGGAAATAATCTTGTAAAAATTAATTTTGTTTCAGGTTGATGTGGACGAATGTGAGGACATCGCAATGCAGTACAATGTATCCAGCATGCCAACATTCGTTTTTATTAAACAAACCAAACAAATAAGCTCATTTTCAGGCGCTAGCGCTAAAAAATTGGCTGAAGATATAGCAAATCTTGTATAAAAAATTAAAAATAATTTACCGCGTGTATTTTATACGCAAAAAAATATATTATTGAAATTCTAAAACTATGTTGGCTCTTTATTAATATTATCCCTCCGCCTAATTTTTAGAATTATAGAGTATTTTTTCTTGTATGCTAAATTGTTTTTTTTTTTTATTATATATCAGGTTCAAATAAACTTACATAAGTATAGAAGATCTCTTACAGTAAGTATGACACATAGGTTAACGGTTATATAAAGAAAACCATCAACCATGAACTATATTTATTCTTTCTTTGCTTGTAAACTTTGAATTTTGGTAAAATACACTTTAAAATAATCGGAAGAAAGCATATATATAGGAACATGTCAATGTCGGATCAAGAGAGTTGCTAGTAGGTTAAGAATTTAGTTTCGACAAATGTTTGTATCAGATGTGTTCAGCAGGATTGCTACATCACAAGTAAAGTGTGGCGTTCGTTTTAAAAGAGCGAAGTGGTTTTGGAAGCACCTAGGTATTCGGAAGAAAATTTTCTTGTGGGTTGAGCAACTGAACTGTCTAAAGGACGTAAATAAGGAACGGCCCATGCGGGTTAACATTGCGAACTGAGAAGGCGAAAAGTTGTATTTAAGAAATAAGAAATATTCGCTAGCACCGCTTTCGACCGGATTCGGACCAGAGGGGAAAGAGGACTTGGATGAGTTAGTTCTAAGGGGCATGCATAGAGGTTCTAAGTGTCGGGCGGGGATTTATTGCATGCAGGACATTCGTTGGGTATGTCGGGGTCGAGTCTGAATAAGGAAGAGTATAGCCTACTACAATATCCAATTATAAGTTGAGAAAGTATAACACGGGACTCTCGAGCTCTTCGGCTGCAATGGATAGTGGTTTGACTCCAAAAACACCCTGCACTAGAAAATAGTTTAGGAAGGTGTGGCGGTACTCCTCTTCTGGTGCCCAAAAATTAACTCCAAAACAACAAAAGGATTTAAAAAATGGTATTTCACGATTTTAAAGATTATTTGTAGACTGAAATTCAAATGATGTATTTGAATGTACAAATAATTCTCAGATAAGGATTATAAAATATCCAAAATAATAGATTGATCCCCGTCTAGGTTATAATAATGTATATTGTACATTCTTATATTTTAATTGGCGAAATACACAAATACATCAATACGATTAACTAAAAATATATATTTACATAACATTAATCAAAAATATATTTCGATGTTTCAATTAATTAAAGTTTTCGAAGAAGATGATGAATCCGAAGAATGGTCAAAATCTATTTTAGCATATGAATCATTTTCTGTATTTATTCTTGTAGAAATATCTGCTTCACCTTTATGGAATTTTGTGCTATCTTTGGTACTGTATTTAGGCAAATCCAGTTTTGCGTAATACAACTCATAACAAGAGCTTGCAGTTGAAGAAATAGGCGTGTTGTTTTGTTGTGTTTTATTGTCAATAATGCAATATCCTTCACTCTCTTCACAACCCACCACACTCTGTGGCATTTGTTTAGCCTTACATTGCGAAATTGCTGAAGATTTAAATGTGCTACATATGGGGTGATATGACGAGGAAGGCGTATATGATGCAGCAGAAATTGTTTCACTTATTACAGGTAGCGCTGATTTTTGTTCTCTGCCTGTAGAGAGTGATATTTCTTTTGGATAATCATTTGTGGATTGGAGACTATTTTTCACGGTTGCGGTAGAATTTTCATTCATTTCAATTCGATTCATCCCATTTTCTTCCAGCAATACAGGATTAAGCCTTTTAGTTGCCAAGCTGAAACGATTTTTTTGATTTTTTGACACTTTGGCTACATTTGCGCATTTCTCTTGAAAACTCTTTTCAATTTCCTGTTTTGTCACGCTTGACTCTTTAAAAATATTATTCATATTAGCCATCTTATCGGAATTTTTCTTACAAAGAGCGGGCGACGACTTATTTATTGTGTGAAAACTTTCATTATTAACAGGCTTCATTTCCAAGTAACCACTTTGCTCATCGGTAGTTGGTAAGGAAGGTAAGGGCTGCGAGAAATCGCAGTCAGATTTTGAAATATGAGAGACCTTTATTTCGTTAACACAATTATCAGAACACTTTTCGTTGGCAGGTACTAGTTTTCCATGTGTTTTATGACTTGAACTTTTTGAGAAATCTATTTCCATTAAATCACTCATACAATCAATGGGGAGTTGACTATTTTGAACCAATAAAGGAGCACTCGTAGACTTTTTCTCAGAGTTAGCATTCAACTCCAATTTATATCCTACCTCGTCGGCACCAAAATTTAAACTATTATTGCTAATACAACTTGTATTATAGCGTGATCTTGGGTATAAAACAGCTCTCTGCAAGTCACATTTAGGAATTTTGGCACGGGATCCAACAGAAAACGCTCTGACTCGGACAGCGTTTGTGTCATGCGCAATCTCATTCGAATTTTCCAACCGTTTGTTTTTATTCTTATCAACTCTACTTCCAATTGAATACGAGCGCTTGGGGCGTTCCTCGCTGCAACGAAAACAATTTTTAATATTTTTCTACATATGGGTATACGAAATAGCTTTCTCCGTACTTAATTTTTTACAATTTCAAAATATGTAAAGAGAACTACTGTTTAGCCGGAAATGTATTACGTTAGCAGTAACTGAGTGGCGAGAAGTGTGTGCTACCATGCGAAAGATCACGGGTTTGAATCTTGGCAAACCAAAATTAATAAAAAAAATAATAATAATTTTTTTTGTAATTGCGTTTGCCCATCGGAACGATGTGAAATAAGAGGTTTCTCGTAAAATTCCATCAGCCATTCGAAGCTGACTTAGAATACATTGTTAAAGAAAAATATCCGAATTGATGGAGATGCTCTACTGAATTTCGCATCAGCGATTATAAACCGCCAATTATATATGTACATAAAGAACCAGAAACAAATATGTATGCATATGTGAATTCATTTATATTTTTGAGTCTGAATACCTCTACTCATGCTATTATGTGCCCACATCACACGCTTGGGGATGAAACCTCTTGGCAAACACATATACGAAAATACTTTTTCAATGGACCAGCAGAAAATAAGTTGCGTACAAATTTACATATTTAATCGAATACTTATTATATTAAATTAAATTAAAAGTGAAAAAAGGAAACCGTAGAACCTTCTTTAAGCTATAATTTGGAGAAGAAGCTCGGCCATAAGTCGGTTAAGCGGTTCTAAGAAGCAAACCATTTATGAATAGTCTGCTTACTGATGGCTCTTCTATAAAATCAACTTTTAAGCCGATAAAACAAGTACCAAGTTTTGTTGAAATAAGCCCTATCTTCAAATGTTAACTGAAATATACTTACTTTTCCGATTCATTGGGCCCTGCAGAAGATATAATTATGGAGTGCATCTGTGAAGACAAAAGGGTTGTTACCAAAGAATTTTGAGAATTGACGGAAGATAAAGAAGCTGCATCTCCCGATGCAATCTGCCGCTCCTTTTGGATTTTGTTATTGTCAATAGACAATGGCGACATAGAAATATATGTTTCCCCTTGGAAATTAATACCTACAAAAGATATAAATATTTAGATGTATATTAAGATAATTTAACAGTTTGTATGTTACTCACTACTATCAGAGTTGATTAAATCATCTGAATTCTCTTCAGGGATAGCTCTTTCTGCAGACCTAAAATTTTATATTTACCAAAAATATGTAAAAATAATAATTTTTGCTATAAATGATGCAATTTATTATAGATATTTAGGATTCCCTATTTCGTAACTTTCCACACAGAAAAATCGTGTTTAGTCAGAATTTAAAAAGTATTCATGCACACACTATTAATGAAACTGATAAAAAAATTCAAATTTTATAAATGATAAAAAAAAACCGGGGACCTGGACTTTTAAGACTTTTATAATAAAAGTCGATATAAAAAGTTAGACCGTTTAATACAAAAAATTAATAATATCGTGTAATGTATAACAGTTACATACTTGAAGCGATACGGTAAATAATTGCCGGATTCTTCCTGCTCATCTAGTTTTGACGTTTCTTTTATTTCGGTACATCCAAATGGCGAGACTGATGGCGGACTTGTACTATGACGGGAAAGTAAGGAACCAGGAACTATTGAACAAGGAATATGTTGTATTTGCGATGATTTAAAACTTTGATTTAAAATATCACTCGATTCTTGAATTCTTGTAGGAAAGCTGTCACATCTACCTCGAGCCATGTTACTGTTACCTGTAAAATTAGTTAAGATGTATTAAGCACTGATTCCCGTTATGATAAATTAAATCTTCGAATTGAATTGAGTTATATTAACCCAATAGTAAAACCAAACCACTTAATTTACTGTTTATCTAAACTAAACTTATAAATATATATTGGCCATGACAATCAGCAACAATTCGTTAAGAGCCATCCCAACACACAGGAACGTCAATTGCGACAGGTGGTTACAACTCAAAACTATAGTCAAATTACAGAGGAAATCACTAAATATAATCCAGCTGCAACCACTAAACAATTTAGCTAAAAGCACACATAATCCAACCAGCTCTTAAAAAATAATAGGTTGAGTTGAGTCATTACCAGCGCACTTAGGGAACAAGATTTCAAATTTTCTCTAAAGGTAGATCAGCGGGATAGTCGAAGAATATATAATTCAATATATAAACGCGAGCTTTTAATAATCATAAAACACTTCTAAAAAAACCAAGTAATACAATATAACTTGTCTCTTCAAAAGACAATTATAAAAGCAATCAACGGAATAGACCACATATTGTCATACTGAATTTTTTTCAGTCATCCGCATCTACTATATACATACATAAGTATACATCAACATGTTATTAAAATTTAATTTACCTGACTGATTCATATTATAATTCTTGTTATCAGCACGATAATTTCCTGTGTCCGTGAAACTATTTGGCTTAGATGCCTCCGTTACAGAAGATGATCTCTTTCTCATGCTGTCTCCAATATTTTCTGTTCTAGCCGACATTGCACTGCGAAGAAACGTTTAATTATAGTAACGTTGCAAACAAATTAACAATTAATACTTTTTATAAAAAATCCATATAAAAAAGAATAAAATTGTACTCAATACTCAACAATTTTTAACTATATAAGTATCGCAAATTGTAAAGTGCGATCAAATTGTGCAAACGCATATATCATAAATCTAATCATGAGCAATGGGGGCTACTGCACACAAAGTATAGTGAAAGCTTCCAGTAAAAAAACAGAGATTACGGATAAGGTTGGAGTTGAATAGAAAGAACCTAAATTTTATGGGTTTCTTTATGTAGATGAATCCGAATCAGCATATTAAATGCGTATACAAGTGTAAGAACTGCAGGCTCATATCTTCAGCTGTTTTCTATGCTTATTTTAATTCAAACTCTTAATTAGCCAACAATTATGAAGTATACCTTGAGATCATTTTATGCATGCTCTGTGCTACTAGTGGATCCTCTGTTTCCATCCACAACTCTCCAGGACCGATGATGCATTGCCTTCCAACTTCCATGTAAAAAAGGCAATGTGAATCTCCACATCTAAAATAATATAATTTAATGAAAGAAAGTATTTAACACCATGTATAATCTGTGCACAATCATAATATTGTTCTAAGAAAAGTGTCTCATTGCCAGTAATCTACAAATCATAAATATAAATAAATTTAGAAATGAATAATTAGAGATCCGATTTGGCTCTAACTAGATTTTCATGTCGCAGATGCGGATTAAATGAATAAATAAATTTTCTAATTGTGTGGAATTGGTTATCAAAAGGAAAAAATACTTTTGATAATTTGGCTAATCATATGGTGTTGACAATGAGAATAAAATTCTTAGAAGGCAAACTACGTATGCAGATTTATGTAATACTCATACCTTCGTATAGTGTTTAAAGGAATATTAATATCAGTGGTTCTTATATAGCCAGATGATGATCTTTCTGGACCAATCCTTATAAATGTGACAGATTTTGCAGATAAACAAACATGATAGTTCCCGATGATTCTCCTTTCTTCTGCCAAGGCTTTCTTTTGTACATTAACTTGCCAAACGTGTTCTGGAAAAAAAAAATAAATATTATTTTACTTCAACGATTTAATTTAATATAACTAAACATGGTGCTATATTAACCACTTAGCCAAAAACTGAACTGAATGAGTATTTTTCTAATCTCAATATCTATCGCGACAGTAAGTAATCAAACTATCAGAAATCAGTTTTAGTGTAAGAAGCTGAGTGGTTAACAGTCCTATCAATTACAAAAGTCCATACATACGCACATATGTATGTATTATTGGCATTTAATCACATGATACTTACCAAATTTCTGCATATATATATCAGATTTATTTGTAATGCTGCGTTGAAGAAAAAGCAAAGCTTGCAGCCACTTTAGCATTTCAGCCTCACTGTCTAAAACAATACCGAATCCACCATCTTTGGTTGCAAGAGCTATTACATAATCATGTTTTGTGTCTAGTCTCCGATTTATATTGAAACAATTCTCTAATTTAACTACCCGTTTGGGAACTGCACCGGACTTAAATTTTTTTATACTGTCGAAATATTCTAAACGGGCGCCTTCTCGACTTGTATCTTTGTATAAGACGAAAAACTTTTTCTTCATCGTATTTAATTTTTTTTGGTATCCAGATAATACCAAACCGTCATCAAAATTTGCATCGACAGGCTTTGACATTTTAACCTACAAAAAATAAATTGAAACAAAGTTTTTAAATATAATACATATGTATGTATGTGTTTATAATGTGCAGCCATCCAATATTAAATTTGAAAGAGTTGCTGATTTTCTGATGGGCGTGGCAAATATATAGGAACAAAACATCGACATATATACATACGTATGTGTGTATGTACATGAGCTAGTAGAAATTATTTTATGTTATCTAATTGGAATTCTTGTTAATTGAAATATCAAATCATTTTAAAAGTTCTTCTTAAAAACTAATCACCTGTTCGGAGGCGCCTTACAACTCTATGCCTTGCTGGATAAACATGATGTTTAACACCATAATTTGGAAAAGCTCGACTGTAAAACAGTTCAGCAGCTATAAGGCGCCAAATATTCGAACTGGTTTTCGACAAATGAGAATAATTTTCGTAAAAAATACACGATATGGAAGGCGTGAAGTGTTTTGACGGAAATGTGGTAATTTCATAATTTGTGCTTTGCAAACGAGTTTCGGCCAAATTTATGAATAAAAAATGTACCAGAATTGAATGTGTCAGTATTTTAATTGTGACATATTTTTTCATACTATTTGTTTTTTAATACGTTTACTTTTGGACGAAATTAAGGTAGATAACAGTTTGTGTAATATTTTTCATATTGGAGATCCTTCTCGTGTATCGTGTATGGCGAATTCAATACATTTGAAGGTAGTTGGTTTTTATTTATTTTTTTTTCGCCTCATGGCTTTACGTGTCCACCGTTTAACGAATTAATTTTCATTTATATATTTTCTTAGCTATGTATGCATTTATACTCGGGAAACACTTTGTATTTTGTAAAAATATATTATATTAAGAAAATTCCTGCCTCAATAACAAAATAAGTGATTACATATGTATGCGTATATATTTACTTCTAGAGGGGGAGTGCATACATACATATATATGAATACGCATAAGCGTAATCCATAAACAAATGTTCAAGTGCGTCTTAACTTATTTCTTAGCTTGAGAACCAATCTAGGTTACACTTTCACTAGTTTGGATTGCCTCAGACGCAATTTTATAACAAAATTAAAATCCCAGGTTATAAATATATATACAAATATATTTATCTTATCAGCACACATCTGTGGGCATCAATACACAGATAGTCAGCTATATATCAAAACAATATTAGATAGTTTCGAACATACCTATTTAAAAATAGTATTTATACACACAATATCAACAATAAAAGAGAAGTAATATATTTAGATCAAAAGTAATAAACAATTACTATTATTATTTGTTGACACTTAACAGATATACAAAAACCATATGCAAATTGTATGCAATAACAAATATACATATTCTTCGTATTGCAGTATTGGAATTTGTGGACTTCATTTAGCCCAACAGCGTTGCCGTATTTTCAACATTAAGGTTCCAAATAGACAACTATAAAGGTGACTACAGACGGCGAATATTCCCGCGAAGAATTTTTTCCTTTGTTTAACAATTAAATAATTAGTTTGTTTTATTGTTAACATTATTAATGCTAAAGTTGGTATATTATATTTTTATACACATAGTTATTATTAGATAATATTGCACAAAACTTTCTTCTCTGTGAAGAAGCATTAGAGTATTGCTGTTGAAACGCTAAGATCAGCTGACATCACAATGTGAAGAACTTACAACAACTCAGTGAAGGCATTCTTGGAGTATTCAACGGATTCTTTGAGATTGGGTGGTGAATGTTAAAAATATGTTGAATTTTTAAAAAGTAACTTTCTCAAGCACCTTAGTTGCAGCTCCGAACATACTTTGTAATCCCCAACCAAATGTGAAAGAACGGTCATCCCGAATATTACGATAAAAAGGTGCAACGCTAATAAAGAAGGTACATGATGCACTTTCTACTCAAAAACAGGGACATTTTTTCTTAAAATTATGTAGTCCTCTCAATGCCGTTCTCTCAAAACGAAAATATGATCTGATGTGAAAAGGGGTCACGGATATGTACAAACTATGGACTGTTGCAAATGGGGTCACCCACATTACAGAACTTTCTGTATAGAATAAAAAATATTTGCGTTTTTGCTTTACTCTAACATGTTCTCTTAAAAGCAGTTGAGCGTGACCTTAACTTAATATTAACGGTATTTATTGACTTTGACCCAAAAACAACCTAAAGGTGAAAATTACCACTTAGAGTATATATAACAAAGATCCCATTTCTCATTTTGATTTACCTTGATTCAGGCACAAAAACTCATAAAAGTACACAACAAATGATTAATTGAAAAATATGCAAATATCTATATTACTGTATCAGAAAGTATATTATTAAACAAACATATGATCGTCAATAAAGAGCTTACATTTTTAGTACCGTTACATAATTTTTTACTGATAATTCTTATCATATTAATGGTGTCCATTGACATCTCTATATAAATTATTACAATTATTGCGTTTGCTGCAAGGAAAATATGTATATATGAATTTATTATATAAGGGAAATGAACAATCTTAAACATGCCTACCTCTTTTTATTTATGCTATACTAAAAGCTTTCTTACACAGTAAATAAAAATCTTAAGTTCCAGATACTTTTTATTTTAGGCTTATCTAATACGAAAAAAAAGATATTGTTTTAATACGAGTCTGTAATTTGCGTCAAAGTAAAGAATGCTATAATTACACTTAATACGTTTGTTATTGTAAATTGATCAAATTTTTGGAGATCTTACGCGTCTTAGTGGCAACATCTGCAGCTTTAACGATCATATTTGACAATAAAGTTACTTTAAGTATAATTAATTCTTAAGTCATTATATTAAGATATTATCTTCGATTTTTGTACAGTAGATACTTCTTCATAGAGAGTGGAAGTTGCAGCTCTTGAATACGCTCTTCTAAATGTGTACGTCCTACTTTTTGGCGAATTGTTCTTCTACAGAGATCCATTAATGGCAGAGGTTCAGCTAATATATGATTAGACAAAAAAACATCATTATTAAAAAACGTATATGGAGTGTAAAATATTACTTACGATCTAAACCACCAATATATGTCATTGTAATTTCGCAATGGCCCCAAACAGCAGAAACAACGGGATAAAGTTTTTTTCCTTTAAGTCCCTTAAATGCAACTCCGAGGTATTGTTGATCAACAATAAAGCTTAAAGTACCTTCGTCCATATCCAAAGCAACTAGAAACTTATCCGGGACTAAAAAAGCTTCATCATTTTTAAGTATGGCTGGATATGTAATTCCAGCACAATTTTTAGAATCATGGTATAGTTTATTTCTTCCTAAGTCCCAACCCCAACTTTGATCTGACAACCCCACTAAGCTTTGATAACCGACTGAGTGCAAAGGCGCCTCACTTGTTGCTACACCAACAACGGCATGTGTACCTCTTTGTCGAGTGGGCCAATATATTTCCCATATGTGGAGGCCTTTCGTAAGACCTACTTTACCGCGTATACAATCCGTGCTCTGAGCTACAGGATGTCTGTGAAATGTTAATTTATCATCTTCTTTTACAAATATATTTAATGATCTGTCTTCCGAGTTCCACGAATGTTTCAATTGAACTTCTTTACTTGCTGGTGGCATATCCAGCAAAATATCTAATCTTGTGGGTTTAACAAAATCTGCTGCAAGTTCTCGTGGTATTATTGGTTTAAAGTTCGCCTGTGAATCATTTCGGTTGACTGATTTTGCACCTCCACTTATTTTTTGACCCATGTTCATACCACGGCAGCCTCTAGTTTTTCTTTGGTCAATAAGGGCTACTTTGTATGATAGTTTTAAACGCTCAAATTCTCTTGGTTCCAACCGTGAGAGAACAACGCGTGGAGCTAACGAAGAAGTTGAAGAAATATTTTGAGATCGGCGTCTATCCGTATTTCTTACACCAGGCATCCGACTACCTTTATGTCTGAAATATAAGAGAAAAAATATATTTTTTTACATACTATATCAATCGTGTATAAATGTTATATAATACATTGAGTTGCTATTTACTGTTGCTGCTGCTCTACTATTTTGGAAAGGTTTTTCATTAAGAGACACATATATATGTATGAAAATTGTGCTTCGAAGAGCATGTAATAATACGCAAATATAATAATTAAAGGTTTACACACGGTTTGATTTGGAAAAGATAGTAATGGTTTTTAAAACCGTTGTAATGGTAAATTTTGAACATATTTTATATATATATAAATATTTAAATAAAATTATTTAACATCTTCTGTCCGACATTTCTAACGACGTTAATATTCTATTGATATGCGCTTTAGTTTAATTCTTGATATTTTTTGTTTTTAGTGCAAAGGGCTGATCTGAACTGTTAAAATTTTTTTAACACATGTGACGTCCTTAATTAAAATACGAGCTTCAGTCAACACTAAATTTTTTGCTTCACTTACATATTGATAGACCGAAACTACAATTTTTGAACTGTGTGTCATATCGCGAAATAATACACTAAAAATTTATCTAAATTAAAATTTGTAATAATTTTTCCAGAACAAAACACGAAAACGTAGCCTCGTAAGAAACCCTAATGATAATTTTACCTCAATAACCTTTCCATAACTAAGATATTTCGCTTTCAAAAGTAGGAAAATATTGATTTTTTTATCACAAGTGACGTCTTTAATTTAAATACGAGCTTCAGTTAACCCTAAATTTGGTTTCCTTCGCTTAACACTTGATAGATCGAAATTACAATTTTTAACTGTATGTCATAACGCGAAATATTGCACTAAGAGTTTATTTAAATAAAAATTAGTAATAACCTTTTCCCGAAAACGTAGTTCTCAAGAAATGATCCTTTTACCTCAAAAACTACCTACCTACTAAGAGTAGAAAACAATTGAAAATAGAGCGGATTTTGGTTGAGAGTATTTTACACAAGAATATTTTATACCTGGCACATAGACAGTAGTGAAACAAACAATTAAATAGCTTGGCAACACTGAAAAAGGGCTACAAAGATAGAGATACAAATGATTGAGGGGCTTTTTGACAAGGAAATTTTTTGTTGTTCTTTATAGGCAGCTTCGATGCAAATTTAAACTCTATGAATTATTATGTAAAAAAAAAAATATTTTACTTTTAAGTAAGTTGGCTACTACTTGTTGTTTACTGCTTATTTCCTTCATATTTTGACAAATGCGTCATGTTCGTATCCTTTTCGTATTAACATTTATTTCAACTATCTGAAGACCATTGCATTTCAAATAATACTTATACTCCAAGGATAGACAATTATTATCAGTGTCATCAATTATAATCTTTTTTTTTTTAACAAATGATTAATTTATTAAAATAGACGAAAAAATCTGCAGAAATGAAAGTTAGCCAAGAAAATAAAATTTTTACTGTAAATCATTTGTTTACCCGAGTACCCGTTCAAGCTGTCTGATTAGTATAAATTTTTGAGAATGAAAATGTCGCTACGAGTGTTTGATATTATGCAAATCATGGTATAAACGAATGCGATGGAAAATATTCGTTAAATCACAGTTACATACATATGTACGTTTATCATACTGGTATACTACCGTAAACTTTCCCTCTCGTCCTGCAAATGAATAGTAAAAAAGTACAGCTACCTTAATACAGCGTTAAAAATATCCAAGTGCAAAAGAGTAAATCTGAAAGCATACAAGCAAAAAAAAATAATTTAGCTTCAGCTACCTGCCAAAAATTCTTTCCTTAAATGAGATATCTAAAATCCCATAATTATGTATGTATATAGATCAACAACTTAAAATAAGTGCTTGCGCTAAGAAATTTAATAGTTTGTTACAAAAGCTTTACTCGAGAATTTTTTTTCGTTTAATTTTAATATTGTTTACGCTGTTTTCGCCTTTTGAATATTCTTAAGAAATGAGCACTTTTGCAAGTATAGATACTATATAAAGATCGTTTCGAAATTTTAACAATACCTGTGGATATCGGATCTTTATTTACCCCATTTTGCTTAGCAATGGTTCCTCAACTATGCAAGAGAAAGCCGATCAATGCATTCATTAACCTCCGTAGGTCATAAGGAGTCACTTAACTTTAGCACTCAACATTGTGTGAAATTTGTAACAACTTCGGACTTTGCAGGCACGTTAGACTCAGGAGGTCTGCATTTTTATTCGGATCGAGTATGCGACACTTTGTCGTTCTTAAGGGACTAAATTTTATGCCTTATTGCTACGAGTTAGCTGCTTTTCTATCACAATGACATCGCAGAATGAATGGAATAGTTCCTCACATTCAAGTAAAGTTACATTGAGGTGGATTGAAAGGTCGTCGGAAGTATTTTTGGAGAAAACTTTACATCAACTAAGAGCTTATATAACGAGGCTGTGGACGAATAGTTGTTGAAATGGTAGACTCATTGCCCTTTATTGTCAGAGAAAGTTCAAGATATACATTGCGGTAACAACAATAAGTAATTTGGGAATAGAAGCAAACTTCTTAAAAAATGTTTGCTATTAAAGAAAAGTCGATGGCGAAAAGTGAAAATTCAGAAAATATCCTTTACCTATCCTATTATACAGGGGGATACTAAGTGATGATATCAATATAAGGGATTTTGAAAAACTGATAATTCCGACCTTTCCTTGTTTCTTCCTTCATTCAAAAAATAAGAGAGAAATACATTTTATATATAAAATTTCTCTGTTTATACTAATTTTTGACTGTTGACATTAAAACCCCAAGGTAAATAAAATGCAAACTTCATGCATAAACATGTTCGATGTAAACACTTACTTACCTAGGAAAACTAATTGCAGAAAAATTCGTGATGAAAAAAAGAATATAAGCAAAATTGGTTTTTATAAACATCAAATATTTATATTTTGTTGCGATTTTATACGCAAAAGATTCACGATTTGAGACATAAGAAAAAACCAAATAGCATCAAAATATTACCAGAAAGAAACTAACAGATACCGTATTTTATATAGATGCGACAAATATTTATATCTTGAAAGATTCCATGCGATAATTTTTAATTTTTAATATAAGCAAAAGGGAAATTCACAGCAGACAATAGCAAGAATACAAAAAAAACCTCTGGCGTTCTGTTGGCGTAATAGTACATTCGAAATGTCAAAACATATTGCTCATGTATTTTGTTTGTGTAATTTGGCGAAATTGAAGGTAGAGCAAGGTATCATAAGTGACAACTTCACTTGCCTATTAAAATGAAGAACAGATGCTACCCCCTGCGGGTTAAGGGCTCAAGAATTTACCCGCGGTAAGGCATGCCTGTCGTAAGACGCGACTAAAATCCAATAATTCCCGCGACAGTCGGGTCTTTATACCGGAACGACCCGGATTTTTATCAGGCCAAGAATTGTCACTCCCGCAATATTCCCCAAAAATTACTTTAGGGAAAAATTTTGCGGTTACAACAACAAAAACAGAACAGATACTCAGAGTACAAAACAATAAGTCAATAAAAATATTTCAACAAATTTTTCTTACAATACAAACTTTTTGTAGTAACAATGTTTGAATTACAGGCACATGTAATTTCGAACTAAAATTTTTAGAAGCAAACATGCAAACAAAAAAAATTTTTACTTGTTGTTTGTTACTTGCCAAACATCTAATGTAAAATTTGATATTAATATATTTCGATATATCATAAACAAGTCTTTACAAAGTGCAATGTGCAAATACTTATGAAGATATCTGTAGGCAGGCCGATGTTGTTGTCATTTGGATTTGCCAACACAATTGAAAATACATATTCATTGTCAGCTGCTAATCAACGCTGACGCCACCTAGTATACTCTGCCATATTTTCCTGTTCAAAATTTATATACAACATCTTGAATAATTTCATAGCTTGTAGCTGTCGCTTTATAAATGATGTAGAGTTACCCCCTTTGTTTAGAACGATATTTTAAATGTTTCTCAAACACTATGTTTAAAGAAAATTGCAAAAGCAGTTTAAAGTAGTTTAGCGGAAATAACAAATTTCGGTTGCCAGTGCTCATGCCGTTTCAGCACCGTACACAATTTCTTAAAACATCTAACCCCCAGGTTGTATTCGCTTTGGGACAAGTGTAGTTTTATGAATATTAAAAAAAACGAGTTTTTATTTAAACTAAATAAGCTATTAATATGTTATTGAAAATAAGAAAGAGCGAGGTAATATTTGCACGCCATCTACATACATATATGCATATAGGTACATGTATGTATTTATATCTATATATTTATATATATAAAGTATATAGATATATATATATATATATATTTACATGTCATTGTACATTCATATGCACAACTACACATGTAAATCAATTTTCCCATACCCCACGGATTTACAAAGTTTTAAATACTATTTTTGATACATTACCTTTTCTTGCCGACTTCCATCTATTGTTTCCAAGCTTTTTAAAAACAATCACTTTTAAGCTTCAGTTGATTTGCTCGACATAAACAGCACGAAACAATCAAATACAGGCAAAACTATGCTGTGCGTTGCACATATCATACATTTATTTTGTGCCATAAGACCATATTCACAAAAGTAGTAAAGGCCTAAAATTTTCTGTAAGCACACTTTCCTTTCATGAAATTACTTTTACTATGTATTCCCACACTTTTTTCCAAAAAATTAAAAGTAGAAACGAAATTTTTTGACTAAAATGAATTTCCAAACAACTAAAACCTTCTGAAAAGAACCCAGCTTAATTAAAAATACCTTATAGCGCCTCACACTTAATTTTGCTACACTTAAGAATTAAACACTTAAACAACGACGGTACGACACTCGATATCTGTCAAAATGAAGCTCAAGAGTCTTTAAGGTAGCCGTAATATAAACTGCTCAATTATTTACACCGGTAGACTTAAGTCTGATTTAATTGGCTTATTATAATTGAATTATAAAACAAAAACAGTGTACGATCAATTATTAAAAAAAAAAAATTAAAACAGCACGGTACATTGATTTATCGTATATACTTAGCGTTTTTTTATTTTTAACAGCTAAAGTTTGAACATATAAATATATTTATTTTACGCATTATTTCCACTGAAAATAGCTGACAAAAAAATTGCAGCAAAAGTAATTGTTTGCGATAACAATCGCTTCCACTTCGCTGCAGTCCCTGCTTGTAAGGCTATTTTGTGCAAGCACGAAACTGCCACTGTTGAATGGCAATGTCGTGCGACATTGGAAACATCTTTAGACTATTTAATTGATTTAAATTTATTTATTTTAGGTATTATTTTCACTAAAAAATTCTACTAAAACGATACAGCAACTGCCTGTAAGGCTATATTGTGCAAACAAGAAATTGTTGCTGATGACTGGCAATATTGGAAGTATTTTTGACTATGGCCACATGAAGCGACCAAAATATTTTAAGGCTGAGACCAATGTCAAAACAAATTTTTACTTTGATTACAAAAAACGATTTTTTAACAAATGCAAAAATTTTTTGTGAAAAGAATTCAATATGATATTACTTCTACATAAAGAATGTGAATTATAGATAATTCAAATAACACCAAGTATATAGGAATTAATTGGCACACGCAATGTTTACGTAATCTTTTCAATGGAATCGATTTTTGGGCTGGAGATCTTCCGCTTCTTAAGCATTCGCCAGTGCTTTCATTCATTCAGATGATAAACCCAGCCAGCGAAGCCGTTGTCATTTATTTGCTGGGCTGTGTCGACGTCGCCGATGATTGTGGATGATGACGATATGTGTAGAAGTTCACACAAATGGGGAAAGTTTTTGGCTCCCAATCATCTGAGAGTTGCAGAAACGAATCTTTTATATTCGTTTTAAGCAGCTCACGATTCCTGGTTTTAGACAAATTACTCTTGTGCTAGTAAGCAAACAACAATTTAGAGATCAACTAAAGTGAGAGCTTAAGTGTTGGATATGCGCAGAGACCCTCAATAAAAAAAAACGTTCCTTAAATGGGAAGGGGCGGCAGTCCAGTTGGTTTTTTTCTCGTACAAATAAAGGTTGATCTCACAGCCGTCAAAAAGTGAAATTTGGCATTGGATTTGTGGAGAGCATATTTTTCGACGAATTATGGCATTCACTCCGGCCAACAAATAGATGGCCATAATACTCATCAAAGCGGTGTTCTTCAATATATGGCTTATTTCTGCTCTAACCCAAGCAGAAGAAAAGAATGATGTCACCAAAGGTACACCCAGAAAGTTCAAAAATTACATTATACATGTTTATAATAGTGCTGGTACGACAAGGAATTTCGAACTGCAGCGGAGAGATAAGACAGACTTGCCTACTTTATGATGACCCATGCGAGGGAGTTGGATAGAATCTAAAATTTTCATTACAGGATTAGTGCTATGCTGCGCCAGACCCTAGACCCAGCCCACCGCCAACAAACTGGTTAGATCTAATCAGTGTGGGTGTGGGAAGTCTACAATTGATCAAATATTTGCCATGAAAGAAGCTACCTCTAAGCCATTACGTCTAAATTTAGTATTTCTGTTTGGTTCGAGACAGGCTTGGTAAGAATCGAAACGAATGACAAGACGAAATATCACTGTTGCATTAACATCAATAGTAAAGTCAGCCTTTAAATTAAAAGTAGAATCACTGTTGCCACAAACCAAAACCAAACTCCACAAGTCCCTCATGATACTTGTCCTACTATATATCAAGAAGCACATTCATAAATCGGTCGAAGAGAAATGGGTCTGAGAAAACTAAAAACATGTAGTTTAATCTGCATTCGTCAACTGTGTTGTTTATAATCAATTGACAAAAATTGTTCACTTTTCGCACCCTAAGTCAAAACTTGTATAAGGACTTACTCGTACATATATCAAAGATAAATATTTTCAATTTCAAAGGCAGGAAATAAAAGTACCCTCGCAGATGTTATACACAAATGGGGCAAAGACTGCAGGAGGAATTGGTGTAGAGCTTACAGGCCAGAGACAGGGATATTATTACCTATAGGAAAATATGCGAGCATCTTCTAGAAGTCATTCAGCCGGAGCAAAACCATATTATATCAATCAATCCTTCTAGTCAACTAGTAGGGAACAATATTCCACTGGTCGCGGTGCATATCCTCCCACCTCATATATCCATCCATCTACCCGTACAAAAATTTTTTCCTAAACCACATCCTAACGGCTGATGTGCTACGAATATTATGATACGTTTTTTATTTAATTTTAGAGATACACTCGTAGGGGTTTGAATTATCTGTCGTAGACCGAAATATCTTCGGATTTTTATCATTCGAACCCGAGGGTATGGTATCAGTTACAACATGGACAATATTAGTATAAATTCTACATTTGCTTCTTCTATTCGGAAAATATGCTTTCATGATTTCGCAAGAAGGCCCTTTATTCCAATAGTCCGAAAAAATTGTTAGAATTATCAAATAGAAAATTGCAAAGTAAACGTTTTATTTCAAAATTTGCAATTGTAACAATTCTTTCCGTACGCGACTAATGCAGAACCGAATTTTTCGTACAAAATGCAACAAAATAAAACCTTTATCGAACTCTGATGGCGGGATAAATATACTTCCAAAAATACCAAAAAAAAATTGAACAAGAAGACATACAACTAGGTTTCGATTTTTACCCATAGAGTGCGACATTGTAACCACGTGCCGACAAATTCAAACAAAAAGCGTTACCTAACTCTCGGCTCACCGACCGAAGGGTACACTGGTGACCGAAACACGGCCACAGTTTGGATTGCCCTGTTCGCAAGACCGATCGCGATTACATTTGCATCTTAATTTTCTATAATTCCGACTCGAACCTCGAATGCCAGTACGCAAAGCTAACCACTCGGCTATCGCGCCATACATGAAAAACATTTGATAAAAATACAAATTTTTAAATAAATTGTAGATGTTGTGTTTTCCTATTTTGGAATTAAAAAAAATTAAATAAAATGAAAAGTCGAACCAATTCATGAAAACTAACGGTAATTTTTTTAACTATTAAGCTACGCATTTTACAGGAGGCATAGAATTCCACCGCATTTAACATGCATTCATCTCAGAAGGTTAGGCTTAGAAATATGGTCGGTTTGTTAAATCCTTAATATAAGGATAACACGCCAAATTTAATATTACAACATTGCAAGACTTGAACTGACATGTCACTGAGCATGCTCTGACTTCGGCGATGTACGAAGCTCAGTATATATGAATACCAATAAGTATTAACCCCCGTTTCGCGACTGCGCCATGAAGAAATCAATTTCGGTGAAAATAAAAACATTTCAGTAAACTTGCATTGTGCCACTAAATTCTTGAAAACAAAACAATTTCCAATCTAATTCAATACCCAAAAAACGTGTTTTATTGGAAGAAATACAAAAACAATTGAGTTGAGTGCATTGAAAGTTTGCCAGTACTAAATTTGAAAATGCTAACGGCAGGTTAGAAGTAAAAACCAGTTTTGAGAAAAAAGGTAAAAATTTTCTAAGCTAGTTTGATATTTATAACGAATTCAAGTTTTTAGAAGGGTGTATTTAAATATAATGATTTTTTTATATTATATATATGTATATATATATTACATATGTAATATTCATGGCTAGGATATATAAATGTATAATTTACTGCGCGTACTATGTAGATATGCATCTACATATATGTATTGAGCATAAACGCGTGTATACATATATACAAGAGTATTGGATCGATTTATTTTTTCTGTACGACACCTTCACGCAAGCAAATTATATACATATTACAAGACATTCCTCAGTTTGTTTATGCAATTTAATTATGCATATTTATAGCTTAAAACTACTGATTATTTGACGCATTAAATCAACTCTCAGGATTCGTGAACGCTTAAAAACCTTTTTTTTGCACAATTAAGTTTCTTTTTCATAAAAAATTCCAAGCAATAAAAGGTAGGTGAAGCTTGTCTGTGCATTCAACTACTTTGCCAAAATCCTTGTCTGTTTCTACATGGAAGGAGAAGCTAACAAAACCAGCTTATATAATGAAAATTTTAGACCTATTTAATAATCACTCAAACACAAATAAGGATAATATTTAAATGGCCGGTGATATATGTAATATAATATATTAATTGAAATCCTGTATAATAGAAAAGACAATATCTCGGTTGTAAAATGAGTTTTCTAGTTGATCGAAATAATTTCTTTTAAATAACTTAATAAATTTAAAAAAAAAAAGTGTGAAATTTTCATAGTATACCAGTGGGCTCCGCCCTCACTCGCTCACATTACGCGCTCGCCCTCTCAATCGCTTATTTGTTTCACCTATTCGATTTGTATCCATTAGAAATTATTCTAGGACGACAAAACTTTTTCATTGAATAGCGAAATATCAGAAAAGAAAGTTAAGACTATGGAACAGCAACAACCTAGTTTTTTTTCTAAACTCGCACTCACGATCGTGTACTTAAAGTTCGCAAAATACTAAATCTAAATTTTTTTTGTGAGAACCAAAGAAGCTCCGAAGAGGAATAAAGCACCAAAACAAGCAGGTGTTATAAGTTTATTTGCAACGGTATATCACTTTTGAACTCAGTGGTGGATATAAGTTGTTAAACTACCAGCGGATGCCTAAAGTCTCATTAGAGTATCAGACCAATTTTAGAAACACACAAGACGATCACATCAAGCTCAAGGGAACTTTTGGTGGTAAAATTAAAAACTGTTAGTGGAGTATACCCTTTATATTATACATACCTATTTATGCACAATTGGCCGGATTTCCGACCGACCTGCTTCTGTAGTTTGGAATGTGCTTCCCAATATTTTTGCAACAAATGCACGAATCATACAGCTTGTTCGAAGCCGCCGGAACGGCTGATGGATTTTGATCAGGAGCTTTTTATATAATATGAGAAATATATCCGGAGGGGTTAACATCCCATGACCATCATAGTAACGTAGCCAACTACTCAACATACATACATATATAAATTAAAGCAAACTACGCAACTATTTTGGATAATTAATGGCTTCCAATCATTGGTGTTCAATCACTCAACAGTACAAACTCTTAAGAAGCATTCAATACGAAACAAACTGCAACTCGTTGTAACAAAATCCGATTCAATATAAAGGGGGAACGGAATAAAAAATATGTTCACATATAATTAATTAACGCTTTGTAACCGCAGAGGCGTTTTTCGGCCGGGCTCCTCTTCCAATTTGTGGTGTGTGTTTTAGCAAAAATTGGAGGGCCCTACAGTTTGTTTCAAGCCGCCTCCGAACGGCCAATGCAGGAGCTTTTATTTCATATCAGGAATATAACGGAGGGCTTTACATTGCCAACCGAAGGGCGGCCGGAATTAGAAAAATTAATTTTCCAAGAATGTTCCGAATGTCAGTACGCAACACTAATCACATTATTTCATTTACACACCGTTAATTTTATTTTTAGAAGTTAAGATTTAGACAATCTTCAAACTTCAATTTCCGTTGGGAAAAATTTAAAAATTAACGATGAAATTATATATATATACTGTATTATATACTGTTCAGCCATTGTTGATAACGACAAAATAAAAAGGTTAACTGAAATATTTAGGCTTATCATAGGTGTTAGCTGAGATCTTGAATTTAGTCGTTTACTTTCGCTTATAACAACAAGTAAACAAACTGGATGGTTTGGGTTCTCTTGAAATAAATGGAATCCAATCTCATTAGCGATACCCGAACTGGGCATTCGTCGAAAGAAGATAATTCTTTCTGTGTGTTGGGATTGCAAGGACAATGCCGATTTCCACCATTGATTCGAAGGCCACCAAACCTCTACTATTGAGATCAAACGATGCATAATTTTTATATATTTATCCAAATACTTTCTGATTTCACTGTTTAAAGAAAAAATAGTTTGTTCTACTTTTAGACATTAAATCATCATAGCATAATGGGGACAGTATTAAGTTTTAATCCCAGAGAACGACATCCGTTCTATTCTTCACAAACCAGTATTCAATACAGTCAACAATCCGACATTCGAAACGAATGCATACTCGAAGGACCTTGCTTAATGGACTCCCATTTAAATAATTTCTGCTATGAACAGTTGAATAATGCAAAGAATCAAGAAACCAAGCAGAGTATTCGTGTCCCTCTCTCCAAAAACGGCATAATTACACATAACGGTGCCGGTAGAATGAATCTAGATAAGCAGACCCATACCACAAGTTATAGTTTCAATAAGTTGAAGGGTACAAAGGATGCTATCAATAATGATCTGGATTCACATAATGAAAATTCGACACTTTTTGCAGAGAAGAATGCTCTGGAAAAAAGCATAAAGAAGCATTCATTGTTTATTAGTGCATTGTCTTGGAAAAAACTTGCTGCGTCACATAATAAAAAGAAGATTGAAAATAAAAATAAATGTGCTAACATACAAACAGGATGCTTGAAAACTCAACCACTGGATCCGGCTAATTCATCTTATATTGATAAAAACAAAAATGTGCGCTTACACTTCAATCATATTAACGACAGTCAAAATATAAACTTAAATCAAGGTGATTCCCAAATATGTAACACAGCTTTTTCAACTTCGAAAACCAAAAAGCAAATAACGTCACAAGATCTCGTTAGAATAAACACAACAAATTTCAATAAGCACAACAAATTGATTCAAAAAGAACCTCTCGCTCTATCTTTGCCTCAACAATCGCAGATAATTCAAAATAAAAACGGTCATATTCCAAGAAAGACTGTTATTCAGGTAAGTTCATCCAAAAGACGTATTCAAATTACTGGCTTCCAGTTTACGTATAAATATGTATGTATTCATATTCTTAATTGTGTAATCCCTAAAATAATTTAAACATATTTATTGCTCTAAACACCAATGATGTTTTTTAGACGGTTTTTTGACAACTGTCATTTGAATTAAATTCACTTTGGTTTGTCAACATTTTTAATTCGGAACAACGATTTAGTGGACGACAGTGCGCGCCGAAGACGCCATTGCTGCTGTGAAGCAGAGTATCCTAGTATACCCGAAAGAGTTCATCCTACATGGTGTGCCAACATTCTAGCTCTGTACAACAACTTTACGGTAGATTTTTCCGAATTATTTTGATCTGCGCGATTACAAAATTCAACTAGTGCGAGATGCGCTGTTTCCTCCTCAAAAGGTCACTGTTTGATGTGGTCCATTGGCAGAGTGAATCATTGGTCCACATTTCTTCAAACTTGAAGCAGACCATAATGTTACAGTCAATGGGGAACGCTATAGAGCAATGGTCAATGATTTTTTTCGTGTCTGATTTGGAAGATGTTGATGTGGACGAGCTTTGGATCCAAAGAGACGGCACTACATGACCTACAGCCAACGAAACAATGCGGATGTAGTCTCCAGATTATGGGATATAACACCGCTAGACAATTTGTTTACACATATAACACCGAGACGATTAACGCCACAAAATATAATAATTGGCGCGTTATTACTCTCATACGGCTCCAATTGCCGGAAAAAGTTGTAAAAAATAGGTCTGGAATTCATTCATGCTAGACGCGAATCTTCATGAGAACCACATGTCTAAAAAATCACTTCTTACATTCAATAAAATGTTCTTTAATTAAAAAAAAAAAAAAAAACTACAACACAAAGGCATTACAAGCCCTAATAAGCTACGTGTGATTTGTGCGTAGCTTTCAGTTTTTAATTAATTTTTGACCAGTTTTCTTCGCAGAGATGCATGGCCAGCCTATTTTTCAAAATAATTTGTTTTTCTTTCTGGAGCCAGGCTAAAAAGTTCCATTTCATTTCTCGATTATTCATAAGCCATGTTTTACTCTGACTGACTCTCCAACGGAGTGGAGATCTTCTTTATCCTCCGCATTCACCACCAGTGACAACATCAATTACTTTCCATGCAGGAGAATTTCTGCTCACTTCTGTTGCGTGGACTAGCCAGCATTGCTTCTGTCTCTTAAATCACTAAACTATTTCTCTTCAATTCTGGCTTAAGTTCTGGTGCTTCCGCAGCCGTACCAAAAATGACACAGAGGCATCTCCTTTTCCTGCATTTTCACATGGGTATTTTCCACAATTTGGCGCATAGTTTATCCACCTTTATGTACGTGTGTTCATCTAGGGTAAGGTTCAATTGCAATCCATGCTATTAAACCTGTGAAAACAGATTGCAATTATTCATTATTTCCTCAAGTGTCTTATATTTGCTTGAGATCTTTGGAGAAAATGCACTCCGCCAGGCTCAACGGCATCCGTCCTTTACCTAGATAATACAAAATTTGCAATGAGGGCTCATCGCACTAAGCATACTACTATTTCATTCATTTTACAATTTCTGATTTAACCTACAGACAAAAAAAAACTACAATTAAAGTAAATTAGACCGGTAGAGTTTTAGTATAAATTGTTGTATTAATTTTAAATTTAAAATCAGTAAAATACATAAATATGAGCATATGAATAAGTTTGTAATTTACTCATTAGGCATCAACTTCGGAGCTATTGAAGTGTTTGGGAATATTCTTACATTACCGGTGTAAAAAATTAAAAAATTTCGAAGCAGGAGATGCCGTTATGTGGCTAAGAGCCGTCGACCGGAGCCTATTACTTCAAGGCTGGCAGGTAAGTGTATATCCTAGATTTAATCATATGTATATAATATTAATTATATTTTAGTAACAATAAATTTTTTAAGTGCCACCGTCCACTTAGATAATTTGGGTCCATTTTGACCAAATTTCTCCACATTTTGTTTAGTATTTCACACAACAACATACGTATGCGCTATTGATGAGTAATTCTGTAATTGTATTTCAGGACGTGGCATTTATAAATCCTGCAAACGTGGTATTTGTATACATGCTAATTAGAGAACTCGTTAATGGCGAAGAAACCAAAGAATCGGATCTACAGGCATCTGTGCTTACTTGCCTATATTTGTCATATTCCTACATGGGCAATGAAATAAGCTACCCACTCAAACCCTTTCTAGTCGAGGACTCCAAGGATAAATTTTGGGAAAGGTAAGTAGTATAGCTTCACCCTATAAAGGCAAGTAACACATTAGTGGGTCAGATATGCTTAGTTATTGAAGGTCAGAATTACTCTCCCGAATTAAATTTTTTTGAAATTATTTTGGTTTTTGATTGGACAAACCCTTCCAAATGGTAGTACGTCCTTCTAGCCCAACTCAAACTTTTGAGAATTATCATCCGTTCGGGCTACATGACCTAGTCAGTATAGCCGTAAACATCGTTTCGTATAACTCGTTCAATTCCTTATTCCAACAATTTGCAAACTAAGAGATCTTTATGAGAGATTTTACAGGAGCTACAAAAATGATGATAATGAGGAAGTTATACCCTGTCCTTAACGCGAATGCCCTGCCTTGCATAGTGCGTGGTTACCAAGTTTCGGGACCAACCTGGATGGTCTATCCAAAATAGTCTATGCCAATATAAAAGAAAGAAAAAAGCTGCAATCAATGTGGTTCCCAACTCGGTATTCGCTGTAGTTCATAGGTCCAGTATCGTAATTATTCTCCAAAACCTTTATCTAGAAAGCTCTTAAGACCGATTAATGGGTATTTGTTCGTCGAAGGAAAATATTTTCTATTTTTTTAATTGCGTATTCAGCTCAAAGCGTTGATGCTGATACTGGTTCTATGACTTCAAAGCTTTCTCCGGCTTTAAAGTTATAACTGAGATGTAAATACACTGGCACTTTGTTTGACGACGGGAGAACCACTCGCTTTCTCCAAAACAAGTAAACACTGCAGTTTCGATGTACTGTACCCGCTGGTGAAGCAGGAAAGACTTCCATTTCTGTGAAATCACCAAGTGGAGAGAGATGTATCCATTCCAAACAGCAAAAATGAGATCAAGCTGTTGACTGAGCTATAAATTAAGGAGAAGTAAAATGTATAACGTCGATACTTCTAAAAAAATTTAGTCGTTTTCTTAAACTATAGGTTGATAATTAAATTTTTTATCGAATATTTCAGATGCCTTACAATTGTAAATCGCTTGAGTAGTAAAATGCTAAAAATCAACGCAGAACCAGGATTTTTCACTGAAGTCTTCACGGAATTGAAGTCATGCGGTCAAATCTTATCCAACGCAAATGGAACCTTTTCATGTACCAGTGCTTGATGTACAGGAGAGCAATTCGCATTTAGGCTTTCATTTATACCATACATTCATACCAAGGAACGTGCATTCGCTTTGGATGCTTATTAATAAACATACATACATACATATGTATATTAAAATGAAGAATGGTGTCAAACTGTATAACATATTAACAGCGTAAAGAAGCTGCAAATAAAAAGTTTTAGAAAAATTAGAAATAGTTATTGAACTGTTATGAAATGAAAGTGGTGTGAGTTAATTTTTTCGCAACGACATATTCAATTTAAAATTTAAAAATACTGGATAAGATGATTTTAGTGGTTGATGCCTTTTTTGTAGTGCCAAAACATCAAAATTCAATGAGGAATAATCAGCTTTAGTTTCAAATAAAAGTAGAGTAGTTTTATTTCTTCAAAAAAACACCACTTTCAAAAATAACAAATTGAAAAAGAGAAAATAGCGATAAGAATGTATGTAGTTCAATAATGGTTTCTTTGTTTGTTAAAAATTACATTCTAAGTATTTAATATGATATTTTAATTTATTTGCAATTAGCTCAGTCAAAAAAAAAATGCGGTTGCACTCAGTTTTGATGACGATGATCTCAATTCAAAAATTCAAAGCGGCCGTGTCATTACCTACTTTCTGCACCCTTCATAATAAGAAATTTCAATAAGCTCAGAGAACTTTATTGCATTGCGTGAAATATCCAAGTTTAGGCGTTGCCTTGCCGTGGCGTTGCTTATAAGAGAAATCTCATAGAGTTGCATGTATACGCAGTGCAAAAGTCTTGCAAGTTATAAGTAATTGAATCTGTAACTAAAAAAATCAACCAGCCATAAACGTACCGAATCAGCTGACGGAACCCATCTTGTGTGAGCGCCTTGTAATTGATAACTCCACTTCTTGGCCCGCATGGAAATCAAGAGCGATTTGATCTCTCAGCGGAGTCCTGACTATTTTACAATACTTTTATAAGTGAAATTGTAAAAAACTAAGCAATGAAATTTTTTTTTTTTGCAAAGATAAAAAAGCCAAAAACCCTCAACAATTATTAACTGCAATATAGTTCATGTTTGTTTGATTGACGTTTAGATTCGAGTACAGAAATTGTGTACATAATTCTTTTACCCTAAATACGCTGTCACTTTCAAAATATTTTCTGCTCAACGTTAGTTTTCAGTTGAACTTCCTATTTGATGTGACCTACGATCTACAACTTTGTAAGGACGTTGACGAGGCTGCGCTTTTGTAAAATTTTAACACTGAAATTAAAAAAAAAAAATTGTTTATAAGTTATGTCTTGTAAAAAGCTAAGTTTCTCACATGATTTCTTTATAAAAATTCGACGTATCACTGTGTTTCTTCTAATAAATGCAATTCATATTTCAACCGATAAATTATTAATATATATTAACTTTTTTTGTTTAAGTTAACGCGGAATGCGACTTGCACTTCGGTAAATCGCAAACAAATTAATAATAAAACATGGTTGCACTCTAATAATGAAGGTGAGACCATTTTTCGGAAATTAGCCAATAAAGCAGTTTCATTTCAACTTTTTTGCGTTCCGTATTTTATTTTTATTTGGTATTTCCGAATGGCGTCAAACAGCAAAAGAAGGTATGAATGACGCGCTGTTGTTAATTCGGCTGTAATCACGTAAGTGGTGTCTACGCCGGCGAAGAAGAAGACCATATACAGCATATGTTGTGCCATGACTGATAATTTATTTGTTATAGTATAAGGCTCTAGTAAAATAAATAAGAAAAATTTCTTATAGGTTGGAATGGAAATAATAGAAACTACTAGTATACGTAAGTACAATATTCACGTAACGGTAAGTTGAATTTCTTTTCTAATAACATATTAGATAAATATTTACTGAAATTCCTTTTTTTTAAAGCATAGAACGAAAAATTTGAAAAGTGTAGAAAAATATTTTCAGTTAAAAAGTGGAGACCATGAAACGAATTGTTGTGACGGGTTCGGACAAAAGTTCCCAGATACGTAGTTTTTAGGAAATATAGCGTCATGCAAGGACTTACTGAAAAACGGACATACTTTGGGTTTACCGAGGTCGAGTTGGGATTATTTGAATTTAAGTTCCACTGGTATTACTGGGGTTTTATGTAGCAACACCGGGTTCTTCTTCTGCTATATTTTGGAGGTTGAAAAATGATGCGCCTATCCCCTGGAAGAATTTATGAAGGTGTTGAATGAATATCTGATGACTAGTTTTCAAACATAATTCCCAGTAACATTGGTTTACTAACGGTCGAAATTTGGACGTCGTCGATTTTGACATTTGAATTGAAGCAGAGCCACTCCACCTTTTCCACATATTTTCTTCAAGGGGTCAGCAGGGAGTTGAGCCGTTTCATTTTTTCTACCGAAGAATGTGGTAAAAGTCAACTAACTTAGTGCGCATATTTCTTTGGGTCTTACGGACGCGATCACTGACTAAAATTTGCTGTTATAACGCCACGACGTGTTGAATAGAAAATTGACACTGGCCAAAGCTTGGTTGCACCAGAAATGCTCTTCCAATTTTTTCCATTTATGAAGGAAGGACAGTTACGTATCAGGATGTGTGAAGAACGCATTAACATATTAGGAATATTTAAAAAAAAAAGTTTATCAACAAGTTGTGAAATATTAAAAATTTAATTCATGTTATACATACATATGTACTTATACTAGAGATTTCAAATTGTTTACAATTTTACTTTATAGATTTTAAGATAACTTTTATTTGCCAAATGAGGAAATCATTTTCTAGTTTTATTGACACCGGCTTGAGAAAGAGGACGGTTAATTGGACCACGAGAGCCACTTTTCAAGCCGTTTTGTGGTGTATTCTTATAACGTGGGCGAAGCTGTCCTCTAACGTTTTGGTTTTGGGACCCAGCTCCTACTCTTCCTTTATTCATTTCGGAACGCATTCTTGCCTTCGCTTGTGCATCGTCCTTCACCATATCAATAACTTCATCTGGGATTCGTAGGTATTTAATTGTACTGCCTCGTACATAGCATTCAGGCATCCGCCAAAATCTGTCTCCGTCCTATAATCCGATATTTTTCATTAATTTGATATTGTATTTTAGTATACATCATAATACATCATAATACCATCAAGTTTTCTTTAACAATTTTTATCAGCGTTTTTTACATAGACTCTTATAATCAGCATGTTTCAGACTCACCTTTGATGTACAAATAACATCTCGAAGATTTATATTCATCCATGAATCACAGCTAACCAAATGTCCGTTGTACGTCTCACCATTTTTTAGTTCTACCAACTGGAAGAAATCTATTAAACCAGGTTTTATTTTATTCTACATGACATAATTACCATAGGATGGCTTTGAGCTGTCTTTAATAATGTAAGAGGGAGCTAAGGAAAATAATGAATATCACATTTATAAAATTGGCAATAAATTGAATATAAATACCATGTTGTCCAGTTCTGTTTACCGCTTTTGAGTATTTCTAACGATATACTACTTGGCTTGGAGATGCTATAAATCAACGAAAATCGATAACGTTCATTCAATAATCGATATTAAACATCTTACATGCAATTTCTTGCTTCACTTACTTTGCTATGAAAACTGTCGATACAGAATAGGACTAAACTAAAACATGTTAAGAAAAGCCAGCCTTTAGGCTTCAATTCAAAAAGTTTTCGTCGTAACACAGTCAGTGGCAGATCAAACACAGCATGCCAATTAAAGTTCCACGGGACTAGTCCTAATAACGGTTTGGCGGAGAAAGAAAACCATCCTGGTCAACAGGTAGCACCTCGGGTGAATCTGTAGAGCTTGTCCAATCAGCAGAGGTTGGTGACTAAACTGACTCGGAAAATTAAACATTCTCAAGAATTTGGAGGCTTTTAATATTACTTATTATATGTGGTAGAACTGCTAAAAGTCTAACCTAAAACTGAGTTTAATTTTTGAGTTTTTTTCTGTTAGTTCGAAGTGCCTCTACCAAGTTTTTTAGCTAAGGTTTAACCAAATAACTCAAGTATGTTTGATAAGTACGAATTAATCTCTTATTATAACTATGTGTTTTTCATTACGGTCCAAGCATAGTGTTATTACATATTTTTCGATAGTGGCTATAATGGAGCAAAATTAACTAATAATTGAAACGATCATCGAGTATGTATTTGGATATCCTTATTTTGATTAAGGCATTTTCCAATTGTTAAAATTTAAGGAATGTCTATTGTAAACATAATAAAAAAGGCATCGTGCCGTATTTTAGGTGGAGATAAAACTTTCGAAAGAAGCGACAATTATGAAGACAACGAAGTTTTATTTTGCAAAAATAACGTCTGTATACATCCATTGATATCTACAAGGCAGGATTGTGAACTTATTCACTATCCTGGTTATCTGACTGTAACAACGAAAACTTTTGTTGATCAATTTAATAAAGCTAGCCGATCAACTTTGCTTCTAACATGGATTCCAAATACTTTACTCTGCAAATCAAAGTTGGATGAACAAAATGTATTCAGCAAAAGCAATTCTTTTGATGGAGAATTTTTACCAAACAATAGTAATTTCAATGGATTCAAATCTGGAAAGCATGAAATGCTTTACGGCGAACGCGAAGAAGAAGAGGATAATCAAAACGTTGATATACAAGAGCTCAAGAATGAACTGCAACCACTTCTTGGAGAACATATGAATTCAATTCGCGACCTAAATGCATTACTCGATAGAAGTCACATTACATCTGTTAATATTACGATTTCTAGTCCACATATTGAAAACTCTAATCTTAAACATTCAATACATAATGTTGTCACTAAGGTTAACAAAACATATTTTAACCATGAATATTATATTTCCGATGATGCAAATATCTGTTGTGCTGCTCCAGATTTATTGCCATCACAATATAAACCGAATATATGTGAAGTCAATTCGTTCACTCAAAACTTAATTTGTCGGCGATTTTCTGTTGATCTTAGTCAAATGCGTTCTTTGCGTTTATTTTTCAATGACGATAATTGTACATTCGGACAACTTGTAATTGCTTCAAGGGAATCTCAATATAAAATACTTCACTTTCATCATGGCGGATTGGACCACTTAGCTCAGGTATTGAGATAATTTTAGTTCTACATCTTTTCAGACAGGGAAGATGGTTTATAATCACTGGATAAAATTGGTGGATCCAAATAATATGGATGAAAATATTTAAAACTTTAAAATTATTTTGTTTTGAAAGGTGAGAACCTGACCGTGATCAGGTGGCTTGTTTCATCAGAAATGCTCTTTGTTTTTTTAATACCGATGAAATGCAGTTAACAAATTAAGTACATGTTTTTCCAGGTTCTTCATCAATGGCACGGTTTTATGCACAATATTGCGTTTACGTCAGGCCCGAAACTACAAAATTTGCCATACCGCCAATTTATGGTATGTCGCCCAGATATAAAGAAAAGTGAATTGCATCCTGATGAAGGCAACGTTAGAAAAATAACAACTAATTTTTTTTATGGAACATTGCTTAACATAAAAGGTCAAATAGAGGACGATTTACTACTTCGCAAATGTGTCTTCTTTGGTGGCTTAGAAAAAAGTTTGCGTCGAACTATATGGCCATTTTTATTGAAGTGTTATTCTTATTCATCCACATTTGATGATAGAGCTGTTCTCATGGATATAAGAAAGCAGGAATATGACGAAATAACTCGAAAACGCTTATACTCAATGTCGCCAGAGGAACAAATTCATTTCTGGAAATCTGTGCAATGTGTTGTTGAGAAAGACATTGCCAGAATAGACCGCTCAAATGCATTCTTTTATGGGGATGATAACCCAAATAGAGAAATCATGAAAAATATTCTTCTAAACTATGCCTTTTATGCAGGAACAACTTACTCTCAGGTAAATTAAAATTTTGTAAGTATATTTTTTTAACAAATAACTAAATTATTATTTTTTAGGGAATGAGTGATTTACTAGCGCCAGTATTATGCGAGGTACAAAATGAGTCGGAAACATTTTGGAGCTTTGTAGGTTTATTACAACGTTCTTTATTTGTATGTGCACCTACGGACACTGATATTGAACGTAATCTGAATTATTTAAGAGAACTCATCCGTATTATGTTACCACGCTTCTATGAACACTTACAATGTCATTGTAGTTCTATGGAACTGCTGTTTTGCCATCGTTGGTTGATTCTGTGTTTTAAACGAGAATTCACTGAATCAGTAGCCATAAGAATGTGGGAAGCGTGTTGGTCTAACTACCTTACCGACTATTTTCATTTGTTTTTATGTTTGGCCATTATTGCAGTTTATGCCGATGATGTAGTGGCTCAAGACCTCTGCGCAGATGAGATGCTGCTTTATTTTAGTTCACTTGCAATGTACATGGACGGTCAGTTAATCCTTCAGAAAGCCCGGGGTATGTTATACCAATATCGCCAGTTGTCAAAAATTCCTTGCACTTTAAGCGGGTTATGTAAAAGATGTGGACCTGGTATGTGGGATTCTGAACACTGTCCAGCATTGGAGTGTGTAGGACATTCGCAAGACGACAAATGCCCACTTGATATTGACTAAACTATGTTCTTTACATTGACATAAATTACTAAACTCTAGTCATTCTTACATAATACGCTTTTAGCTTTATCCACACGGATTTGACGCTTACATAGCAAAGAATTTGTATTATTATTTATATAAGGAATTATTTCGCTTGAGCTTTGAACAAGCATGTATTTGTTAATAAAAATTTACTGTTGTGTTACATGTATGAAAGTGGACATGTGTTGTGTATTAAAATAAAAAATATTATGAGCAATAATGGGCTTTCTCTATTCCGGAATATACGGCAACTAGGTGGAAAAGCGGCTACCTCTTAAGCTATTTAAAAGGCAATGGAATAAGAATTTTTCGGGTTAAATCACACTTACACGTAGTTACGATTTTGTAGATATTACCAATTCGTATTCAAACTCGAAAGCGAAATTCTGTTCCGACAGTAAGTTCGATACTCAAAAATTTGGAGTAATTAACAGTTAATACGAACATAAAATTGGATTTCAGACAGCCAGCGAATGGAAAGTTTAGTGCAGCTTATGATATATGGAGAATAAATTATATGTATATTAAAATATATTAAGAGAAAACAATTCAGATAGTTTATTTTAAATAAAATCCTGAGGAAGTAAACATTTAATTATTATGCCCAAATTGCAGATAGATCCCAAATTTTTATAATGCGGTCTTGCCCAACGGTCAATAGCAATTTTCGATTTTCATCCATATCCATATTGACAATTGAGTGTTTTGCATCATGGAAAGTAGCTAATGAAGGCCGTCTAAAAATAATAAAAAAATAAACATCAGAAAGATACCGTAGTTACACATATAAGTTAAAAACGTACTCAACATTCTGCAATTGCTTATAGCATGGATCACAACAACGTACATCGAACTCAAATCCCATTATTGGTATATTAATACGGTTAGCAGAGCAGGTATCGCACACTGCTTTTCCACAATGTCGACAATGATGTTGTCGGATACCTGAAAGTTAGTTGTAGATAATAAATAAATATATTAAAAACTATTTATCATTTTAAAATTGGCCATTAAAGCACTATACCGAACATCAAATAGGTAAGAATATTTCGGTAATTTCTTTATGACTCGTATTAAATTATAATTGTTAAGTATACAACTGTTCTTTTTTTATTCCTCTATAAAATAACCAACATAAATTAAATATCAACACTATTCACCTATTTGTCTCTGGTCCATCATAGCACGGAAATTCCAGAAAAATGGTCTTTGACAAAGTTGACAACTATTATTTTCCACCCATGCTGGTACTTCCTTTCGCATTGCATTCATTTCCCACAACACAATAACCGAGTCTTCTGCACCGCTAATAAGCTGTTGAGTATGATTGGCATATGCCAGCGATGAAACCTTGTTACTGAGTAATACAAAAAGGATTAATGAAATATTAAAAAAAAAAATCTCAGACAATGTACTTATGCCCTTGAAGCTCATAGATGGTACCACGTTTGCCTCCAATATCCCATACTAAAACCGTTTGGTCACAGGAACCACTGAAAAGTAATTGATGTTCTTCAACCCATTTAAGGCATCGTATGCTTGCTGAAAAAGAATTAAATACAATTATTCTCTCAACAAAAAAGGTTATAAAATTTTATAAATTACTTGTATGTTTCTTGAATATATTTATGAACTGAACGCCTTGCGTATCACACCTTAGCATGGTTATCGAACCAACAGAGTCACCAACGAATGCATATTTCGCCATGGTATCAAATCTAGATAGATGAAACCACTTAATAAGGTTCTTAATTTGGCAATAGGTAATTTTTGGTACCCAACTCAAATCTAGTCCACGAATTGGCGAATTTCACTATATTGAAAAGGTACCCAAAAGCAAAAAAATAATTATGATTACGTACTGTAGCGATGTGCAAGATGTCTCGAAAGTGTAACTACCCAATCGTTGCAAAGTGTCGGTTGAATAAAAGACGAACAATTTGTCCCTTCCACATGAAAGGACCCATTTCATATTGTTATCAACCACAACTTCCATTACCCGGCCTTGATGTGCCAAATAGTCTCGGACAAATGAAATTCGATTACAATCATCCGAAAATGTAAATTGAGTTACGGTTCCATTGTCTTGTCCAATAAATAGTTGTCTTTGAGTAGCATTATAAAATACTGAAGTACATCCCGATGGCATATTTTCACATATACTTGGCCAATATTGACCTGAGTCTCGCTTCAACCATACTCGGATTGTTCTATATAAATATAATATTAAAAAAATATATATATTTTTGTTTCATATGTATATATACAAACTTGTCATCGGAAACACTTATCACGCCATTTTCACCAGGAATAAATATTGCGGCATTTATATCATCGCCACTTCCCTCTAATTTACTTAGCAATTCCAATTTTCTTCCGGAACTAAAACGATCATCATCACTACGTTGAGCTGGCTTTATTTCCGCAGCCATTTCGCCAACGCCTACAAAAAAATCATTAAACGGATCACAACTAGCAATACGAACTCGTCAATGGTATAAGCAGAAATCGATTACTTTGCAACCGTTATCCAATCGATGATTACATATATAGACTGGATTTTTACGGTGCGACTTCTCTTGCGTTCACACATAGAAACTACATACGACAATTTTTGGATTTTTCTTAAAAAAAATTTCTCAAATTTTTGTACATTATATAATATTAAATTAATTTGAATGCCAACACAACTACGAAAATTTAAAGATTTTACAACAATGAATGAAGCGTCAAGTATTCGAGTATACCGAACTAATGTAAGAATGAATTTAAGCAAAAAACTAGGCCATTTATGATTAATGTGTTGTGTTATGAACGAAATATACATTTAAATTTACTTCAATGCTTCTGTTTGATATAATGCGCAAAAACAGTTTTTATAAAAACGCAATTATTTAAAGTTTTTAATCGCTGCTGCTTCGGTTTGATATAATGACAAATCATTCCTTCGTTTTAAATTAAGTATATTTAAATTTGTTTCTTATTGTCAATATATTTTTAAATCCTCATTAGCTTAACTAAATTTTAGAATCTTAAAATTAGTTTCTGTGACTATTCAATCGGATGTAGAGAAAGCGACATTTAGTATTCACAGCAAAAAAAAAGTGAGTGAAGCGAACAAAGCCTTCTACCTTGGGTTAGTAGCTTAAGATATTTGACTACAAAGCTGCCACGTTATATTCTGATTGGTATAGATGCTCTTAATGATATCGGTATTGCTCGATTATCGTAGCAGCTCAAGATAGCAAATACTTGTTGAAGTATTTGGAATATTTCAAGAAAGTTAGTCGGTGGAATTTTTATTTTAGTTTTCATAATTTATTATTAAATTAATATTGAAATATTGATCAGAAATATGTCTGCGAATCGATTACTCCGAGCCACTGGCTATATGGCAAGATCAAAGCTTTTTACTTCCACTGGTAGGTATAAATATTGAACTTTAAACCCTTATCATATACATACGTTTATATATGTATATATGTACATATTTATACTTCTATAAAATTTTAAACAATTAAGGTGGAAAAATGACCACGAGACTCTTTTCTTCAACGGCCGTAGATAAGGTTTCCCAAAAGGATCTGCGCACGAAAGTTGTAGATGATGTATTAGTTGTTACATTAGATTTACAAGATGCAAAAGTAAATTCCGTTAATGTATCAATGACCTCACAATTTAAGTCAATACTAAAAGAATTGGAATCCAATGCCTCCTTGAAATCAGCTGTTGTCATTTCTGGTAAACCCGGCTGTTTCATTGCTGGTGCTGACATAAGTATGCTAGAAAAATGTGCCACAGCAGAAGAAGCGACAAATATTTCTAGAGAAGGTCAAGAATTTTTTAATCAGTTGGAAAACAGTTCAAAGCCCATCGTTGCGGCTATTAATGGAGTTTGTCTTGGAGGTGGTCTTGAACTTGCATTGGCCTGTCATTATCGAATCGCCACAAAAGATCGAACCACAAAGCTTGGCACACCTGAAGTCTTATTGGGCCTTCTTCCTGGTGCAGGCGGAACAGTTAGAATTCCAAAACTTACTTCTATCACTACAGCATTGGATTTAGAACTCACAGGAAAACAAGTATCCGCTGAAAGAGCAAAAAAGATTGGATTAGTGGATTTATTAGTCGATCCACTTGGACCCGGGCTAGCACCACGCGACCTTATTACAGTTGAATACTTGGAACAAGTGGCCATCCAAACAGCAAAAAACATTGCCAGCGGAAAATTAAAAGTTAGTATAATATTATTACACATTTTTAATATTAATTTGCATATATGCTTGTACATATAATTTAGGTAAATCGAGGCAAAACGTTCAGCGATAAAGTGGTTGATTACTGTATGAATATAGAGTTTATAAAAAATAAAATATTCGATACAGCTCGAAAACAAGTTATGAAATTATCAAATGGTCTCTATCCGGCACCGTTGAGGATTATTGATGTTACTCGTATCGGTATCGATAAAGGGTCTTCGGCTGGGTATGAAGCTGAAAGTAAAGCTTTCGGAGAACTCGCAATGACCCCAGAATCCAAAGGATTAATGAACCTATTTCGTGGTCAAACAGAATGTAAAAAAAATAGGTTTGGTAAGCCCCAAACAGAAATTAAAACTATTGGAGTATTAGGAGCAGGGCTTATGGGCGCAGGAATTGCTCAAGTATCAGTAAATAATGGATATAAAGTGATCGTTAAAGATACCTCCAATAACGGACTTGCACGCGGTATAGAACAAATTCAAAAAGGTTTAGACGGTCAGGTGAAAAGGAAAAGAATTAGCGCAGTTAAGCGTGAACAGATAATTTCTACTTTGGAACCGACACTTGATTATAAGAAATTTAAAAATGCAGATATGGTAATAGAAGCAGTTTTCGAAGATATAAAAATTAAACATGCAGTCATTTCTGAGTTAGAGGCAGTCGTCCCCCCTCATTGTATAATTGCCACAAATACCAGCGCTATACCTATTAAAAATATTGCTGAAGGTAGCACACGTCCAGAAAATGTGATAGGCATGCATTATTTCTCACCAGTGGACAAAATGCAGTTACTTGAAATAATTACACATCCGAAGACATCTAAAGAAACTACGAGCAAGGCTGTAGCTGTAGGTCTTAAGCAAGGAAAAGTTGTTATCACAGTAAGCGATGGACCTGGCTTTTATACAACACGCATTCTAAGCGCAATTTTATTCGAAGGACTCAGGTGTGTATATATATATAAATACAAATGCTCTCATTTCTTTTACCATTTGCATAAATAATTGTAATGCTTATTTTAGAATTATTCAAGAAGGATTGGAACCAGCCGATCTTGACAAGTTAACAAAAAAATTCGGTTTCCCAGTAGGCGCTGCAACATTAGTGGACGAAGTAGGAATTGACGTGGGATCTCACATTGCTGCCGATTTAGCCAAGGTAAGATATTTAGCCACCCGTCATAACTGCCGAATAGCCAATATCGGAGGTATTAGCTAATCCTTTGTTACTTTAAGAAATAATATTAATTTAGCTATTCGGTTAGGGAAATATTTCAATAAAAAATATTTATTGACGTATATGTGTGAATATTTTGGCTTATATAAATATAAAATAACAGTAATTATTTTCATCGAGCACGTAATAACCGTATTCGAATTACAACTAATATGTGAATGCATTTAACTAAGATATAATAAATAATATATCTTTGCTTTTACAGGCTTTCGGAGAACGTCTTGGGGGAGGAGATTCAAATTTGATGAAGGATATGGTTCTAGCAGGATTTTTAGGAAGGAAATCCGGCAAAGGCCTTTTCATTTACGATGGAAGTAAAGGAAAGGGCAGTCGCCCTGTAAATATGGATGCCCTTAGCATTATAAGGGAAAAATATTCTCTTGTTTCCAAAGGAGCAAACTCTCCTGAAGACTTAACTTTACGTATGGTTACACGGTTTGTGAATGAAGCAGTGCTTTGTCTAGAAGAAGGAATCTTGGCTAATCCCTTAGAAGGTGATATTGGCGCTGTATTTGGTCTAGGGTTTCCTCCATTCTCCGGCGGTCCTTTCCGCTGGGTTGATCACTATTCGGCTTCAAAAATAGTGGCCAAAATGGAATCATATGCTAATCTGTATGGTATCGCATTTAAACCAGCACAAACATTGCTCGATATGGCAAAGGACTCTTCAAAGAAATTTCATCCAACCACGGGATCATCTAAACTGTAATATATCTTCCGAATAGGAGCATTTGAAAATTATCTCATATTTTTTTAAATTAATATTTTTAAAACAAGATTTGAATTTTATGTATTTACAATATAATTATTTTATTAAATCGAATAAAAAAAATAACCCTTTTTGAGAATATGTCGACAGAAAAGACGATTCTCCTTCTCTCTTTTTAATAAGGAATTATGTAATTTTTATTTATAAAAAACAGTTTTTCGTATTACACAAATTTTCGCTTGCAGATTTTATGTACTTGGTTTACTTTTCTATAAGTGAATTGCTCCTTCATTCGTAATTGACAGGCCAGTCGAGAGCTGTCATCGGCGTTATTCGAAAATTGTGAAAGCGAATCATCCACGTCGAAAAAATTGATGTCGACTGTCATTTTAGTCAGAAAGCTATCAAAATAAAACAAAAATTTAAAATTGAAATACGCAAAATTTAATTTGAGTAGAAAATAATTCGAGTAGACAATTTTCACGCATATGATGTAAGATTATCATTTTAACATTTGTTTTTCATTATTTAGAGGATTTCAATGAGAATGAAGAAAAATAAGAGACAAAGACGTCAAACTACGAATTTGACGTATTAATTGGGTGGATCTCTGTACGATATTGATAGAGCTAATTACGTGATTCGTTTGTTGTAGAAACGACGTTTTAAGTGAAGATTCCTCAAATTATCGACTATTGATCGATATTATTCATAAATTGTTATATCAATTTCGTTTTGCTTAGTATTTCATAGACACGAAAGCACGTTTTTGCTTAGTTTATGAAAGGTGTATAGCATAAGGAAAGTGTTTGTAATTTTAACAATACAACAGAAATATGCGTCGGTTAAAAAAGGTTGGTTCTAAGCTACAAACGGAAAATGTGTTTCTCTGTTGTTCAAAATTTCAGTAATTTGTTTTTAAATTTCAGTATCAAACAGGCGAAGCAGCCCAGTACATAACCCGTCGTGCTGCTCTTCGAAAATTGCAACTTTCTTTGAATGATTTTCGACGACTCTGCATAATAAAAGGCGTTTATCCACGTGAGCCGAAACATCGTAGAAGAGCTCAAAAAGGTTCCTCTGATATCAAAATCTTATATCATGCAAAAGATATACGGTTTTTGCTGCATGAACCTATTGTGTGGACACTTCGTGATTATAAGGTCTGTTTCTTATATTTTATTATAAGATTTTGATTGATATATATATTTGTATTTGATAGATTTTTGCTAAGAAGACCGGACGGGATCGGGCTATTAAGGATTTTCGGAATTTGAAACGAAGACTGGCGTTATTTCCAGAGTTGAGAATAGATCATATAGTCAAGGAACGTTACCCAACATTTATTGACGCAATTAAAGATCTTGATGATTGCTTGACCCTGCTTTTCCTATTTAGCACATTTCCTTCACTACGTCTAATTCCACGTGAGCAATCAGCTCTTTGTCGACGACTGACATTGGAATTTTTACATTATATCATAAGCTCCAAGTCAATACGAAAAGTTTTCATATCGATAAAAGGATTTTATTTCCAAGCTGATATTAAAGGTCAAATGGTAACTTGGATAATGCCTCATCATTATCCGTTTAAGCCTCACTCCAAAGCAGAAGTGGACTTCAAAGTAATGTCGATCTTCGTGGAATTTTATACAATAATGCTTGGATTTGTAAATTATCGCTTGTATCATAGTGCTGGCTATACTTACCCACCCGAAATTCATTACGAAAAACAAGCTGATCTTGAAGATAATTATAAGGACGAGCTATCATATGTGTCAGATCGCATTGCGGCACTCAATTCCGATTTGGATTCCAAAACAAATGAGCCCGAAGAAGAGATTGAAGACATTGATCTGGATTTAATCGAGCAAGGTCAAAACTCGAATCGGTTAATCACGCTCAAGAAAAAAACACAAGAATTAAAAAGATTACGAACGCTTTTTAAAGGATTGAAATTTTATATAAATAGAGAAGTACCTCGTGAGCCCTTGGTTATATTGATTCGTTCATTTGGCGGTAAAGTTTCGTGGGATTCAACTGTATTCACTGGAGCAACTTACGCCGAGACCGATGAAAGTATTACACATCAAATTGTAGACAGGCCAATTTTAAGTGACAAGTACATTTCTCGAGACTATATTCAACCTCAATGGGTGTTTGATTGTGTAAACCAACGGACGCTAATTCCAACAAACAAATATTTCATAGGCGCTACTTTGCCTCCCCACTTATCTCCATTTGTTGATAGCAAACGTGAATCGTATATACCACCCGAAGAAAGTGGTACCGGAAATGAATCTTCTTATAACAAAGACGGTAAGACTTGCCGATATTAAAAATTGTATCGTAATATATTATGTATACAAATTTTTACAGGTTCGAAGAGCGATGAAAATATACTTGATGCCCAACCAGAGGAGATTCGAACTCTAGATGATCAGCAATTGCAAGTAGCATATATGGAGGAAAAGCTCGAGATAGAAGGAGATGGTTATGTACAAAGCGAAGATGAAATAAACCCTGAGAATGATGAAGTTGCTCCAAAGGAATTACAAAAAAGGGATCAAGAAGTAGGTTATGTTCGCTTAACATAGCACTGCATAATATTGAACTTGTATTATTTTCAGAAATTGTCCATGAGTGTGAAAGTCGGTAAAGTACACAAGGAAAATAAAAGGCTAAATCGCAAGAATGAGTTAGATGAGCATCGACTACAGGCACGAATGGTAAAACCTCGCCACCGTAATCTGTTCAGAAAATTAATACGTGAAAAACAAGATAAAGAAAAAGAAAAGTGGCTATTAAAAAAGAAACGTCGTATAATTGATGGCCAAAACAAGGATAATTGATAACTAAAATAATTTTATTTGCTATACGTACAATACAAAACACATCCTTGTTCTAAGAAAAATATAGAATTAAAATCAAAAGGAAACGTTTTATTTTTGAGATTTTAAAATATTGTGATTCGAAGTTGCATTTTCTTTTACGCCATGTACACTCGAACAGTTGTTAATTTAATATTTAGATATTTTCACGACAGACAAATTACGTGTTTGGCTCTCTCAATCGTAATTCGCGTTCCAAATACATGCCAAATTATTTATTTCGTCATACAAATTTTTGTTCTCAAAATCCATGCGATTTACGACCAAATCGATGCCCATTCTAATATTTATTGAAACCAGCTGACAAATCAAAATAAAAAAAATGCGAATCATGAAAGAAAACACTAACACACAAACATTGATTTGAAACCAGTCTGTATATTAAAAACAGAAAAAAATTAGATATTATCAAAGAAACTGGCATTACCTTACCAATTCAATTCAAGATTTCGTTATCTTATACAAAAATCTTTCATTTTCCATGCGTTTCCAAATGGAACAAACAAGCGAAAACGAAAACTGTCAACTGCCGTGTGAATGGGGGTAATTCGCATTCGTTATTGAGAGGACGAACAATGTATTTCACGTCGACGTGGAAAAGTCGTATTATGCGTTTAGATTCCATAAAGTATAAATAATGAAAATTAACGCTATTTAATTGATAACAGCTAGGATATTTTTGATGGACATGTTACGATATTCATTTGATAATAAATGTCGAATGCAATTTTGCCATCATGCAATAGAAACAAAGTGTAAAGAAGGTATAGCAACAAAATAACCATTTGATTTATTGAATTGAAACCGTTTATAAAATAGAATTTGTTTTCTATAATTGTTACGTGATCTCGGTTATTTATTCATCGTTTAATCGTATCTATCAATTTAAAAATGATCGATATATTGGTAACAGTGCTATTTAACATTCTGTGTTGTTTACCAATAAAATGTCTACTGAAAAGTCATATCGTACTGATTTAAAGGTGAGGGATTCGTTTTTCTTTATTATTCCATCAAAATTGTAGGAAATTACTAGTTTTCCTAGGACCAGAAATAGCAAATATGCTTTTTCACATATGTAAATAGGATATTTGAAGGTTGTGTGGAAGTAAAAAACGCATGGTTTATTCCCCATATTTTTTCAAGCATGAGCAAGTGCAGTCACCTCTCCGACTGCATTTATCCTCTCAGCTCTTCATAAAAACTATCTGCCGTTCGGGAGCGGCTTAGTATAAATTGTAGGCCCCTCCATTTGTTGGTAAAACATCAAGACGCAAAACTACAAATTGGAGGAGGAACTCTGCTGAAAATCGATTCAGTAGTTACAAAGCATCGCCACGATGTGAATATGTTCATAAATGATCTGTTTTAATTGTTATAGAAGGTCCAGGGTTTTGCGGTTGTTAGTAGGTGCGACCAGTTTCCTGAGGCTTGATTTATTTAAATTTTTAATTCTGGAAAGTTCGACTGTCACTACTTTCGCGTAAAATAATGACAAATATCTTTATGCTTACACTTTCGGGTTATCCTTTATTGTTTGATCATAATATAATTACTCTTAATAATACATAAATACATATATATATTTCTTACTAAATTTGCAGGGTATACTCCGGTTTTTATTGGATCATACGCAGAGCGAAGATGCTAAGCATGAGTCGTCATTCAAAGAAATGGATTCAGAGGTACATACACTTTAACTTTTTAGTTGGTTGTAAGCGCCAATCTTAAAGATATACGTTTTTTCTTTAGTTTATTTTACTGTGCCTTTAATGAAAATATTTGTTCCTTTTGCCTTCTTTCAGAAAAAACAGTTTCTCGAATCTGCTCTGAACTGTATGACCACAGATGTAATGAAGGAGTTTGAAAAAGCAATTTCAATTTTAGAGAATCAAAATTCGGAAGTTGCCGATAAGGTAGCTGCTTTGAATATTGTCAGAGAAAGTGTTGACGACATTGACTTTGCCAATAGCTTTGTTAAAGCTGGCGGTTCCGTTTATTTAATACATAGCCTTTCACATTCCGATTCCGAAATAAAATGTTTAGCCGCTTATGTAATTGCGGAAATGTCACAAAATAATCCATTTTGTCAGCAATATTTTGTAGACGCTAAAACTATGCCAAAACTGATAAAATTTTTAAATGAACCTCAAGAGATTGCCAAAAGTGGCTTACACGCAATATCTTCTTTATTACAAAACTTCGAACCAGGACAGAAGGAGTTTCTAGACGCAAATGGAATAGATATGCTTTTAGCTTGTTTAAATACGAATAATTCCAGAATGACGATAAGAGTTTGCTTTTTAATCGCAAAATTAGCAGAAATTGGAGATTTACGAGGTAATTTTATTTCTTATACCATGCATAAAATAAATAATTTATTGGGTTTTAGGTTTTTTCTATTGCAACAAAATGTGTTTATAGATTATGAGCATCGTTAAGCAGCAAATATAATAGCTTAAAACGAATGATTTCTATGTTTTTATTTATAATTTGATTTAGATGAATTTATAGAGAAAATGGCTATCGCTCAGCTAGTAAAATGTTTACCAAATAATTTTGCTGGTTATGATAACAGTCTGGAGACAACTCTTTATGCCCTCTCTGAACTTTCGAAAAGTACTAAGTGGAATGTTGACGAAAGTGAGGCAGATAAACTGAAAACCTTGATTAGTAGCATCACAGGGAAGAGCGATATAGAGAAAGAGCACGAGGCAAGTTAAATTACTTATATTTAAATTGTTTGAAATGTAAACTTGGGTCAAAAAAGATTTTATAAATTTTAAGCTCTAAAGTTGAAACTAAATTTGAACTAACCAACCCAATAATTATATTTATTCTTTTTTTCGATTGCATTTTCAGGAAATCTACCTGTATGCCTGCACCATACGCCAGAGGCTACCGTAAATCACCAAAATTGTAAATAAAATAGAGAAAAATATAAAATGTAAATTATATATATGAAACTAGGTTTTTTACTTAACATGAAGTTAAATATAAATGCGTAGGAATGATTACACTTTAATTGCATTTGCCGTAAGCAAGAAGATTTTCCGTTGAAATAGGAACATTCTTTCCATTTTCCTGAAACTATGGGTGAATTCAAAAACGCCAAAATACTTGCGAAACCGCATCATCTCAATGCAACCCTGCATTCTATAAACTTGCCTGGCTATAATAATTTGCAAACTCTGATATTTCGGAACGCTTTTCGTGCAAATAAGTTACTTTTTGGTGAAATGGCTAAAATATGAAACATATAAAAAAATAAGTAATATAATGTCTGCTTTGGTTTGCTTTTGTTTGCGCATCAATAACTACCGATGCAAAGTTTGCACAGTTGCATTTAGAAATGCGTAACAATGTATGGTTGCTTTGCAACTGACGTTTTAGGACTCACCCTTTGTCTGATGGCCTTCAAAATGAGTTCATGTTGAGGTGGCTGGCCAGAATACTTGTGTGGTGTCTATCTACCAGCTCACCCTTCTCCCTCCATTTCGAATGGGTTTTTGCAAGTAAGGCGTCTGAGAGTGGGGCTAGTGACCCTGGAAATCATGCCCCTTTTGTGGGTATTACTTAAAGAGAAACATAGGTGACTTCCTGTGCTGAGTTACTGTCTTTCCCATGATGGACTCCTTCTTACATGGATTGGCCCCCGTTGTGTTTATATTTATTCTTTCACACAACCGCGCCACAACCTGTGTGACTTTTTTAATAATTTTTATAATAAAACAAAAGAAAAATAAGAAATTAAAACATATTTTTTTATAAATTTAAGTAATTAAATGATTATATATACATATATTGCGGCTGTTGCCGTCGCCGTCAAAATGTGTTACGTAGACAAAAAAGCGACGCTGTAGTACTTTAATGTCGTGTAGCCGCTTATATGTTTGAGACCTAAGTGGTCAATAACTAAGTGTTGAAAGCATTAAAAGGGGTCCTATGGATTCTTTAAATAATAACAAAAGTGTTATTTGAAGTGAAATTACCCATAGAAAAGGTGATGTAGTTATATTTTGAAGAGCATCTTTATATGGAAATGATAATTTTTAAATACAACAAATTTTAATCAACATTTCAATTTTTATTTGCAATGTGTTTTTGTAGGCAAGGTTAAAAAAAGAAAACATGAGTAAACTTGCGTATACAACAGCCAATCTTACTGATGTCCAGTTAAAAGAACAGGGAAATCAATTGTTTGTGTTAAGGAAATTCGATGACGCTGTGAGCTGCTATACTAAAGCAATTGTAAGTATAAGTAAAAATTACTTATTATTGTTAGCCGTATTTAGTAATGGTTTAAAAATTATTATAGGTAAAAAATCCTAGTAATGCGACATATTTCACTAATCGAGCATTATGTTACCTGAAACTTAAGAGATGGGAACTATCTTGTGAGGATTGCCGTCGTGCTTTAGATCTTGATTCAAATCTACTCAAGGCCCATTTTTTCTTAGGGCAATGTCTAATAGAAATGGAAATGTTCGATGAGTCGATAAAGCATTTACAAAGAGGTAGGTCTTCGTTCGAGGTAAAACCATTTATGTATCTTTGACACCATTGCAAGAAATAGATTTACACGAAGCGTTTGATTTTTGCTCTATTGCTGAAGGAATTGTATGTGAAGGCAATACCAAAGTCATTTATTTTTGGTTTTTGAGTACATACCTCCGAAAGCTTAAAATAGCATTTAATTAGAATAATTTAAACTTATATTGTAAACTGAAAATTACATAATTTTTTGTAGCATGAATATATCATGTAGGAAAAAACAAATGTTTATATAAAATCATAATAGCTATGTATGTTATATAATATATTGCAATAATACATTTTAATAAATTTTTAGCTTTCGATTTATCGAAGGATCAGAAACAGAATTTTGGAGATGATATTACATCTCAGCTACGTCTCGCCCGAAAAAAGCGGTTTAGTTTGTTGGAAGAAAAGAGAATATGCCAAGAGATCGAACTGCAAACATATATAAATAGGTATAATTGCTGAGAACTTTTCATTTTAAAATGTTCGTTTATGTACAATCATACATGCCAATTCCATCAATTGTTTTCAGACTTATCAAAGAAGATATGGAGAGAAATTTGTCCAGATTAAAGATAGACGATAACTTTAATGATCACGAAATAAAAGAAAAGCAGCAGGAAATTGAACAACAATGTGTGAGTACTTTCTTTGATTAAATATGAAAATAAGCTAAGGTTGTTACGTAATTCTTTATATATATTTCTACCACTACATATGTATGTATATAATTTAATGAACATCCCTGCGAAAAATCATGTGAAGTCTATCAAAAATATACTTCACATAAATGAAAGAGCACTCCAACTGGTCAAAATTCATATCAAATATAATGTGCATTGGTAAATAGATCTTTTATTGATAATAATTAAATATCTTTTTCATATATATGCATTTTATTTTACAATATAATAAAATTATTGTTGTTCGATGAAGACTTCCAAACAATACAAATACAATCACAACTTTATAATATTTATACTTATTTCTCGCAATCTCTAACGAAATGATTAACGTATTCATTTTTTGAAACCTACATTTCTTTATGAATATTTTTTATGAGTATGTATGTATTGTTATATTTTCAGGATGATCACATTAAGGAGCTAAACAATATCTTTGCAAAAGTGGATGATAGAAGACGGGTAAGTCAAAAAAATGTTTTATGGTGGATATACCGCAAATGTAAACATACAACTTTATGCATATGTATGTACAGAAGCACGGACACTCAATCATATGTATCTTTGATTAAATTTGCTTTAACCATCCCAACACATTATGCAATATCAATTTATTATTTTTATTATTATTTTTATTTATTATTTTGTTATTAGTCTATTATTATTACTATTTTTATTTATTATTATTATTATTTTGTTATTATTTGACTGCTTTTCTTATTTTTTCGATTATTTTAGTTTGCAACAAAAAATTTGAATATTATTAAATTATTTTCGAACATTTCAAAAAGGGGGGTCAAGCATGTTTTGAATATTTGATTTTCATTTGTTTTTTTTTTACTTTCTGCAAAATTTATGTGTTGTTTGAACCGTTACCGAAATTCCAATTATAAGTTTTTGTGTTAAACTCCTCCATCTAACAAGACAAATTTTATATTTATTTCTGCTGGTTGTAGTGTTGTCACCAAAAAAATGCCTGGTCCTAAAAAACATTGAATCCGTGTAATTGTTAAAAAATTATTTTTTTCCAGAAACGTGACGTCCCAGATTATTTGTGTGGTAAAATTAGTTTTGAAATTCTGACCGATCCTGTGATAACTCCATCTGGCATTACGTACGAACGGAAAGATATTGAGGAGCATCTACAGCGCGTAGGTCACTTTGATCCAGTGACTAGAGTGAAGCTGACGCAAGACCAACTCATACCAAATTTTTCGATGAAAGAAGTAGTCGATTCATTTATTGCAGAAAATGAATGGGCTTTAGACTACTAGATATGATTTACTATTTTCCTTAGCAGAAAATGGAAGGGCTTTAGACTACTAGAAATGATTTACTATATTATTTTCCTTAGTAAGAGTATTATTATTATCAAACTATAAAAGCTTGAAACTTTATTTTAAGTAAAATACAAATAAAAATTGTAAAGGAAAAATATTCTTAAGTTTTACTGTATTTAACAGTAGTATAGGGGGTTACAAGTAATGTGTGTCACATTTATTCTTTATTGCACAGTGATACACTGCCTGCTGCACTAAATATATAAGATTTCTCAGTTCGCTTAATCGCTGTGATCCTTCACCATATTTTCACACTTCCGTTTCCTGTTACACGAACGCGTTTTCTAGCAAACTTGTAGTTGTTCACTACCTGAAATTTTGTTGATTTAAATAACACATATTTCTCTGTATTCTCACTACGATGCGTGACGCAACTGAGGCCTTTTTACGAGGGTTCTTTCACATAATCTTCAAAGCTGGCGGTTCCGCTGTTTGTTACATAAACTAATGATAAATATGTATATTCCGATGCGTTATCATTCTATTTCAAAAGTTGTTTGCGTTTGGAAAAATTTTTGGTTGAAGGTCTGACCGATTTTCGAACTCACCGCCATGCCCTGTTATCCAACGGCTTTAAATATTCTTCTTCTTCGCATTGTTTGACGCCAAATGGAAAAACTTATTTTTCTCTCCACCGAATTCTTCCAAAACGCTGGAGAATTCCCGATTCCACCATCGTGTGCTGCATCGAATACTTTCAAATCTGTACATTTTTTATTTATTTATTTTCTCCAGTATTATGTTGAAGAAGTCACGGCTATTGTCCAAGATTTGGCACATGGTGAATGTTTGTCCAATGGTAGATTTATCAGGTGTAAGGCAAAATCTATAAGGTCCAATCTTTTCTTTGGTTGTTGGTAATTGAACAGAGCGCTCTTGGATTCCAATTGTCGGGTATAATTTCAATGCATGCACCTTGTCGCTTCTTCGCCGCCATACATAGTGATCCGTGTCGATGTTAGAATGCGAATCGTGTTCATATTTACAATACCGGTGATATATCTTCCATCCAACACATCCTGGCTGAATTGGTTGCCCGACTTGCGATCCGAGGCTAGTAATGTAGCTTCTTGTGCCGGAATCTGGTGCTGCAGGCTATCATATTTCGGTTGTCTGCGAAGTCGATCCGTCTCAGTCGTCAGAAAGACTGAGTTTTACGACTTTTGTAACAAAGATGCCATCTTTGTTCATCCCATTGTTAAGATCACCATGTACGAGTTTGACATTGTGCAGGGGACAGCACTTGAACGCGTGTGAACTTAAAATTCGACCAGGTAGTAGCCAGGTTGAGGTCCTTTGGTTTTAAATACTTACATAAAGTAAAAAAATGCCCGTATTGAATTAAAAAATGTAAAATTAAATTTTATATGCCGCCTTAGGTATGTAATGCATTTTGTATTTGTTTTTGAATTTCAATAAAAAACATATTGCTCTAAAGTCTCAACAAATAGAAATAAAACATCTTCACTTTTTACAATGAAATAGATATGCTAGGACTTATGCTAATTCTGTTATAAATTCCTACAGGCTTTGTTAAAAAAAGAAAATATGACTGGGGAGGCTTATTGACCAAGCTTGGCTGGACTCAGCAGCAACTCAGGTTCATATACGCTTAAGTTATGATTATGTTGTGGAACGTATTTGCTATCGTGCGTCATGTTTTTACTTGTTGTCCCGTTCTGAGGCTGATCCGCTGCTGATAAACGTTTTTGTGTTATTGTTGCCTGTAGAGATGAAACTGATTCGGTATCTGATGATGATAAGAGAGGGGTAGGGAACATAAAGCTGGTTTTGGAAAAACCGGTTACAGGAAACTGGGTTTTGTTCAATTCATCTTGAGTTACGTTTGATAGTTTTGTAAGCGCCGTGACACTTTCTTCAATCTGTCCAGGCAGACACACCACCGGCTGCACTATTTTGCTCATATGGGTACCGATTGTTGTATTTGTTGTGCTAATATTTGTATTCGCAACTATTGAGGTATTCACATAAGACGAAATATTTGATGTGACGTTTAATGCAATGTTTGATGCTACTTTCCTGTCCAGCGAAGTGTGCTCCTGCTCGGCTAATGATTGTTTAACTCCAGTTATTTTTTCTGATACTGATGCTGTGGTAATTGAAGACGCTGTGGCAGAAGAGGAAATTTTCGGTACTGCTCCAGTACTAGAGTTTTCTATGAATCCAGAGAAGTTGTACGAGTTGTTGAGAACAGAATTAGCACTATGTATTAAGGGTGGCGTCGACGTCTTTGGCTGATTGATCGTCAAAGAGGTCTCCATTAGTAAATCGGCGTTGGGTAGATAATTCGTCGCTATCGAAGGCGTCAAAAATTGTGGTTGGATATCCTGGGTCATTTTATGGTTCAATGGAATGCGCTGACGTGACAATTTACTCTCGAAACTTGTAAATGTAGTTGTTTGCTGTTCTAGTGATGCCGCCGGGTCTTCTATTTCAACGTTATTCGACATTTTCTTTGAAATTGCATTTGTAGGGGACTCCGGTGAAGTTAAACTAACTTTCCTGGCAGTTTTGGTTGTTATTTTTGCCACGCTTTCTAGACATATGCTGTTGGCGTCTTTGCTATTGTCTTCGTTGCAGATTTCCTTTTCTCTACAGCTTTCGTCATACAGTTCTTCATCGTTTGAAAATTCAGTTTTCTTCGGAATGCGCTCTGAAAAAGAGTAGTAACTTCTTAACTTTACTAAAAATCTTTGGTTAATCAAACTTACCATTGATATTGCCTGGCTCTTTTATGATTGGAACTACACGATTTAGAGATGTCTTCTGCTCATTCTGCATGAAAAGGGACGTCGTAGCAATTTGCCGCAAAGCTTCCATTCCTTCATTAAGTATTTTATTGCTGTTCCGTTTGTGCGCAAGTGGGTATTTCGGCTGTATAATAAAGAAGTGGAATGAGCATTAAAAATACTTGGTTTTAATTTTAATTGAGAAATGTTTTGTTGTGATTTTTAACTACAGAAGTTGAAGTTATCATCTCAGAATTCTAAGTGAATACTCTTTCTCTGATCACAGTTACAGTTCACACATGGAATGAGATCGGCTGCATTAGGTGCTTTATCTAGCTGTTTCTGTTCTCCATTGAAGAATTCTTTGCTGACTGGGCACTGCTTATAATGGAATTATTTATCTACTAGTACAAGATAAAGCATACAAAGAGAGCTTCGTAGATGCCCTTTTGCAAAAACATGATAGAGTGAGCTGAGTTCTTCATAATTGGGCGTTTATAAGCTCCATACTCACAGACTACCTGACAGTTGAGGACGGAAACGAAACTCTGCATAGCGAAGAGCCATCTACGAAAACTGGGACAGGAGTACGAATCTGTTGTCGAAGATCGGAACGAGCTTTCACACTTTTGGGGTCTTTAAGGCAATTAGCCTATAAGTTTTTCATTAAAATACATTGGAAGGCTGTCAGACTTGTTTCTATTATTATTTAGGAGAATATGTTTATATTCGAAGATTAATATTTATAGAATTTTCTTACAACCATGAAAACTTGCTTACCTGTATTGCTGGCCGTCGAGCTATTGAAACTCGTTTGCTTTCTCCCCGAAGTAGTGATGTTGTATAGTCAGCGTCAGTTTTGTTGCAATCTTTCTTGAAGTTCTTCTTATTCGTTGAAATACAATGTGAAGGGCAAATACATAAAAGTATTCGCAGGAGGCAACACACGAACCCCAGTCCTACAAATTTATATGAATAAGTACAAGTAGAAATTATAAAATAACTTGAAAGAAAATATTACAACATAAAAAATACTAAAAAGTACTGATCCAAAAAAACATCGTTCTCTCTCGACGAACAAAGTTCAAATCCGAGAAATCTTTAATTATTTTAGTTGCTGTTTGATGCAGATTTATGTACTACTACGTGTTAGCGACGATTATAAACGAAAAGAAATTCGAGGAGGTCTCAATAAGAAACCTTATGGGCGTTCACATTTAGAAAACCACAATTGTCATGCGCTGCTACCAGCTCGGCTACAGCGTCCACAATATACGTACACAATACAAAATATACCAACTTACCTATTAATGAGGGTCCAATTAGTCTCAGTTCTACTGTTTTGAATCCCTTTTCTCCAGTTCCAACAAATGCTATTACCAAACCCAAAGCAATCGTGCCAAGGCCCACGTATAGAAATGCGTTCGCAAATGTACTAGGTCCGCGTAACACACCTAAAAAATCTTCGTCATCCGAAGAACCGCCCAGAGATGCGTCTTGCACCTGTAAAAGAGAATTTGATATTTCCATATTAAATGTTTTCGAAAACAGTATATACATATTTTCAGTTGACCGCTTTCTTTCCGAAAAATATGCAACTAATCTTTTGGGATATAAAATATAAATTCCAGAAATCGCAATTGTGCTTGTAGACTATAAATTTAGTATACCATCGCATGGGTTAGTACGCGAATCCTGAATTTTTTAAAAAGCTCTATAACTTATTTTAATTTTATTTGCTTGTTCTCGTTGTTAACTCTCTCTCCTCAAGATGAATCCACCTAGATACAGTACATCATTTCATTAATTTGAAGGCATTCCAATGACTACTAGTTTTGTTGCGCTCCGCCAATTGAATAGAGTGGATTAGACGAATTTCAGATTTTCAGAAATTTCGGAATTTGTAGAGTAACAATCCGATGGCTTACCCGAACTGCAGCAGCATCCCCGGGTGTGTTGAACCGTAAAAAGAGGGACCCTCATGTTCACCTGAATTGACGTGGAAATTAGCGTATTTTGTAAAATATTGAAGACCGCTGAAGTGACTTGGCCTTTCCACTACCGCTGATTAGAACTGGAAATCCAACAAAAACTTGATATTTACCATGCACCGAATGCACCGAATCTAGAAAATACTTTGAGAAAAGTATCGGCACACACCATCTATTTGTTGTTTTTAAACCCGCCTTCGATAACGACTACGAGTTGTCTTCACGTAGCTATATCCGATGCGCAGTTAGAATTGGGAAGCGTCTCTCTGAATCTATTGTTACTAAACAGTTGAGAAATTTAGTCTAAGCAGCAGAGCTAAATGGAGAACGTACAACATTCGACATTATAATTCGCGGACGTATGTTATTGATATCAATCGGAAGCGAATGGGTCTAATCCTGGGCGACTACAAAATAAAATACCTCCTCTGATTAACAAAAATTAGCCCGCTTACATTTTGATGCCCACATAACTGTTTAGAGTCGAGGGGTTAGGCAATTTTGTCTGGAGTGTAATCTGGCTTCTGGGTAAGCAGGGCTAAACACAACTTCTAACTTTGTGGGTATGTCGGGTATCCTGGAAACGTGAGCAACCCTTATGAAAGATCGGATAACCAATCCGTATGTAGGGTTCTGTGACTGTTAAATGTGAGGAGGCTTTTGTGCAGGCACTTCGACAAAGTCGGCTTAGGGCTTCACTGAAGACAAATTGTATTGTCTCTTCGCCAGAAATGCGCTTGCGAGTGGATGCTGGTACTGAAACAGCCTAAAACCTCCTACTGATCTGCGAGGTTGTACGCTGGGACTATCAACGTAAAAAACTGCTTCAGTAAAGGAATATCAAAAGCGTATATGACGACTCCTAACTAATGGCATGCACCTGGAATGGTTGCGAGCTGAAAAAAAGGTTTAAAAGTAGTGGAGTGTAAACAGGCTCCATTTGCTGTCTCCAATCAGATCGAACTGTGAAAAGAAGAAACGACTTACTCCGAAAATTGGTCGCTTCTAAAAATGAAATAGCTTAAGTGCAAATTATTTTAACGGTGATTATTTTGATATTTGTGACGAAGAATTTACCGAAGTACTTACACGATTGCGTTTTACCCAGCGGCGGTGACAGGGTGCTTGTTGTTGCGCTTCTTGAACACTGCAACGGCGTCCCCGTTCCTGCCACGCTGCCCGACCACGTGTACACTGTTAGTTTGCATTTCCAATTAGCGATTCAGTCATAGGAAAATAAATAATTGTAAAAGACAAGCATTACAATAAGTTCGTTTAGTGTCAATGAACCATGCAATAAGCATTCATATACATTTATACTTATGTACACAAATTACTCCACCGACAAATTAATGTTTATGAAAGTATGTATATATACATATATTGTATATAAATATAGTTTAGTTAGTTTTATGCAGGAATAGCGAAACGAAAACATAAGCAGCAAGAACTTTGACATATATATGTACATACATAAATACTTAATTATTGAATATAAACAAATTCAGGTCTTACGATAATCCCTACATCAATCAAGCGAAGCTCGATTAGTTTGTTGTTGTTGTTTTTTTTTTTAATTACAGAAATCTCTTAAAGTATTGAACACTTAGGCTATGACGGCACGACAACCGATATATATCAAAACTACTCTCTTATGGCAACAGTTATTTAGAACCCAGCACGACAACAAAGTGACAAGAGTTTTTTGTTGACAGCTTTTACTTGATTTGTACTCAATGTGGTTAACAATTTCATAATGAACAGACTCACTTCGGGACAACGTTCGACTTATACATCACGTGCTGCGTCCAATATTCTGTAGACATAACTTTCCAGCAGAGTAGGTAATTCGAGCAACCATGGAACGATTGAGCAGCACGTTTAAAATTGTTGCATAACCTACAATCTGGAGAGACGCCATTATATATTCAAAAAGTTCATTGGTCCTTATTTCTTAAAAATGAACTTTCGTGCCTTGATTGGAGGATGTTTATGTGGACGATCATTGGTTCAAGCAAGATGGAGCTACATGCCATACAATCAACGGAGCAAATAATTTATTGAAAGAGACTTTTGTGGCCGCATTATCTCGCGTCTTGGGCCTCTAGAGTGGCTCCCAAAATCGTGGGATTTAAGAGAACTGCATTGTTTTTTGTGGGGTTATGTTGTCTACACAGGTGCATAAAAAAGGGCTACTGGCATACCCTTTTCTTTGTAATAAAGCCAGATTCTTGGCCATAATATTAAATCGTAAGTGTAGCCTATGTGTTCAAAGCTTAAATAAACATTGTAAAATAAGAGATTGCAGATGTGCAAACTTATCATTATTCCACGAAGCATTCTCGCAATTTGCAAATTTTTTTTTAACGGAATCAGAAGGTGGAATAGAAGTGATATTTGTATAAAGAGTGAACAAAATATCTCTTATTTTTTTAAATTATTGTAATACCACTAGTAAATTTATTATGCCTTTACACGTTTTACATTTTATTTTCACATTAACTTAAGAAAAGCTAAATTAGTTTTCAACATAGTTTTATTGAAAAATCAGATAATTTGTTAAGTTTAAAAAAAATCGAGAATGTTTATTGATTATATATAAATTCCGAAAAGAAATAAAAAACTCTGGTTTCTACAAAAAACAAACCATGTTTGAACGATGTTTAAATTTAAGAACTAATGAGCCTTAAAACGGAAAAAATAACCCATACATATAAAGGTACAACATACAAAAACAGTCTGAGAAACCTTTTAATTTAAAATAACGAAAAATATGAATAGACATCACTATTTTAAGAAAACCATAGAGTATTCAGCGTGCTTTGAATAGTCCGTGAAATAATAAGAAACACAACAACAAAGGCAGACTAATTTCTAACGAAACCGAACATGGGGTGACCTGTTTTTTTTAATATTAGAAGTCACTTCATCGATAAGCTAATTGGAAAATATTTAATTTAAATAATATTGTATTTGGAGAAGTATTCGCATCTAGAATAAAAGGAATTGACTAAGTATGGTCAAACAATTACTTTTTTATTCGTAATTGACGTGGGCACCGTTCACGCATTTACAACAGTAGGAGACAACAACTAAATATTACTTTTTTTCACCTAAGCATTTCTCCCTCTTCCTCTGCGAGGTACTGAGTTGAACACTTTCAGAGCTTTAGTGCTGCCTTTCATCCCTCAAAAACTTTCTCTTGAAAACACCTAATGTCGACTAATTGATTTTTATTATCCCTCGCAATTCTATGACATGACGAGACAGTTGTAAAATTGGCTCTGTATTTGTCGGGAGAGGCTTTACAATTGACTACCTGTTCAAGGACAAGAGATATTTCGTCTTGTTCAATTTCACTACTTGTCCAGTTTAAAGAAATAATATGTAGAGTGGCATATTCGCCTCCGGACGACGGCTGGATTTTTGTTAGGAGTTTCTATTGTACTTCATGTCCGGAATACACTCGGAGGACTTGCCTGTAGTCGTCAGAATGACAGTAGGTAGTGATAACCACTCGACTGTTGAGGCCAAAAGAATATATATGTACATATAAATAATTATGGTTTTATAACTGCGAAAGTGATGTTTAGCCGAGTTCCTACGACTTTTTAAAGGTGTCTTGATATTTTTTTTCAACTAATGGTCTCTCCGATTTTTCTCAATCGCCTCGGAACGCTCGATGGGGTTTTAGGTGTAGCTTTTTGTGTATCAGAAATATATACATTGGAAGGTGTTAAATCTCTCTGCTGAGTATGATCTAATAGATTTCTGTACCTTCATTGTTTAGTTAAAAAGCTCTAATGCCGAATTTAGATACAACGACCTAGACGTAAAAACAAGAAATAGATAGTTTTAGATCCTCTACTAATACTACCCGCCGTATTGATAAGGCGCAATCAATTTTAATTTTATAAATAGTATGATACAGCAATGTTGACTGATAGTTGGCACCCTTATGCTGCAACAACCCAACTCACGTACCAGCCGTCCATAGCAACCTATCCTATGAGAGCGCCATGTAAACACAAAGTTGTCACGGCTTGCCCATGCCGTTAGTGACGGTTGTCCCGCAGAAACCAATGGCGATTTGATTTTTTCCGTAAAATCGGCTTGTTGCTTTACAAGGTTGCCAGTATAGTCTTTCTTAAAGTAATGTTAAATATTCGAAGAAAATGCGTAGTTTTTTTTTTTCAAAAGAAATAACTAAATACGTAACTAATTATTCGTTATCGTATGGATCATGTATTTTTGTCTTGCGTTTATATTCGTTAACGAAAATTATGAATTTATGCAAAAGTGTGCAAGCACACAGACAGCTGGCAACATTTCGCCGCTCTCAGCAGCGTCGATAACTCGTGTATGTATCTCCCCTTGACGTCGCCTGTTATGAACGGATGGTAAGTAAAATGGGTAGTTGCAGCCTTAGACTCCTGGTCAGCCCTTTACGGATTTCTGACACTTTTATTTTTGGATACATATACGTCTTGTTTCGCTCTCGCTCTCTATCTTCGCATTACTCCTCCTACACAGCACAAATTGTGATGGTGGTGTCTGTCGTGGTTACAGCCTTTCGATGTAAAATGGTAGCGAGGATGCGTATCTTGGTTGCTACAATTTAGTGCGTATGTATAAGTTAGGTTCAGCGAACATCCAGAATAATGGATGGATGTCTGCTCTACGAGTATATCACAACCTTTAACCCATTAATCGAATATATCGGAATCGGGTAGAGTATACAGAAATAAAGACCAAATGTCATTCTATTCTGCGTCGTTAGGCCTACTTTCTTCACACTTGACAAAGACGCGATACGAACGTATTTACATAGTTCAAACTTCGCCTGTCATTAAAACATACTCGTGTGTTGGACACCTCGTCTCAACTTTGAAGTGGTCGAAAACACTCCTATTTAAAAAGCTTTTATGGCACCTGGTAAAAGCAGAAGAAACGGAGCGGGAAGCTTCTTTTTTTTGTGATTTTTTAATATTATCACCTCAAAGCCTTTGGTAAACCAGAAAAAACAATAAAAAAAGGTATGGTGTTTAGTAAGCATGAAAGATCTAGATCAGTCGAATAAGAACAAATTTTGTACTGAATAGAGTTTATTTAATATTTTTAATTAACTTAAATAAGGTTGCTTTGTACGTCTGAGCCAAGAGAGGAACTTCGGAGAATTTTTTAAATTTTTTTCAAATTTTTTAATTTTAAAGTTCTCTGTCGGGGGCCATATCTGTTGAAGCTTTAACTGAGTATCCACCTAGATAAGGAATATATTAGGCACAAAAAAAAGTTGGGAATGCAAAAATCTTAGATGCTTATAAAAAAAAAATGTAGCAAATATGAAAGATTGTTCAATGCCATTTTCTCCTATTCTAATATTTTTGGTACATTGAACCATAAATTTAATATAGCATAACAATAGACCGCTAACTGGTGCATTTTAAGGATGGAAAAATGTTTTTTTTGGGAAGGAGTAAAAGCGGAAAAAGTAATAGGGCTGCCACATCTTAAAATGGATGTGAACTATGTGCGAAATACGTTCTCCTTTTGAAATACTAAAAGAGAGAGAGCACCATAGATAGGGAAAATGTTAGTGGGAAAGAGATATACAGGAGTCGGGAACAAGCATACACAAACTGAACTTTATCTAATTTTTATGTTGAAAAATATCAAATTGGCTGTATTTTCACAATATTTTAACCGCTCCCCTTTTTGTGTTTTTACAACACATACAAGATATACATACATATGTACGTTGGATAAGTCGAAGTCGGATCTGGATAATATTAAGTTTAATCTGATAAAAATATGCAAACCTTGCGGGATATCTCAAGCTCTTCGTCTACAATATGTGGTGGTTAGGTTTCTGTAACTATTCTATTTCTATTATATATTATATTATTTCATGTACCCAGACAACTGTAGAGTATTGTCGTAGATCAGGGCCAAACGATATTTTGCTATCTCAGAAATATATCGGGTAAGAGCTTTCCCCTTCGCATCGCTGAGGAGAACGGGCATGCATGTAGGTTAAAGAGCTGCATGAATGTATTTGCTTGTAGTCTCAAAACATTTCTTTGCTGTTAGAATATACTTTTTATCTTTAGAAATCATGATTTAAAATGCTAGAGAATATAAGTAGAATAAAGAGCGAGGTGAGAAATGATGTCAATGATTTTGTATCTTAGTGT